GGCTTGATAGCGGCTTGTGCGAACGGGTGGTGGGGAGGTGGGCGAGGAGGAGGGGCAGAGAGGGTGGGAGAGGGCTAGGAGTGCGCGGGAGAGCGCTGGTAGGGCGGGCGAGAAGCGGGTCGAGAGAGGAGGTGGGGAGGCGGGAGAGCGGTGGGCGGGAGTGGGGGTGGCGGCGTGGCGGCTCGGGGGTGGCGGCTCGGGGTGGCAGGCGAGGGAGTGGCAGACGAGCGAGGGCGGGGAGGGAGTGGCTTGTGCGTCGCTAGCTCTCGCCTGCGGGTGGCGACGCCGTCACCTTGACGTACGAGTGGAACGAGTCGCTGACGCGCCCCTCCTCGTCGACGCGGCCCATGGCGAGGGAGACGGCGAAGGGAGACTTGCCGCCCGTCGACACAACGTCAACGGCGATTAGGGCCCGGTGGGACGTCGGCGACCACACCTGCGCCGCCTCCCACTTCAGCTTAGTCGGCACGACGCAGCGAGGCTTGCGCGGCACCGCACCACCGTTCGGCACTTGCCAGACGGAGTCGACGCGGCCGCCAAGCGCCTAGCATGGAACGGGACACTCGCTGTCTCAGGCGACTGCAGCCGGGCGATTGCAATGCAGGAACTACCTGCTCGATCAGCTGCGGGTGCTGCTGTCGAAACTCTTCGACGAGAGCGGAGGCGAGGTTGTCCTCGGGCTCGAAGGAGGAGTCGTAGGTCTCGTCTGTCGTCGGGTCGGGCTCCCACTCAATCTCGTACTCGAGCTTCCCGCCCCACACCCGCTTGAGCGCCAAGATCCTCCGCACCGCGTAAAGCGGTTCGCTCTCACTCGCGCTCTCGCCATCATCGGCGTCGCGCGAGCTGCTCGCTCCCGAGGGCGGCGAGAACCTACAGGGGTCGCGGCGCATCATGTGAGAGGAAAGTCAAGTGTCGCCGCTCTCGCCGCTCTCGCCGCTCGCCCGCCGCCGAAGGCACCCTCGCTCGGCGTCGTCGCGTCGCTCCTGTCGTCGTACATCGCCAAGAAACGGTCCTCCTCCTCGCGCTGCTCCTCCTCGGCCTCATTGCGCGAGCGGGCCGTCGCCGCCTTGGCCGCCCGCGCGGGCGGTCGCCCCATCTGCTCCTTCTCGCTGTCGTAGTCGCCGTCGGAGAGCTCGCAGCGGTCGTACCCCGGCACCTCCCGCCTCTCCACCTCCTGCCCTGGCCGCGACCCGACGCCGCTCCGCGTGCGCCTCTTGCCCAGCAGCGCCGCGGACGGTGGCGGGTCGTTGCGCCGCCGCCCGCCAGGCGGCGCCGAGCGTGCCCGGCTAGAGGAGCCGCCAACGCCACCCGCCGCCACCCTGCGCCTAGCACCGCCACCTGCCTCGGCAGCTGCCGACACCGCCGTCCTCCGCGCCGCGGGTGCCGCCGCGGGTGCCGCCGCAGGAGCCGGCTCCCGCGGCGCTGGCGCCGCCGCCTCCGCCTCTCGCCTTGCGTCGGCATCTCCCGCTGCTGTAGAGGTGGCGGCGGCGGCGAGAGAGCGAGTCTGCCGACGCGGCGGCGCCACCGAATCCCGCTCGGGCACCGACGCGCTGGCCGCTGCCTCCGTCTCTTCGGTGCCGGACCGCCTCGCGGGCTTTGGCCGCCTCGCGCTGGCTGATCGCCGCACCGCCCCAGCCTGCTGTGCCTGCCTGGCGGCGTCGCGGTGCTCGATCGAGCGGTCCCGCCGCAGCGAGCGGGTCTGCCTCTGGCACGCGCGGATGAGAGCGTCGGGGCTTTCGGACACGCCGGCAGTGCCAGCGGGGCGCTGACGCGAACGGCTTCGCTGCGCAGGTCTCGAGCCAGCCAGCGCCGCCTGCTGTCTCCCGCTGTTTGCTCCAGCCGGTCCGTCGCCAGCTGTGTTGCCCTTGCCGCTGGAGGAGCGAAGAGCAGCCCGGCGCCGCAGAGGCGGCGCCTGCGAGAGCTCCGACGCCTCGGACACGCTGCTATTGCGTGCAGCACGCGACATGAAGACCGTCGCTCTCCGGTCTACCTGTCGCACAGCAACTCGTGGCAACAGCGACAAACGCAGCGGGCGCGATTTCTTTCTTCCGCCGAGAAGGCACACGCTACAAAAACAAAATTCGTAGCCACGAACGCTCAGCACTGCTCATTCTCTCTTCTCTGGTGGTCTGGCACGACTGGCAGGCAGGGGTCACGCTTGAGGCTTGTGAAGTTTGTGAGGTGAGACCGAAGGTCTCAAGGAGGTCAGGTGGGGGACGTCCTTTGAGTGCGGGTGAAGAATAGAAGGCTCAGACTCGGCACAAAGCCGCAGACATGGCCGCAACAGTGCGCGCCCGCAGCCGCCAGGTCGGTCTGGGTGAGCCGAGTGGAGGTCCACGCCAGCGGGCAGACCAGCACAAACCCGAATCCCACCAATCTGGAAGAGTTGGTCTGGTGGCGCCCGTTATCGCCCTTGTCGCCGAGGGAGAGCGAGCAGCGCAGCACCACACAACATGCCCGGAATAGGCGTCGACGACACATCAGCAGGCGAGGCGCAAAGAAGAGGCAGAGCACGCAACACGCTGCAGCTTGGCTGTGGGCGGTCTGGCAGCAACCATCGAGCGAGCCGGCGACAAAGCCAGCGCCCTCTGTACCCAGGGTGTTGTGCGAGACTCATACGTCGTCGCGGCGAACCGCTGTGCCAAGCACCCACCTTTCCAACCCGCCGCCGACGCTCGCTCGGCTGGGTCATCGGCGAGGAGTGCCGCCGATGCAAGAGTGGGCGGTCGCAGCAGCTCGTAGCGCTTGCCATGGCTGCCGCACACCCGGGCACAGTCACAGGCCGCGACAGGGACCCTTGGGACGGGCTGAGTGCACGCTGCGGGCTCGCACAGTGTCGGCGCGAAGCAAATTTTCTCTAAGTGAACCAGGGCTCTAGTGTCCCGTGAACAGTGTTGTGGCGCGTTTAAATGTATGTAAAATGATGGACCGCGCAAAGATGTGTGTAGAATAAAATGAACTGCACACACACACACGGGGAGGTACCGTTCCTTCAACCACCAGACTCCAGAGACGTACATGGATGGAGTGTGGTCAGCACTCCGTAACTGGAGGCCACGAGAGACGGCACGTGGGTACTCAGTCCAGAGGTCCAGCTAGCACAGCGCAATCGACCCGCGGCCGACTCAGTCCGAATCATCGTCGTCGTCGAGCACGACTACCTCGCCCGTCGCAGCGGGCGCCGCAGCCTCGCCGCCCTCAAAGTCGCTGTCCGCATCGGGCGGCGGCGGGCGGCGGGCTGGCTTGCTGCGAGCCCGCTTGCTCGACGCGCCGGCGGGAGGGCGCGATCGCTTCGTGGTGGGGCTCGAGGCGCCTCCGCCTGCCCGCGCGAGGCGCGGCAGCTGCGCGGCCGTCGCCGCGTCGAGCTCGAGCGCGGCGGGGAGGGCGGAGAGCGGAGCGGGCTCGGCGCCGCGGCGCAGCTGCGCGGCGAGGGTGGGCGCGAGCACGAGGTAGGCGTTGATCGAGTAGGCCGAGTACGCAAAGTGGAGGCCGAGCGAGCCGTCGAGCACGAGCCGCACGACGAGCTTCTCGAGCAGCCAGCGCCGCCACTCCGCGTTCGGCGCCTCACGGAGCTCCTCGAACCGCAGCTTGGCCGCCTCGCCGACCAGCTTGAGGGCCGTCAGCTTGGCCGGCGCCGCGCCGCCCTCGCCCTCGACGCTGGCGGCACGGTCGTTGAGCTCGCTCACCAGTCGAAGCACCGCGCGCGCCGCGCCGCCGACGGGCACCGACACGTAGGCCGCTGCTGCAGCCGCGAGACCGACCTCGGCACCGGTGGCGGTGGCGGTGGCGGTGGCGGTGGCGGGATCGGCGGCGGGATCGGCGGCGGGATCGGCGGCGGGAGAAGCCGCGGCGAGGGCACACACGTCGCAGCACGCGGCGCCGGTCGCGCGGTTCGTCGGGTGCAGCGGCTGGCCGAAGAGCGACGCGAGGCGCTCCCTGCGGCAGCAGCTCACGTCCTCGCAGTAGAGGCCCGCCGCCGTGAGCTGCGCCTAGCTGGGTTCGGGTACTGGGTGGGTATGGGATCCTCGCCTTGTTGAGGGGCCCGCCGCCGTGAGCTGCGCCATGGCGGCGCGGCGGTCCCTCGCCTCTGCCGCCATCGAGGAGAGGCGGTACAAATCCGCGGGCCGCCACCACGCAATGACGTCCGACGGGCGCCCGTCGCGGCCGGCGCGGCCCGCCTCCTGGTAGTACGCCTCGAGCGACTTCGAGACGGTGTGGTGCAGCACGAAGCGGACGTCCGGCTTGTCAATCCCGAGCCCGAAGGCCACGGTCGCGACGACCACCTGCAGCGCCCCCTCCTCCCACGCCCGCTGCACCGCCTGCCGCGCCGCCGCCTCGAGCCCCGCGTGGTACGCCGCCGCCCGCACGCCTCTCTCGCTCAGCCCGCCTACAAGCGGCCTCGGAGAGGTCTCGGAAAGGTCTCGGAAAGGTCTCGGCACGCCTCTCTCGCTCAGCCCGCCCGCCACCCTCTCGGCGTCGGCGCGCGAGAGCGCGTACACGATGCCGGGTCGGCCGGCGTGGCGCGCGGTGGCGACGGCGGCCATCTCGTCGAGCTGCTCCGCGGGCGAGCGCTTCTGCCGCACCTCCAGCCGCATATTGGGTCGGTCGAAGTGGCCGCGGAAGTGGACTGCGCTCGCCGCGAGGCCGAGCGTGGCGGAGACGTCGGACACGACGGCGGCAGACGCGGTGGCGGTCAGCGCGAGGATGGGGACGTTTGGGAAGGAGGCGCGGAGCGTGGAGAGGGAGAGGTAGTCGGGTCGGAAGTCGTGCCCCGCCGCGCAGCAGTGCGCCTCGTCGACGACGACGCGCTGCAGCCTGCCCGCGGCGTAGCACGTCTGCAGCTTTGCGAGCAGCAGCTTGGACTTTGCCACCCTCTCGGGCGTGACGTAGAGGAAGCGCAGCCCCGAGCCGGCGGCGTCGGCCAGCGCTGCGAGGATGGCGCTGGCCTGAGCCCGCTCGACGGCTCCCTCGGCGAGGAGCTCCGCCCGCAGCGAGAGGCGGCGGAGCGAGCGCACCTGGTCCTGCATCAGCGAGACGAGAGGCGACACGACGAGGGTGACGCCGGACGGCTCGAGCAGTGGAGGCAGCTGAAAGGTGAGCGACTTGCCTCCGCCCGTCGGCAGGATGGCAAACACGTCGCGGCCAGCAAGGCACGCGTTCACGACCTCCCTCTGCAGAGGCCGGAAGGAAGTGTGTCCGAAGCGAGACTTTAGCAGGCGGGCAACATCGCCGTCCCACGGATGGGCGCCGGCCCAAGAGCCCTCGCCGCTGCCCGAGGCCGACGATGAGGCGGCGGATGAGGTCGATGGGGCAGCGGCGGGCGGTGCCGTGGCGGGCGGTGCGGCGGAGGCTGCTGTTGCGAGTGTTGCTTCCCGCTCGGCAAGCTCTTGCGCGAGCGTGGCCTCCTCGCTGCGCAGCAGCGCCTGCTCTCTGCGATTCGCGGCGAGGCGACGGCGTAGCTCGTCCACGTCGGCCTGGAGCGCGTTCGACGTCGCAAAGAGAGCTCTCAACTTGGACGAGTGCCAACACAACAACAACAAAAAGAATTCTTAAGACCAAGCCTCTCTCACAGCACAACAAAAAGAAGGGGCGCGTGCGCTAGGGCTCTTCCCGATCATCCGGCCCGCTGGGTGCGCTTCTTAGCTCCCCGGCCCTGGATGTGAGGCTGATGACTGCACTCCAAGTGCTCCAAGTGCTTCGCAGCCGAGACGGCTGCCAGCGGGTACCATTTTTTTGATTTTGCCGCGTGCGCGATACAACTGTCAACTCACGTCTGCACTCTAACTTCTGTTGTATGTTGTTGATGATGAAGATGTGCATGCTGTGACTCTGGCTGCGCGCACACGTCTGACGACACCGGTTGTCACCGCCATTAAAACTTATAGTTGTGATATGTGATCGTGCGTGAACGTCGTACCGCGACGCAACTGCGCATGAACTTTCTCCGTGGCGCGTGGCGCCGTGCCCCACGACTCTCCGTGTGTCTCGACGACACGAGCGAACCGCACCCGCGTCCCCGCGCCGCGGCGGCGCCGGCGGCGCTGACCGGGCCGTCTCGCGTGTCGCGTCTGCGGTGCGGGGGGCAGGGCGCCTTGGGCGGGGCCCCGCGCGTCTCACTCAGCACTCGCGCCTCGCAGTCCGCACCCTGTCCCTGAATTTGCCCATCGCATGTGTGTGCCTCGTGGATTGTGGACCCGTGCGCCGAGCCGCCGAGCTGGAGCTGGTCCACGCCAGCATCCAGCAGCCAGACGGCCGCACTCGCAGCGAAGCGCTCGCGAGCACGACGACTTGCGACAGTGCACTCGCGACTCGGAGCGACCGGCGAGGCCTTGACGCGAATGGTAGTCACGGCCGTGTGCGCTCACCAGAAGTCGGGGAAGCGCGGGTCGTTGTCTTCGTCGGGCGTGCGCCGCGTCTTCCACTTGAGGCCGTCGGGGCCCTTGAGCGACGACGAGGCGTCGCCCTGCGTGTAGGTGTACTTCGAGTCGTATTGCGGCAGCAGGACGGCGACGTGGCGGTGGAGGTCGTTCTGGGTTGGGATGAGCTTGATGAAAGCCGCCGGCCCGAGCGACCGCGCCACGCCCGCGACGACCGCCAGCTTCTCCTGCACTTCGACGTTGGCGTTCTGGGCGACCTTCGCTTTGATCTGGTCGATGTCGTCGGGCATGACGCACACGAGGCGCAGCGCGCTCATCGCGAGACGGCCGACGTCGATCTTGGCCGTGGACGTCTTGCCCGTCATGATGGCGGCAACTCGGTGCGCGACGGCCTCCTCGCCGGCACCCATCATCATCAGCCACTTGAGCGCCTCAGTGGCCTCCTTGGGCGAGGCGCCGGCCGCGCCGTTGGGAGCCGCCGTCTTGGCCTGCGAGACACCAGAGGAGCGGGCGCATTGTGGGTGTGCACCGCGCGCCGCGCAGTGGCTAGGCTCGGCGCGCGCGCGGGCGCGTCCGAGCACCTTGACGGCCTTGCCCTTGCCCTTGCCCTTGGCGATCGTCTTCGGCGGCATCGTTGGCGGCGCGCGTGTCGTCAACGTGAAGCTTGCTGGTGAAAAGAATTTTACACGGGCGTCGCACAACACTGGGCACGGGAGCAGGAGAACTAGGAGAGCGCAACCAGTAGGAGGCCCGCGCCTGCCCCCGTGCCGCCGGTTGCAACCTGTCCTATACGAGAGAGGAATCCCTGGGACCCTGTCGTGTGGGTGAACCCTGCCCAGCCCCCCTCCGTGTCGCGATGCGCTCCCCGCTCCCGTTCCCCTGTGTCCCTGATCGTCCTTACAAGATCCTGCTCGTGCAGGTGGGGACCCTGTCCTTCTCCCACCCCTTGTTTGGTGTGTCCGTTTTATTTATTTATTTATTTTGGGCACGGGACTGGCCGGATGAAAAGAATCTTAGGGCGAAAGAAGTTAGACGTCAAGCACTGCGGGAGCTGTCGAGTGCTGAGATGGTTTACGGCTAGGTTCACGGAGGGTACTCCTGCTCGGCTCGGCTCGTACCAGCGCGGGCGCCCGCGCCGCGCGCTCTGTCCGCTGAACGCTTCCGCACGGCGGACGGCGCACGCGCACCGGCCACACTCGCTAGGCTGACCGTTGAGTGCCCGCGCTGTACTTTTTAGAGCGCACCACACAACAGGAGAAAGAACCGGCCCGGCCCGGCCCCCAGCTCTGTGCCAGTGCTCTCCCCGTCGCCACCCTAGCTTATGTGCGCGACAAGCCGAACCGGACAGACACAAGACAGATGCCCGCATCGCCGCGGGTACGCTGAGAGGAGATACCGCGCCGCACGACCAAACAGACGAGACACAAAGGCAGCGCATGTGGCGACTGGCATGGCGCTTTTGCTTTTTTTGCGAGACGCACGTTTTCCCCAACTTGGTGGGGTGTGCTGAAAGGCTAAAAGCAATTTACAAACATGTTCATGTAGAAACTCTTGCTACTTTCTGGGGGTCTTTGTGGGTGATTTTTTTGGTAAAAAAAAAGCTTAGAACTCAGAACTCATACCATTACATGCTAGTACGGTGGGTCCGAGACGATTCGAGACTTGCGAAAGCATCTCGTGTGTGCAGCGCAGCTTTCCCTCCGACTTGCAAAACTCACGGTCCTGTGACCCCGTACATCTTCGAGACTGGTTCAGCCCCGCGGTGGACTAGTCACACGCCCGGACAGGCTTACACGCAGCCTGCAACAGACTCATGCAGATTCCTCGATCCCACACCCTCCCGCCGCGGCCGACGCCTCCAGCCTCGACAGTAGGCCGGCATCAGCCGCAAGCGTCACTTTCTTAATGGGAGACGCTCAGGCCCCGGGCGGCGATCCACGGTAGCCGCCCGACCCAGTCGCGCTTAGCTAGCCGCGACCAAACTCGCTGTCCTTCTCGCTGTCGGTCTCGCTCTACGCGCCGATGGCGAAGCGGGGGCCCTGCTGGCCGGTGAAGACACGGCTGGGGCCGCCGAAGGTCCCATCGCCGTCGATGACCTCGCCGTCGAGCGCTTTACTACACGCACGCTTGACTGCTTTACTACACACACGCTTTCGTGCCGTGCTCGGCGCAATGGTGGTGGCCTGTTGCCACATGCCCGGCCACTTTGTATGATGTCATGCGATTGTCCCAGATTGTGGCATTGGGGTGCGCTTCGAGCAGACCAACAAGAATAATGCATTCAAAATACATTGTGTGCCAGTGGCCTGGTGCCACAGCAGTACAGCGCTGCTGGAGCCTGGCCATATCCAGTAGCTCGCCACAGCCGCCCTCGTATGCCCTCACAATCTGCATCACCGATCGTGCGGCCGCATGTGAAACCACCTGCACACGTCAACAGTTTTGGGGCTCACCCGGGCGTCGCACAGAAGCATGATCCACTCGTGGCCTCGATGGCATGCGAAGCATGCGCGTGAACACGCGCGCGCATGGTGCACGCACAAAGGCACACTGACGACACGCATGTGTGTAGGGGAGTGCGTGGTATAGGTCGGAGGGGGGGGGTCTGCAACGTGCAGCTGTGCTAAATCTTGAGCATGATTATGACACATACGGCCGCACACCCATCCTTTGTCGTCAAAGTCGAAAGTGCTAACCTCCTGATCGGAGGGGCGACGACACCCAATGAATGCAGGAGTTATCCAAGCGCGTGCAAAGTCATAGCTTGCAGGCACGGCGCTGCGGAAGTTTGTGAGCAAATCAAACCGGTGGCGCACCACAAAGGCGTGTCTCACATTGTGCTGCTCCTCGAATGCCACCATCAATCGGAAAGCGCGGCGGACGCCCTCAAACTGCACCAAAAACGTACAGCCACGGGCCGGCATGGTCTTGCACTTCAGAGATGGAGTGCACTGGAACGGGCCGCTACTGTATATCTCATACGCAGCAGGAGAAAGGGCGCGCAAACCGTCGATCAGAGTGGCCGGGGTTGGCCCGCTGTGATGCAAGCTGGCAAATACGTTCGTAGGACCAGGTTTGCCGTTGCCGTCCAGGTGCTGGCGCAACTGCCGGGCTGTCACGGTGTTCAGCAATGGCGCTCCGCCTGAAAGGCAGACCGCAAAGAGGACCGTCGTGGTGAAGCCGCGTGGGACCGGAGGCGTTGCGTTCTCGGCTTGCGCAGCGGGCGCCAGCATCTTAGCGCAGCGCGACTCGCCCAGCGAATCCGCCTCCGCCTCTGTCTCTTACCTTGCAGTGTGATCGTCCGGCGGGCGAAAAAAAGCTCCGGACGGACCTAGCGCTATGGTGTCCTCGTTCCCCTCACCCAAGCCCGACTCTGTACAGTAGCATAGCCATCACGTGGGACTCCTGCGACCCGACGTACAAAGTACCCCGCCCTCGCACTCTCACACACACGTACGCACGCAGGAGCACGCACCGGCCAGACGGCCGCGCATGAGCGATGAGGCTGCGACCCGTGTGCAGGGCACCGCACCGCACACGACGGGCGGACCACGCACGCAGACCAGAGACCTCACGGGTCACGCACGACTAGTCCTCTCGTTGTGTCACACGTGGGCGTGCGGCTCCGGGCGGAAGTGCGGCCCCGGAGCGGCTGTGTGCGCCCGCGTCGCACGGTGGCGCGGCTCATCAGATCATGCGCGGCTCATCAGATCATGCGCGGCTCATCAGATCATGCGCGGCTCATCAGATCATGCGCGGCTCATTCTCCTTGCGCGTCTGGCGCGTGGAGGGGCGCGTGGCGCGGCCCATGCCCAGCGAGCCCTTTGCGCGCCCGTTGCTGTCGCCGAGCGGCTCCGCGGCCCCACCACCCTTGGGGCCCTGCTCCATTCCAACCTCCTGCGCGCCACGAGCGCTCGCGGTCGCCTCCGCGCCCATCGCACCGGCCGCCGGCGCCTCTGCCGGCGCCTCCGTCGGTGGCGGCGCCTCGGCCTCAAGGCCATACGCGCCGAGCAGCCGGGCGAGGAGCACCGGCTTGAGGCCGTCGGTGGGCAGGCCACGCGCCGAGAGCGACGCGCGCAACTCGGCCACCCGCATCGCCTTGACCTCCTTGATGGCCGCGCACGTGGCCGCCGACGGCGCCGACGGCGCGGTGGCGACTTCCGGCGGCGCGGGCGGCGACGCGCCCGCGTCGCTGTCGGTCTCGGCCATCTCGTCGCGATCTCGCTCCATCGACCGCATCCACGCCACCTGACTGAGGACCGTCGTCGGTGGCTTCTTGTTGGTCGGCACCGGCCTGCCACCGTGGCACGCTCGAGACACCGAAAGCAGTGAGCAGCGGCGGCAGCAGCAGCGGCTGCAGTGCCACAGCAGCGGCAGCGGCTGTGCCGCAGCAGCAGCAGCGGCGGTGCCACAGTAGCAGCAGCGGCGGCGCCGCAGCAGCAGTAGCGGCTCGGCCGTGCGGGCCGGTGGGCCACGTACGCGGCCTTGCCCTTGACGAGGAACTTGGCGGTCTCGGGCGGCGGGCCGTCGGGCGGCGGTACGAACGGTTGGTATCTCAGGTCCACCGGCGCGGCCGTTGGCGCGGCCGCAGATCCACTCGGGCTGCTCCACGCGTGCGGCGCGGTGCTCCTCCGCCACGCGCAGCGCGGCGGCGCTCAAGAGGGGCGCCTGCTCGTCGATGAAGCTTGAAGGCGACGAGCAGGAGCTGAGCTCTGGCGAGAGGCCCGAGAGGCGGGCGCCGATGCGGTGGGAGGCCACATACACAGACATCCTTTCAACTTTTCTTTTTTCTAGAGACGTCAGAGGAAGAAATATTAATCCTCGGGCGGCGGAGCGGCGCGGCGGCGGGCAGCGCGAGGCGGCGGCGCGGCGAGGCAGCGGGCGGCGCAGGGCGGGGCGGCGCGGCGGCGGGCGGGGCGGAGCGGGGCGGCGCGGCCATCAGCAGACGCCCGGGCCTTTGGTCCCTGGAGCTCGGCAATGGTCGCGCCGCCCTCGACTCAAAAGGGGCTGCCTTCCACGCGTCGCTGCTCAGGCCGGGGGAGGGGGGGAGACCTCCTGTTCCTCGCGGAACGGGAGCAAGCCCCTCCTTGCCCGGTCTGCGAAGCAGGGCGGTGGTCGTGCCATCTTGGCTTCACAACGAGCACGCCGCAACCGTCGCCGGCGCGCGACACGTTCCCGTCAGCAGGACTGTCCTGGTCGAGAGTGTGTGCCGCCAAGGCGGGACCACTCGGGGACAGTGCCGACGGGACGCGGCTCGAAGGGCGTGGCTCCGCAGCGCGGCTGGCACTCGTCGCAGAGGCCTCACCTTCGAAAAGTCGGGCATGGCTCCACCCGCAACTTTGTCGCTAACACGCGCGCACCGCCGAGCCTGCGGCGGGCGCGCTGCGGCCGCACGTCTACTTCGTCATAGTGCCACGACGTGCGGCCTAGATTTAGCCCACGCGCCTCTGCTCGCAAACACTCACCCATTTGATTGTCGCTGTCCGTGAGTGCGAGATTAGGGCTAGCCGCAGGCAGCTAGCCCATGAGGAGGGCGTCCATAGACACCTCACTAGACCCCACATACGGTCTCGTCCGTGCCTCGCAGGCCGGTGAGATTGCTAGAGGTGGAGCAAGCTGCTCTAGCCTCACATGTCACTTCATGTCGTCTGTTGTTTGTTGTGCTCTTGTTTGTTTCTCTTGGCACCTTGGAGTGCTGGGGGGGGCGACAGGGAGGATATGGCCTTGAGTTATGTGTACGCCAACTCAGGGTGTGTGGCAGCCAGCTGGCTGTGTGTCTTGTGAGCCTTTTGTGTCTGTGTGTCGCTCGTGCGTGTCGTCATCATCTGTCCAGCGTCCACCCATACCGCGTTGGTGTCCAGTCCGAGCCTGGCTGTTCTTCACCTTTCTACCTACCTACCTACTCAGAGGGCGAAAAAAAGGAACACAGAAATTACTTCTCTACAATCACCTCTGGCTACTAACCGGCGGAGAAGAGGCTGCTGGCGGAGTTGACGTGTTGCTGCTGGTACGACGCGGGCATGAAGATGTCGAACTTGCCGCTCGCGCGGCGGCCGTGCTTCGCGGAGACGGCGGCGTCCTCCGGGTCGCCGAGGATGAAGCCCTGCTCCTCGAAGCAGCGCGCCGCCTCGGCGAAGGCGTCGTGGATCGAGGCGGGCGGCCCGCCCGCCAGCTCGATCTCGGCCATCTCGCCGAGCTTGCCGTAGAAGCCGCGGCAAAAGGCGATGGCGGCCTTGTCCTCGAGCAGCGAGTCCCAGCCGATGACGTACAGGTGCGGCATCTCGCGGTGGATCAGCTCGCCGAGCGGGCGCAGCGTGTGGCAGCCGTGCAGCAGCACCGCCTGCAGGTCGGGGCAGTCCTCCCGCAGCAGCCGGATGAGCTCGTCGGGAGGGACCGGCTGCAGCGTGCCCCCGCGCTCAAAGGCGAGCGCGCCGGCGTAGGCGCCGGCGCGGACCGCGTTGCCGTGGCCGGAGAACTGGATCACGCGCGGCGACAGCTCGCGCGCCACGTGCGCCACGTCGTCGGGGAAGGTGGCGGCGGGCCGGATCTCGCGCTGCATGTGCGGGATCGCCTCGCAGCACTCCTGGTAATAATAATAATAATAATATAATAATAATAATAAGAAGAAGAAGAAGAAGAAGAAGCACTCCTGGATCTCGTTCATCAGCTGCAGCTGCGTGATGGTGCGGCCGGAGCGGGTGCGGCGCGGCGACGAGAAGAGGGCGAGCAGCATCACGTGCTTGGACTTCTCCGTGTCGAGCGCGCCGCGGAAGATCTTCTTCTTCATCAGCTCCTTGACCGGCTCGCGCGTGGGCGGCGCGCGGCCGAGCATGTGCTCGGTGATGAGCTTGCCCATACTCGCGTCGGGCCACTCAGTGCGCGTCAAGCGCGACGCCACCACCTCGTAGAAGCGGTCGGCCGACCAGCGCTCGTCCTGCGCGTCGGTCGAGACGGGCCCGTCCGCGCCGTCGCCCGCGCCGTCGCTCCAGTCGCCGAGGAGCTGCCGCCCGTTGCAGAGCTCGTACAGCACCAGCCCGAGCGACCACACGTCCGCCGACGCGCGCACGACCAGCCGGCCGGCGGCGGCGGAGACAGAGCCCGACGCGCGGCCGGGGACGGAGCGCCGCGCCGAAAAGCCGGAGGCGCACGCGGAGGAGCCCGCGCTGCAGCCGCCGTTCGCGCTGGAGTCGCGGCCGGAGCCGCAGCTAGACGCCAAGGGCGAATGGTCGTCCGACGTGGCGGCATCGGCGAGGTTCTCGTCGAGCGGCGACGCCGACGGGTCCGATTTGACGAGGCTCTGCAGCTGCAGCCGGCCCGAGCCGACCGAGCTGGCGGCGGGGAGGGAGACGGCGGGCAGGTTCTCGGCGGCGAGGAGCCGCGAAAAGCTCCTCGTCCTCGTCACCACCAGCTGCTCCCTCGCCACCAGCTGCTCCTCGTCCTCGTCCTCGTGGCGGTCGCCGCTGCTCGCGTTGGCCGCCGCCGCCAGCGCCGCCGCCCTCCTCACCGACAGAATCTCTGGCGGCGCGTACTGCGGCGTGCAGGCGTACCGGTCGGCGTGGCGCGCCTCCCCCTCCTCGAGCACGGCCTAACGGGACGCGTCGTGGACGTGTCAGGGACATGCCGCCCGAGAGGCGGGGGGGACCCTGCCGGCGGGCGGCGGTTGCGTCGTAGTCGATCAGCTTCCAGTCGCCGCCGAAGCGCAGAAAGTGCGCCGGCTTGAGGTCGTTGTGCACGAGCCCCTTGTCGTGCAGCTTGTCGGCGCACTGCAGCAGCCGCAGCGCCACCGCGCGAGTCGCGATCGTTGAGAGGCCCGACGCGATCCCGCGGTATGGGCTCGCCGCCGCCCTCGCGCGCGAGAAGGTGGCGAGGTCCGAATACTGGTGGTCCGCAAACTCGATCACGAGGATGGTGCGGTCGCCCTCGACGAAGGCGTCGTACAGCACTGGCGCCGTCTCCCCGCCGAGCAACCGCAGCACGGACGCCTCCCGCTTTGCGGCGGCGCGGCGGGAGGCGCCGTCGTACACCTTGAGGCAAACCTCGCGGTGCGAGATCGAGTCCTGCGCGTAGAAGACCGCCGCCTGCACCTGTTGAGTGCAGGACGGGAGAGCTGTGCGCCGGCGGCCGTTTCCTCGCGCACGAGCACGAGGCAGCCGCCAGCACCTGCCCCGAGACCGTGTACCGCCCCGCCTGCAGCGTGGCCGGCATCGACCCGCCAGAGGTGCGGAAGCGGCCGCTCAGCGTCAGCCGCCCACTCATCGACGGCCCGAGACGGCCGCGGACGGCGTCGAGCATCTCGGCGAGCTCCTCCTCCCACGCGTCGTCGAGCGCCGCCGCCGCCTCGAGCGGCGTGATGCCCTTCGCGTCGTGCGCCGAGCGGCCGTCGATCATGAGGTGCCTAACCTCGGGTCGTCTCGGGTCATCTCGGGTGGTCTCGGCCAGCCTCGGCCGGCGACCGATCATGAGGTGCGTGTCGCGCAGCAGCAGCTCCGTCATCTTGCGGTGCGTCCCGCGCACCGCAAGATGCATCGCCGACTCTCCCGTGGTGCGGAGCCGCTGCTCGATGTGCGTGCGGCCCAAATTGCCACTCAGCAGCGGCGGGTTGCCGCCCGCACGGCGCAGCAGCGGAAGCGCGACAGCCTGAGCGCCGACAGCCGCTGCAGCGAGCAGCAAGTTGCAGCCGTCATTCGCGACATAGTCGAGCAGCACGCGCAAAAACTGCGCCGCCCTGCTGCCGCCGCCGGAGCCGCCGCCGCCATCGCCATCGGCGCCGGCGTCGCTCCGCAAGGAGGAGGCGCCCCCAAAGCCCGCCGCGTCGCTCGCCAAGGCAGCGTCGCCGTTCTGAGAACGCGGCGGCGGGTGCGCGCTCGCGGATCGGCTAGCGCCTATGCGGACAGTTCCGCGAAAGCTCCGGGGAGGCAACGTGCGGCGGCGGTGCGCTCGCGGGTCGGCTCGCGCCGTGCGTCGGTGGCTCGTCGAGGAGCGGGCAGAGGAGGGACAGGACGAGCTCGCGAGAGGACTCGACGTACCTGACCCGTCCAATCAGCTCGCTGGCTGATCGAGTCGTGAGGACGAGAGGCCCGGGTGAGCGGCACCCTGCCACGCCGCGGAACTCGCCGTCGCCGTCGTCGGCCGAGGTGCGGAGCAGGATGAGGCAGACCTGCGCCGCCGCAGCCAACGGGTCCTCCTCGAGGGGAGAGCCGAGCAGCCACGCGCCTAGTGGAGTCACTAGTGGAGTCAGCCGTCGTCCGAAGAGTAGCCCCGTCGAGCGGGCTGTGTGATCTCGAGTGATCTCGGGTGTGATCTCGAGTGTGATCTCGAGTGCGATCTCGTGTGATCTCGAGTGTGATCTCGAGTGTGATCTCGAGTGTGATCTCGAGTGTGATCTCGAGTGTGATCTCGAGTGTGATCTCGAGTGTGATCTCGAGTGTGATCTCGAGTGTGATCTCGAGTGATCTCGAGTGTGATCTCGAGTGTGATCTCGAGTGTGATCTCGAGTGTGATCTCGAGTGTGATGGTCTCGAGTGAGCAGCCACGCGCCGGCGTCGAAGGAGCCGGCCACGCCCACGCCGAGCGAGGAGGAGCTGCTCGCGCTCCTCTGCAGCGGCGGCGCCGACGCCAGCTCGGGCGCCATCCTAGCCGATGCGTGCGCCTCGGCGCTGTTTCGCGCCCGCGTGGCATCGGCGTCCGCGCTGGAGGCAGCGCTCGTGCGAGGCACGCTCTCCTGCCTGCCCGAGAGAGTGGACTGGCGCCGGTAGGAGGGCGGCGCCTCGTCGTGCGGCGCGAGGTCGCCGCCAAAGAAGAGGATCGCCTTTAATAATATAATAATATAATAATAATAATATAATAAATATTAACTATTAAAGAAGAGGATCGCCTCTTCGCTCGGCGGCGCGTCCGCCTCGCGCGAAGGGCGCCTGTTCACAGCGTCTGGCCGCGCTCTCCCCGCCTGTGCCTTTCCCCTCCCCTCCCGCCTTTTGCGGCGAACGCCTGTCGAGCGGCGGTGCCGCCCTCCGGCTGCTCCTCGCCGCCGCCCGCAGCATGTCGCCCCCAAACGAGAGCCGCGGCGACGACGGCCCCCGACTGCCGCCGCCCAACACCGGACCGCTGCTGCTGCTGCGCGTCGGTAGGCGGACGGGCGGCGCGTTGCCCAACCGCTCGTCGAGGGAGAGCTTGTCATCGAGGCTCGGCGAGCCGCACTGGTCGCCGCCCGCGCCGCCCTCCCCGACGCCGCCCTCTCCGACGCTGCCCTCCCCGACGCCGCCCTCTCCGACGCTGCCTGTACAGCGCCCAAGGGAGGAGCCACGGGAGGAGCGGCGGGGGACCGACTCGGTGCGGCTAGAAATGCTTCCCGAAGCGCCGCACGTGAACCGCCGCGGGAAGCGCATCGCGGGCAGCCCGTCGTCGCACTCCTCCGTCGCGGCGAGAACAATCCGCGCGCAGACGAGGAGGCGGAGCAGCGCCTTGAACCGCGGCGCCTGCGACCCGCCCACGTGCCGCTGCGCTCGCGCCTGCTCGCGGCTCACCGTGAGGCGGAGGCACTCGTGCGCCCGCTGGATGGGCGACCAGCCAAAGGCGTCGGCCTCGACGATCTGCTGCCGAAAGGCAGCCAACCCGTGTGCCTCCCTCGCCCCTGCCCGCCGCCGGGCCGGGGAGAGGGCGTGGCTGCCTATCGGCGCGGGCTTGAGACACGAGACGACGGCGCTGAGCGAGGCGGCGAGGGCGGCCTTGTGCAGCGCGTTCTGCCCGAGGTACCGCTCGGGCGAGAGGAAGTGGGCGAGCTGGTGCAGCGAGGAGTCGCCGCAAAGCTCCGCAGGCGCCGCGGCCCTCCTTTGGGAAGAAGCGAGGGGCCCCTCCGCCACCGCCCTTCGCGGGCCCGGGTCGCTGCTGCCGCCGGGCGATGCAGGGACGGCCGGCGCGGCGGGCCCTTGCTTGGCCGAGGAGAGGACGCCATGGCGGCGCGGGTGGCTGATGGGCTCGGCGAGGGCGCCGGCGGCGGCGAGGGAGGGGATCTCCGCGTCGAGGAAGGCGGTGACCTCTTGCAGGTCGGGCATCGAGTCGACGGCGCCGGGCCTTGAGTTGGAGATGGAGCCGCCCGCGTAGGCCCACGTGAGGGCCTGGGCGGGCGAGAGGTGGCGGCAGCGCGCAGCGACGTACGAGGCGAAGAAGGCGTCCGCGGCGCCGAACGGGTCGACGACCTTCTCGCCGGGCTTGCGCGGCAGGAAGAGCTGGAGCCGCTCCTCGGTCGGCTCGGCGAAGGCGGGCGGGAGGTCGTCCTCCTCCTCCTCGCCCTCGTCCTCCCCGCGGGGCTGCAGCTGCAACTGCCGCAGCCGCACCCGCGTCGGCGACGAGGGGACGGACCCTCTGGTGAGGTGAGACAGCGCGAGCGCCCTCGAGGCCGGCGGCTCGCCCCCCCCCTCCCCCCCGCCCCCCCCCCCGCCCCCCCTCCCCTCCTCGCTGCCCCCACCTCCGCCCCCGCCATCCCCGAGCGCGGCCTCACCGCCCCGGCACGCCGCGCCGCAGCATGGCGCCGGGGGTGCGGTGGCGGTCCACACCCTCTCGCTCCCCTCCTCCTCGTCCACCGCCCGGAGCGTCGCGACGAGCGACGGGCGGCGCTCCGGCGGAGCGGAGCGGGCCAAAGGGGCGGACGGGGTGGGGTCGGTGGAGGCGGGGGGATCGGAGGCGGCGGCGGCGGCGGAAGCGGCGAGAGCGGGAAGAGCGGGAGCCGGAGAGTCGTCCCGCCGCAGGCTGTCGGAGGCGGCGACGGCGGCGACGGCAGAAACGGGGACGGCAGAAACGGCGGCGTCAGCGGCGGCGTCAGCGGCGGCGTCAGCGGCGGCGGCGGCGGCAGCAGATGATGCGGCGGCGGAGGCGGCGGCGGGTGGGGAGGTTCTCGACCGGCTCCTTCGCCCCGCCTCGCGTCGCAAGCGGCCGGCGATGCTGCCGGCGGTCGCCTAGTGGGGCGGACCCTCAGCCCGACTCAATTCATCGACTAGGCGCCCGGCGGGTGGCGCTGGCCGGCGCAGGCCTGGGCGGTAGGCGAGATATGGGGAGATGTGGGGAGATATGGGGAGATATGGGGAGATATCTATAGCAGGCCTGGGCGGTAGGCGAGAGGCGCTGCTGCGCGAGGACGCACCCGATGCGCGTGTTGACGAGGACAGTGGAGAGGTTGGGCCAGCGCAGCAGGAGCGAGTCGGCGGCGAGGCCCGCCTGAGAAGGGGTGGGAGAGCGCCGCACACAGAAGAGGCTGAAGAGGCGGAGGCCGGCGAGGCGCTGCCTCGTCGAGGGTGGCGAGGAGGGGCGAACCTCGGGTCATCTCGGGTCATCTCGGGTCATCTCGGGTCATCTCGGGTCATCTCGGGTCATCTCGGGTCATCTCGGGTCATCTCGGGTCATCTCGCCTCGTCGAGGGTGGCGAGGCCGCTCGAGCCCCACGAGAGCAGCCGCGGCGCCTCGCTCTCGCCCACGAAGAGGACGTCGACATGCCCCACCAGCTCACGCACCTCGGAGAGCCGCGAGTCGTTGAGCGGCGACGCGCGCAGGCAGACGTGCACTCCGGCGGCATGCGCCTCGTCCGCCGCAACAACCATCGGCTCGAGAGGCAGCTCCAGCTGCAGCAGCAGCGCGCTGTGGGCGGCCTCCTTGCCGGCCAGCCGCGCCCAGCGCTGCGACGCGGTCGGGCGGTACAAGCGGCGCAGCTCGGCCATCTCGCGCTCTCCGACGAGGTTGTTCGCGCCATCGCACGCGACCGACACCTTCAGTCGAGGACCCGAGCTGACCCGAGCTGACCCGAGATTGTCCGAGATCGCACGTCGCCGACACCTTCTCGCGCCCGCCCTCGCGCCCCTCGGCGCCGTAGATTTGGACGGCGACGCCGGTGACGGCGGTGGGGTCGCGGGTGACGCCGCGCGTCGACAGGAGGGAGGGGGCCAGAGTGACCTGGGTGGAACGCTCGAGCGCCCCGAGCAGCGCCGTGCCTAGCTCATGATCGGAGTGGGAATAGGAGCAGGAACCATGGCAAATTAGTGGCCTACGCAGCAGCGCGGTGCCCAAGTCGTCGCTGCCGACGCGCCCGACGAGGGACGTTGTGACTCCTGTTCAAAGTGTCTGGCGTGTGCGGCCTGCTTTTCTTCGGTTGAGGCCCGATGTGGGAGGTTGCGATGCCGAGGCGGGCGAGCGCGACGGCCTGGTTGGCGCCCTTGCCTCCGGGCACCTACGCAGTTATACGCACTGATGGATAATACTTGCACAGGCCTGGTCCGCGCCCTTGCCTGCCGGCACCGAGTCGAAGACGCCGATGGTGTTGTTCGACTCGAAGAGGCCGACCTCTGTCTCTGCGCGCAGGTCCATGTTGATCGAGCCAAAGACAATGCAGCGGCCGAAAGTCTTCTGACTGCCGGATGGGTCCAGCCGCAAGCCGCACTTCCTCCGCACCTGCAAAGCGCGATGCCGAGTCCGGGACATGTCCTGGACAGGTCCCGCCGCGAGCCTCGCCCCGCACCCGGAAGCCCCGGTAGACGCGCTGCAGGCGGCATGCGGCGGCGTGCGCGGCGTTGCGAGCGGTGGCGAGCTGCTCGCGCCTAGAGCGGGCGAGGGGTCCGAGAAGGCTCCCAGAAGGCTCCACGGCAGGTGCACGTGCGGTGGCAGCTGCTCGCGCCCGTCGCGCAGGTCGCGGCCGAGCGCCTGCGGGAGATGTCCATGCGCGTGTGAGGCGGGACGCGTCCGAGGACGTGTCCGAAGCACGTGTCCGCCCGCCTGGAGGACATCCCCTCCCTCCGTCGCCAGCGCCGCGTACAGCAGCGCGCGCACGAAGGCGAGCTCGTTGGTCGACTGCTCGACCCGCGCGGCGTTCGCGTCCAGCACCGCCCGCAGCTTTGCCGCCGAGCCGGGAGCCTCGGCCAGCTTCGCCTCCAGCTCGGCCTGCTTGGAGCGCTCGGCGCCGGCCGCCTCGACCACCTTGACGAGTGCGGGCAGCGCGTGGGAGTGCTCGAGCGCCATGGCCCACGCGGCGAGGCGGGCCGCCTGCTCCTCGCGCGGCAGCTCGCTCAGCCCCGACGGCGCGAGATCGCTCGGCCCCGCGTCGGACCAGCTGGCTCTGCGCTCTGCGATGTTCGGCCGCGCCGCCGCCGCCGCGCCGAACTCAGAATGCGTCTGGCTGAGCCGGCGCACCCGCTGAGGGCTCGCCTGCACGACGGTGTCGAGCTCGACCAGCCGCTGCTGGATCGACTGCTCGGTCATCATGTCTGAGTCCTCAGAGCTGACAGAGACGTCCATAGTCGCGCAGGCGTGGGGCCGCCTGCCGGCGCGCCGCCAGCAGACCGGCAGCAGATCGGGACGCGAAATCGGGGCGCGGAGAGTCGCGCTGGGTTCCGGCTCCTAGCCGGATAGGGGGTCTGCGAGCTGGCCCCTCCCAGATAGGTAGGTAGGTTGGTCTTGTTTCGCCCAAAAGGGCCCTGCAATAGGTAGGTACCCCCTATTTTCATCTTTTTTCGCTTCGCTGCGCGGCCTGGGGATAGGTAGGTAGGTAGGGCGTTTTGGCGCGAGTCAGTCCCAACAGACCCCCTATCCGGCTAGGAGCCGGAACCCTGATGCCTTTGCTCCCCAGTCTGCAGCGTTCACAAGCCTTGTTGTTGAGAAGAAAATACCTCCGATGGCGCTGTGCGCTGGTCTGTGAGAGGTTGAGGTGCGAGCCCTGGAGGCCCTGGGGATGGGGGGGGACTACCCGCGGGCTTCACAGCTCCTGCGAGCTGTGTTGACGTCGCCAAAAAGAATTTATTTTCTTTTGTTTTGTAAATTTGGTGTAGCGCGGGCCCTCTCTCTCGGCGAGCCGGCACCTCCCCCGCCCGCTCTGCGGCTCTGCGGCCTCCAGCTCCACCCCCGGATTCGCCCTTCACTGCGTCCGACTTGATGCTGCACCCAAGTGCTTCGACCAAGTGCTCCGAGTTCCCTCAACAACCCAAAGAAACAAAAAATCAGCCGCGAGAGCGTGTCAGTCACTCGATTGAGCACTTTGGCGCGCGGCTCGCGGCTCGCGGCTCGCGCCTCGTTCTCAGTCGCTTCAAGTCTCGCGTCATCGCCGGACCTTCGCGTAGTCGCCGGCTCCTGTGATGCACCGTGGTTACACTCGGTGCGCAGGCGCGGGCGCAAAGTCCAGCTGCACTGCACCTCGCACCTCACAAGTGGCAGTGCACGCCTCGCCTTCTCCGCATCGACCCTGGCTGCTACTCATCTTGCTCCTGTCTGCTCCGTCCGCCGCCTCGGAACCCACGTGCCGTCGTCCCAGCACGGCGAGGGGTGGCCTCGCTTATGGGTACGTCTTCAATCAGCCAGGTGACGCCGAGGCGGATCTCACCGTCGCAAACTTTGATGCCTCAGCCTTTGCCAGTACGATCAGCTGCCTCCCTGGCCTCAATCAGACGGGGCCAATCACTGCAGAGGTCTGTCCCTTCGACTGCGCGGGTATTTGCAACGGAGGGCCTGGATGCCAGGACGCCTGCGCCCAGACGGTCGGGGATGATGCCCTTGACTATACCCTGACGGGGTGCGAGGCGCTCGAGGTCGCAGCATTCCCGCCATGTTGCGACTGCTGGCGCGGCTGCGGCGGCTGCGGCTCCGATGAGTGCTGGGGGCGCAATTCTACCATCTGGGATAACACGATCGGAGCCTTCAACACCTTTGGCCACTGTGACTGCGACAATGACCTCATCCGGACAGACACTGCTTGGAAGCAATGTACCAGGAACATTCCCGGCTATGGTGGGGGTCAGCTCTGCGTGTTGCCGCCCCGCGACTCTCTTCCCTCGCCGCCGCCGCCATCACCGCCACCGCCGCCGCCGCCACCGCCGCCGCCACCGCTGCCGCCCTACCCGCCCGACAATGCACCTACACCGCCGCCGCCATCGCCGCCGTCCCCCTGCGTCCACGACGACAGCAAGTGCTCCGACGATGGCGACAACTGCTACGCCGATGGCCAGTCTGAGGCTCAGACCTGCAGCGACGGCTACACCGCCAGCCCTCACCCCGACGAGCCTCGGAACAACGGCCGCTACACGTGCTACCCGCCTCACTGCCGCTGCGACGCGTCCAAGTGCTCGAGCGAAGGCGACGATTGCTGGGCGGTCGGCTTGCTAGACGGTGAGGCGCAGACGTGCCGCGACGGCTACTTGCCGATCGCGTTCAGTGACTGGCAGTACACCTGCTGCTTCGACTTTGACCAGCCGCCGTCGCTGCCGCCGCTGCCGCCGGTCCCGCCCTACCCGCCAGCCCAGGTCCCCGCTCCGCCGCCGCCGTCGCCCCCGTCCCCCTGCGTCCACGACGACAGCAAGTGCAACGACTGCTACGCCGATGGCCAATCCGAGCCTCAGACCTGCAGCGACGGCTACACCGCCAGCCCTCACCCCGAGGACCCTCACAGCGAATGGCGATACACGTGCTACCCGCCTCACTGCCGTTGCGACGCGTCCAAGTGCTCGAGCGTAATGGGCTGCTACGCGGACCCAAGCTACGAGGCAAGGACGTGCCGCGACGGCTACTTGCCGATCGCGACCAATGAATGGGAGCAGTACACCTGCTGCTTCAACTTCGACCAGCCGCCGTCGCTGCCGCCGGTCCCGCCCTACCCGCCAGCCCTGGCCCCCGCTCCGCCGCCGCTGTCGCCGCCGTCCCCCTGCGTCCACGACGACAGCAAGTGCTCCGACGATGGCAACAACTGCGAGGCCGATGGCCAGTCTGAGGCTCAGTCCTGTAGCGACGGCTACACCGCCAGCCCTCACCCCGACGAGCCTCGGAACAACGGCCGCTACACGTGCTACCCGCCTCACTGCCGCTGCGACGCCTCCAAGTGCTCGAGCGCCGGCGGCGACTGCTACGCAGACGGCACGCCAGACGGTGAGGCGCAAACGTGCGACGACGGCTACTTGGTCGTCCCTGTCAATGACGGGCAGTACACGTGCTGCTTCGACTTCGACCAGCCGCCGTCGCTGCCGCCGCTGCCGCCATTCCCGCCAGCCCTGGCCCCCGCTCCGCCGCCGCCGTCGCCACCGTCCCCCTGCGTCCACGACGACAGCAAGTGCTCGAGCGATGGCAACGACTGCTACGCCGATGGCCAGTCCGAGGCTCAGTCCTGCAGCGACGGCTACACCGCCAGCCCTCACCCCGACGAGCCTCACAACGAATGGCACTACACGTGCTACCCGCCTCACTGCCGCTGCGACGCCTCCAAGTGCTCGAGCGATGGCGACGATTGTTTTGCCTACCCAGGCTACGAGGCTCAGACGTGCGACGACGGCTACTTGGTCGTCCCTGTCGATAACTTCCTTTACTCGTGCTGCTTCAACTTCGACCAGCCGCCGTCGCTGCCGCCGCTCCCACCCTACCCGTCCCAACCGCCGTCGCCACCGTCGCAGCCGCCATACCCTCCAGGTGCGGCTCCGGCACCGCCGCCGCCGCCCTCGTTCTCACAGATCTCGGCGGGCGAGGAGCACACGTGCGCCGTGTTGGACGGCGTGGGACACGTCGAGTGCTGGGGCCAGGATGAGGATGGCCAGAGCACGCCGCCTCCTGGCGTGGCCTACTCACAGGTCTCGGCGGGCGACTCGCACACCTGCGCGTTGAGGTCGGAGAATGGCTACGCGGAGTGTTGGGGCTCGGACGACAACGGCAAGAGCACGCCGCCGTCCGACGTGTCCTACTCGCATATCGCGGCGGGCGATGATCTCACCTGCGCTCTGAGGTCTGACAACGGGCACGCTGAATGCTGGGGAGATTTCGATGATGAGTACGTTCCACCGCCCGGCGTGGCCTACTTGCACATCTCGGCGGGCGGGGACCACATCTGCGTCATCCGGTCGAACGACTCGCGCGCTGAGTGCTGGGGTTTCGAGGATGGCCAGAGCACGCCGCCTCCTGGCGTGGCCTACTCACAGGTCTCGGCGGGGGGCGAGCACACCTGCGCGTTGAGGTCGGAGAATGGCTACGCGGAGTGTTGGGGCTCGGACGACAACGACAAGAGCACACCGCCGTCCGACGTGTCCTACTCGCACATCTCAGCGGGCGAGGACCACACCTGCGCTCTGAGGTCTGACAACGGGCACGCTGAATGCTGGGGGTCGGATGAGGACGGAGAGAGCTCCCCACCGCCAGGCGTGGCCTACAATCAAATCGCTGCGGGGGGCGAGCACACCTGCGCGCTAAGGGACAATGGGCAGATCGAGTGCTGGGGCAGTGACGAGGAGGGGATTGTCCCATGGTGGTCGATCGACTGCTCCGCTGAGATTCGTTTCGGCTTCTGCCAGACGGAGTGCGCCATCTTTGCCTACTGCGAGGATGAGGAGACAGAGGATGAGAACTGCAAAAGGGAGCCTGCGGCCTGCGGCTCCAAGTGCGCTAGATTCTTGCGCTGTCCTCCAGCGCCGCCCGCTCCACCTTCTTCGGCGCCGTACTACTCTGCCATCGAGTACCTCTCCAGCGACTGCTCTGGAGCACTCTGGCGGGTATGGTCGGTCCCGTCCGTCGCGACCAGCGCGGAGGAATCGAACGCCTCTTGCCTGCCTGCCTCCACGCCTGGGGGGGCCTCCTCTTCTAACGTGTGGTGTGACTTTACCGGTCCGCAGCCCAAGTTGCAGGGCACGTCCTTCATGCCGCCTCTCCCTCCTAATTCGTCCGCGACATGCGACGAGGCGAGCTGGCCTGACAAGGACGGCGGCTGTGGCGAGTGCAAGGTCTTCGTAGGACTCGGCAACTTCGAGTCCTACGGCAGCTGTGGCGGCTACTGCGCCTCGATTGGCCGCTCTTGCACGGGTGCGTGGGAGGGGAGTGACGATAGCTGCGCGATCAAGTATGAGACAACGTGCGATCACTCCATCGACTTAAGCGACGACGACGGCGACGACGAAGGCGCCACAGCAATCTGCGAGTGTGCAGCGCTCTACTCCAACAACTGCAGCACGACTGGAGGGGGCTTCGGGAGTGACGGGAATGGCATCGTTGCTAACGGCTCGACCTGCGTTGACTACGGCAACGGCTACTCGGGTCTGTTCCTGTGCGTGGATGTCCCCTCACCTCCGTCGCCACCGCCTCCGTCGCCGCCGCCACCGTCGCCGCCGCCACCGTCGCCGCCGCCACCGTCGCCGCCGCCACCGTCGCCGCCGCCACCGTCGCCGCCGCCACCGTCGCCGCCGCCACCATCACTGCCGTCACCCTCGCCGCGGCCTCCCTCGCCGCCGCTGCACCCGCCATCGCTGCCACCGGCTGCGCCGCCCCCGCCGGTCATGCCGCCGCCGCCACCCTTTCTGCCAGGCACTGCGCCCTCGCCTTCGCCTCCCTCGCCGCCGCCACCCTCGCCCCCGCCTTCGCCACCGTCGCCGCCGTCGCCCCCGCTGGCCATCGTAGTCAGAGCCTCTACGGTTATGAACGTGACGGAGCCAAAGGCCCTCGGCAACACGACGGTCGAGCAGTTGATGGGCGAAATCGAGTTGGCGCTGAGTCAAATCAACCGTCGGCGCCTGCACGACCAGCGCCGAAGGCTTGGGGTGGAGAACGTGCGCGTGTGCCAGCAGTCGCGCTATGTACTGGATCCAGATTTTCAGAACCCACTGATCGATCAGTGGGTGACTGTGGTGGACTCCTGGTACAGCGAGTGGTGCAAGGACCCTTACCGAGGAGGCGGAGGCACCTGCACCGCCGACGAGGAGGGCGCCGACAGCTTCATGATCACCTGGGGACCTTGCGGCGATGCGTGCCGCAGCACGGGCTGTGAAGCCATGCCGAACGGTCGACGGTTGGACTCGCCACCTGATCCGTACCTAGAGTCAAGGCCCCTCGTCGTCAGCATCAAGATCGAGTACGACAAGGTTGTGGAATACAACCCCGACGACCTTGCCGGCGGCGGCCTGGACGACCAAGCCAACCGGTCGACCGTCGAGGTTGTCATCGCCGTCGAGCAAGCGATCGGAGGGCTGTGCCCGCAATGCACCGTGACGTCAGATCCCGATCCTACCATCTTCCCGCCCCGTCCCCCGCCGACGCCACCGCCGCTGCCGCCACCGACACCGCCGCCCTCGCCGCCGCCGAGCCAGCCTCCACCAAGCCCACCGCCCAGCCCGCCGCCGTCAAAGCTCCCTCTGGTGATTGGTACGACGGTTCCGGCGAGCGTTGTCGTGCTCCTGGCGATCGCCGCCGCCTACTACCGGCGCCGAGTGCGGAGCAGGATGGTTGCGCCGGTGCGGCGCAGCACCGCGGTGTTCGAGGAGGCGCCGCAGGAGAAGCGGGTGTGGCGATGGAGCGAAGTGCCGGCGCTCGTCAAGTCGATGTCTGTGAAGCTGCTCAAGGTCGCGGACGGCGATGCTGTCGACGACGAGCTGCCAAACGGCGGGGACGGAGGCTTGCGTGTCGAGACCAGCCTGCTCCGCGACGCCTTTGAGGCGGCCATGGACTGCTTCGGCCATCTTGCGTTGGAGGATGTGCGGCTAGAAGTGCGCCGTCAGGCGGCAGCACTGATCCAGAGAGCGTGGCTGCGCAAGGCGGGTGGACGGCCGCTCCCAAAGAAGAGGGCGGCGGGCATGGGGGGCTACGGCAAGTTTGGAGGCAACATCAAGCAGATGATCACTGGCGAGCCAAAGCAGGCTGCATTGGGACTGCACTACCTGCTTGGCGTGAGGGAAGCGGAGACGGCGCCAATGATGGTCGACCCCGTTCAATCTATCCGGGAGGAGTTCCTGCGCCACGGCACCGCAGACGACCGGTGGTGCCTCGAGTACGTCCTCTCCTCTTCGGCTGGCGCGACGGACCGGGAGTGGCCAAACGGCGCGGGCCGAGAGAGACCGCAGTAAGCTCGAGTCCATGACGCATCCATGACCATGACATGTCCACGCCACACGCCCCATAGGCAAGATGGACGAGGGGCGGAGCGGCGAGAGGTTTGAAGACTTTGTGAGCCACTCGAGCGCGAGAGAGGCAGGGCTCGATGCAGGCCAACCCCCATCCCTCGCCTATCCCTTGCCCCGCCTCCACCGCCGCCTCATCCGCTCCTAGAGAAGCAAGAGCGTGTTCTCACTACGAGCTTAGGCCACGTGCTCGCTCTCCGCTTGTACACGACCAACGCGTACCGCTCCCTCAACGACCCGCTGCGCAACAAGGAGCGCGAGGAAGCGCATCCCTTCCCGGTGAGCACACCACGTCTTGAGCTCGTGCACGGAAGCGCCCTTATCAACGCACGTGCTGTGATCAGGTGACGATGCTCAAGCTCTCGGACGGCATCAAGAAGCTCCGCGCGGTCGCCGCCGACCTCGCCGGCGGCCACGAGCCGGCCGACCTCTTTCGCGGCGCGCACTAGAGCCTCCGATTTTTAGCTGAGAGACCGGTCGCGATAAACACTTCGTGGCCGAGGCCGCGCCCTTATCACCCCTCGCGCTGCTGCCGTGGTAGGCATGCGTGACATGGAGGTGGACGCCGAGTTTGAGCGGCAGGGCGGCTCCGAGCTCGCCTGCATGTCGACGACGACCGATCTGGCGGTGGCGCTCCGCTACTCCGCCAGCCAGGCGAGCCTGCTGCTAAAGCTGCGCACCTCCTCCTTCATGGACCGCGGCGCCGACATCGCCTTCCTCTCCGCCTTCCCGGGCGAGCGCGAGGTGCTCTTCCCGCCGCTCACCTACTTGCAGCCGACGGGGCGGAAGGAGGTGCTCGAGTTTGGCGAGGGGGCCAAATGCACCGTCGTCGAGGTGAGCGTGCGATTCCCGAGCTGAGCCCGGGGGACAGCAACGTAAGTAGGTCTATTGTCCCAGGTTCCGAAGTAATCTGAAATTCATCCAAAACGAAAAGCGAAAAACATGGTTTAGCGGGATCTGGGAAAAGAAACACGGATCGAGGGGGGCTGCCGCCAGCGGAAGAGTGACTGTGCTAGATAGACAGAGGAGCTCAGACGGCTGCACCGACCTCCACGCCATGGGCAAGGCGCACGGGGCCAAAGGCCCAGACGTCATTGTCGATGCGCAAGTAGTTGACGGGGTCAAAGAAGTTGAACGTCTCGCGGTCTCCACCAAAGGTGTAGATGGACGAATCCGACGACGATGACGACACGATCGCGGCGAAGTCGTATTTCACGTCGGCCGATGTGGTGGCGCTCCACGGCCTAGCCGCGAGGAGGGACCACTTCTCGCCATCGGCCGAGGTCCACATGTCGACGGGGTTGTCTTCCCCGATGCCCGTCTCGTCCGGTCGAAAGCCGCCAAACAGGACGAACCGATCGGCCAGTGGCAGCACCCAGTGCCCTGGGCGCGACGGCCACGGTGCCTCTGCAGTGACTCGCTCCCACCTAGCGCCGTCGCGCGTGCGCCACACATCGTTAAAGTACGGGAGCACACCGTCGACATCGGCCAGGAAGCCACACTCGCCGCCGAAGAGAAAGAGAGCGTCGCCCATCACCGCGAGCGCCGCGCCCGCACGCTTAGCCCACGGCGCGTGCTCGGCCAGCTGCGTCCAGTTCGCCCCGTCCTGAGAGCGCCACACGTCGTTGTGATAGATCCTAGCGCTTGGCCCTGCCAGGATTGCAGCGTCGTCGTTCACTGAGCCGCCGAGGACAACCAGCGCGCCGTCAAAGGTGATTGCACTCAGGCCCGCGCGACTCGTCCAGCCAGCATGCTCCGTCTCGCGACGCCAGGCCACGCCATCGTTTGTGCTCCAGACGTCGTTGAAGAAGTCGGACGCAGCGACCATTGCGTCTCCCGCGATGCCAGGGGGCGGACCGGCGGCGTCTCCAGGCGGACCGCCACCACCTTGCATCCCAGCAGGCGGACCGGCGGCGTCTCCAGGCGGACCGCCACCACCTTGCATCCCAGCGCCCGGTGCCGCGACGACCTTGTAGTTCTGCCCGCCCATCACGTATGCGCGATCGCCGAGCACAATACACTTGAAGTACGCCCGAGGTGCCCAGTGCGAGCCGCCATTCTCGGCGATCTGCGTCCAGGTGACGCCGTCATCAGCACTCTCCCAGACGTCGCTCCAGACTTGGCTGTCGCCGGGAATCGGAACCGGCGTACTTGGAGCGCCTGCCGTTCTTCCTCCCATGAGGACGAACTTCTCATTGATCTCGACAACCTGCAAGCCCGCTCGCCGCGTCCACGGCGCAGCCTTGTTGACAAGTCTCCACTCGGCCTCGTCGAGAAGGCTCGGCTCAGGCGCCTCGGGAAGGGCGGAGAACGCAGCCACACGAGTCGCAAGCAGGGCCAGCAGCGTGCCTCGAAAGGGAGCGCGCATTGGCGAGCGCACACACTCGCGGAAGACGGCAATCGGGGCACGCTTGACCTCCGTTTGACCTCGTAGAAACCGAGCTCGTCTTAGGTTTCCGAGGATATCCTTTGACCGCGTTGGGTAGCGAGGATTGGTGTGACGCGATCCACGCAGGCGTCAGAGAGTTAGGAAAAGGCGACACACAGTCCGACCAACGACTGGGACACCAACGCGGCATGGGTGGACGCGGGACGGGTGATAAACGACCACCTAAAAAAGAAAAAACCGCGCGCCTCCGGGCGACGGCACAAGCACCCAAAGCTCGAAACCGAGGCAGCTCGCCGGCACAAGAACCCAAAGCACACACCGAGGCAGAATTCGCTTATGCTGCCATCGCTCGTCGCGGCTGCCGTCGTGGCCGCCGCCGCCGTAGTGCTGCCTCGCGCCCTGCCACCCTCGCCGCGCGCGAGCATCGCGATGGAGCTGCGCATGCCCGCCGACCTGACGACGGTTGACCAGCTGATCCAGCGGACAAAGGACAACCTGCAGGAGGGCCTCGTCGTCGTGCTGCACTTTGACGACCCATACGCAGCACCCAACACGTGGGACTACTCGTATGCCGCCACGTCCGAGACGTCCAGCGAGCGGCTGCTCGAGATCTCAAACGAGTTTTCGGTGTCGGAGGAGCGGGGAGGGAGGCCGGTCATCTTCCTTCAGATCGACCGCACGATGGCCGGGATGGACGTCATCTGCTCCAAGCGGGGCGTCAACGCCTTCCCGACCCTGCAGGTCTGGTCGCGCGGCCAGGGCGAGGACGTCAAGGTCGGCGAGCTCACGCAGACGCTCCTCGCTCTCGGCGCTGCGTCTCGCTCAACTGCTGCGCGGGCAGAGGGAGGTTACGGGCGGCCAGCCGGCACCGCACCGGTCGACATGTTTGGCGTGGGCAGCGGAGGCGCGAGGCTGACGCAGGAGGGGATTCGAAGCGCGATGCGCAAGGCGCCGCAGCAGGGCGGAAGCAGGGGCGGCGGCAGCGCGAGGCAGTCGGTGCCGGGCGGTGAGGAGGAGGAGGAGGAGCTCGCGCCTCCCGCCGCCGCGGCGGCCCTCGAGGGCGAGCCGGCTGCCGACGACGTCGACGCCCAGCTCGCCGCCCTCGAGGCGCAGATCAGGGGAGTCAGGCGGGAGGCGCAGCTGGACGCCCTCTTCGCGGAGCCGAACTGGGACGACGACGACCTGCCGCCTCCGATATGAGATGACTCCGGCGTGTGGGCATTGGGCGGTGGTTGTGTGAGAGTATGTACTAGAGATGGTGGCGGCTGTCGGTATGTATTTTATCGAGAGAGCGCAGAGAGCAGGTGATGAGAAATTTTTATCAGTCCACTTTGGTCTTTGCACTTAGATCTTATCTTAGTTAGAGGCGGCGTTTTTCTTCTTGTGTTCTTCTTCGCATGCCGATCGCATCCAAGTTACTAATACTTCCAAGGCGCAGCCGCCTCCATTGCTGTTTGCTGTTTGCTCTCAGCCGCACGCCGTGTCGGCACCGTCCTAGAGTGCGCCCCGCCAGCCTCCTCACGCGACTCCAATATGGCATTTCTTTTGCGCTTTACCTTCGCCCAACCCCATAAAAAAGCCATTTCAACAAGTAAAAAGCTCGCCAAACAAAGCGGGTCATTGTCCCCCTGAGGTTGATCGTAAAGGTGCCATGGTTCGACCGCCGCGCCGCCCGCGGTCGACGGCGTCACAGCAGCCAACGCAGCTGCTGGCGGCGAGCCTGGTTGCCTCTGCGATGGCTGACGACCTATTCTGCGTCAACGGGCGGCAGCTCCCGCACCTTCTGCTGCTCGGCGGCCAAATGTGCGGCACCACGAGCTTCTCGTTCCAGATGCAAGAGGAGTGGAGGATCAAACCATCGTTGACCAGCCACAAGGCGGTGCACTATTTTGATCAGGCGGGCGCCAACTCCATCGAGGAGTACGCTGAGCACTTCCCGGAGTGCGGACCGGATGTCCTCACCTTTGACGGCACTCCCTATGTGACGTCGTCATTCATTGAGCGCAACGTGCGGCAAATCAAGGAGGCGTACGGGCCGGCGCGGCTCAACAGAACAACGTTTGCACTCCTGCTGTGCGACTCCGCGCAACGCGCCCAATCCTACACATACCACATGGGCACGGGTGACTTCCGCAGCGCTGCAGCTGGCGAGCTCGGCGCAGACCTAGCCTTCACGGGCGGGCTGTACGGCGCGCAGGCCGACCTGATTGCGCGCGAGTTGAGTCAGCTCGCCGTCATTCCGTCGGCCGTCTACTACGAGAATGCGACGCTCGCCATCGGCGAGCTGCTCGAGCTCGTGAGCAGGCGCTCGGGGCGGCCGCTGCCGCCAAGCGACGCGAGCCAGCATCAGGAGCGGGCGGCCACGAGAAACACCGCTGAGGGCCACGCCGAGGACGATGCCGCCAAGGCGCACCCGCCGCTGGTTGATGACATCAACCCGAGTGGCATGCCTCGGCTGGCGGACTTTTTCCGCGCGTCCAACAATCGGATCTACGCTCTTGCCGCCGGTGTCGATCCGCGGGTGACGCTGCTGCCCTCTCGAGACAAGTGGCCGGTGGGAGTGCCATCGCACTGGCTCGAGACGTCGCCCGTCCTCGCCCCCTACGTCCGGGAGTGGATGCCTCCGCCTCCGCCGCTGCCACCCTCGGCGCCTGACCTCTTCTGTGTCAACGGGCGGCGGATCCCTCACCTATTGTTGCTCGGGTCTCAAAAGTGCGGCACCACTAGCTTTTCCGACCAGCTCCGCATCGAATGGGCGATCAGCTCGGCCACGACGACGACCAAGGAGGTGCACTACTTTGACAAGCAGGACGGGAGCGCCGTCTCGCTCGAAGGCTACGCGGAGAACTTCCCGCCGTGCGGGCCGGACGTCCTCACCTTCGACGCCACACCCAACTACCTCTCAAATCCCTACAAGATGAACGCGAGCCAGCATCAGGAGCGGGCGGCCACGAGAAACACCGCTGAGGGCCACGCCGAGGACGATGCCGCCAAGGCGCACCCGCCGCTGGTTGATGACATCAACCCGAGTGACATGCCTCGGCTGGCGGACTTTTTCCGCGCGTCCAACAATCGGATCTACGCTCTTGCCGCCGGTGTCGATCCGCGGGTGACGCTGCTGCCCTCTCGAGACAAGTGGCCGGCGGGGGTGCCATCGCACTGGCTCGAGACGTCTGAGGTCCTAAGCCCATTCGTCGTATCCATTCCACCTGCCCCTGTGCTTCGCGGCTCGGACGCCACATTCCACCCCGGTCACGACTACGAGACGACCTCGGCAGCGGCCGCTGCAATGGCCGCAGCCGAGGCGGCAGAGGCGGAAATAGAGGCGGCAGATTTGGAAGGGAGGGAGGGTGTTCTTCATGTGGTGCCGACGCCCGCCCACACGACGACTTCGGCCGAGGCCACGGTTAGGGCAGCAGCCATGGCTGTGGAGGCGGAGGTAGAAGCGGCAGCCGCGGCCGCTGCCGGCGCGGGGGCTGCCCCAGCCGCACGCCCAACGCATGTACACACAACGACATCCGCAGATGCCGCCGCCATGGCGGCGGCAGAGGCGGCAGAGGCGGCGGCGGCCGCCGCTGCCATCGCAGCCGAGGCAGCGGCCAACGCGGCGGCTGTGGCAAGAAGCAGCCTCGGGATGGCGCAGCCGCTGACATACAGGGATGCTGCAATCAACCCGTTTGTGCAATGGGCAACTGACCCCGTTGGTGCGGCGCCGGCAATGGAGCTGCCGTCAGAGGAGATGACGGCGACAAACGAGTCGCAGACGACGACGATTTCCTTCCGGAGGCCTCCGCCTCCCTCGCCGGTGTCGTTATCCTTTCGGCCGCCGTCGCCCGCGCCGTTCCTCGACGCGAACGTCACCGACGGGGAGAATCCATAGGCGTAGAGGGCTAGTTTGAGCGTTTGGGCAGACACTCCGATCTTTGTGAAGCCATAAAGAAAAGTGAGACCATGACGTTTTTCTTCTTCTTCGCATTGCGATCGCATCCAAGGCGCAGCCGCCTCCATTCGCTCGCAGCCGCACGCCGTGGGCCCGGCCTCGTTAGAGCGCTCCACGATGATTGCCGCGGCGCCTGAAGGGCGCGGCCGTCATCGTACCGTCGCCACGCTTGCACTCTTTGCGAGCCTCGCCGTCGCGTGCTGGGTCTATGCTCCGCAGGTCGGGCTGCGTCAGGAGCAGGAGATGTCTTGCCGCGTCGGCTGTAGCCAGAAGGCTCCAAAGACCGAAGCGAGCGAGCTGGCCGAGGCAGTCTCGGACACGGCGAAGGCCATGGCGGGCTACAAAAAGGGCGCTGCAAAGCTCGGTGCAGCGGCGACGCATTCGTTGCAGAAGGACCAGCAGCAGCTGGCAGAGGAGATGGCGGACGGAGCGCGAAAGAGCGGCAAGGCCTTTGAGCAGACCTTCAACCTCAACCCGCCGCCGGAGGGCTACGAGGTGGTGACAACCTGCGCGGACGTGGACGAGGAGGGCCACTGCTGGAAGACGACTGACGAGCTGCAGAAGCCGGTGCGGTTCGAGGACGCTGAGCCGACAGACCTGAACATCAAACTGGGGGACAGCTGCACCCAGGAGCTGCTCGACACCTTCTTCGCCAACCAGGTCTCCAAGGTGGTCACCTACGCGATGGCCAACGCCGCGGAGAGCGAGAACGTGCGCTCGGCAATGCCCGTCGCCTCACTCAGAGGTGCGCGGTGCTGTGGAGAGAGAGAGAGAGAGGGAGAGAGGGAAGAGAGAGACAGCAGCCAGGCCACGACTGGACACGCCGGACTGTGACGAGGCCCCGCGGCGGGGAGGACGGCCACACTGGCGCAACGGAGAGACACCGAGGCTCCCTTCTGTGTGACCGCGAGACCAACGAATTCTCAACCCGCCTCCTCACCCACTCCTCCTCACCCACTCCTCCTCACCCACTCCTCCTCACCCACTCCTCCTCACCCACTCCTCCTCACCAGGCACGCGCTTCCGCATGACGATGGCGACCACGCGGCAGATCTTCAGCTCGTGGAACCTGACTCTCGTCTCGATCGAGCCGTTCGTGGTCAAGTTCGGAACCTGCTATGACAACCTCGAGTGGTGGCAGGCGCAGAACGGAGACAGCGAGGCCCGCCTTCTCGGACCGGCCTCTAGACCCGTCTCTCCCTGACCGTCACAGGCGCAGGACTGGTACACCAAGGGCTCTCACATGCGCATGCCCGACGGCCTCGAGGTGCAGATCACCGGCATGCGCGCCAAGGTGGCCAGGGAGAATGAGAGAGAGTCATTGCTGATGGCCATTAGTGATGGCATGCGCGCAAAGGCGAGCGAACTATCAACTCGCAGTCCGCCAGTAGTGGTGCGGATCGAAGGTCGAGTCGTCAGCTAGCAAGGTGGTGCCGACCGTCCTCTTCGCCCCAGGTGGCGTTCGAGTGGGACCTGGTCCAGGACTATGGCTTGGGCGGCCTCTCTCTCGGCCAGGCGCCACACGCCGTCGGCAGGGCAATCCTCGGGCGATCTCGGGCGATCTCGGGCGATCTCGGGCGATCTCGCCTAGGCGCCACTCGCCGTCGGCAGGGCGGTCGTGGGCTTGAACGGTTTCGTCATCCTCGGCGTGGACTTGCACGACCCCGCAAGGGCGGCGATCGACAGCTGCAAGGGCAAGTTCGAGTTTGAGAGCATGGAGTTTGTGGGCGAGCGGAGAGAGCCCAACGAGCTCCTCTGCGGGGGAGCAATTGCATGGACTCGCCGCGGAGCTCTCCTCTTAGGCGAGCAGCTCAACGACAAGTTCTTCGCAAAGCAGATCGAGGTCTTCTTCCCCGAGTTCGCCGCGCAGGTCGCCGACCTGATCTGCTACGGCAACACCAAGAAGCGGCCCACCTCCGTCGTCGACATCATGGGCGAGATCGAGCCGAGATCGAGCCGAGATCGAGCCGAGATTGGAGTGCTCCGAGTTTGAGCCGAGATGCGCCGTCGCAAGGTCGGATGCCCGAGCCCGTCCCTCTGAGTGCGTGGCTCGCTCTTAAGGCGGACTCAACGCGGACCTCAAGATCGACAACGAGGAGGGCATCACCTTTGGCTTTGTCGGCGCGCAGGAGGGGATCAACTACATGGTCTCCAAGGCGCCCAGCAGAGACACCCCGTTTAACCCCCCTCCCCCCCCCCCTTCCCCCCCCCCCTTCCACCCCTCCACCCCCCCCTCCCGGCTGTGATGTGCCAGCGACGGTGTCGTGTAGGCGCTCAGCCCGGTCGACTTTTACATGCAGCAGGACGCGATCTGGCACAACGACCCCACGACGCGCTGGAAGAAGGCCAAGGAGGACCAGGCGAGAGTGGTCCCCGAGATGCCACCCTGCCCCTCCCTCCCCCGTAAAACCCCCCCCCTACCTACCCTTCCGCCTCTTCCCCCCCCTTTCCCCTTTCCCCCCTTCCCCCCTTCCCGCTTTCCCCCCTTCCCCCCTTCCCCCGCTCTCCCGGGAACCCCCTCCACCCGACCCCCCTGCCCCTGCCCCCGCGCGCCAGGCACTCCTCGCCGAGGTCGGAGTCCACAAGACACTCGGCGAAGGGCGCTTCAGCCACATCACCCTCCCGCCGTCCGCGCCGCCCTCGCCGCCGCCCTCGCCGCCCGCCCCGCCGGCGAGGGTGCTGCCGTCGTGGCTGCCGCAGAAGCTGCCACTCGACGGGCTGCAGCTGCCCAGCTTCGGACTCGTGGCCGCCTCGCCCTCTCCGGCGCCCTCGGAAGAGCCCGCCCCCTATTCCTTTTCGGGCTACTCGTACGGCGACAAGACCGCCTCCGAGCGCGGCATCGGCGACGTCGGCGGCATGGCAGCGGGTGCCACTGGCCAGATGGCGCAACCCCGGCAGGCCACCCGCGCGGCGTGGATGTCGCTGTTCCGGCCCCCTGCGAAGGAGGCGGCGGCGGCGGAGCGAGGAGGCGGCGGCGGCGGCGGCGGCGGCGGCGGCGGCGGCGGCGGCGGCGGCGGCGGCGGCGGCGGCGGCGGCGGCGGCGTGAAGCGTTCGCGCGGGTTCATGCCAGCCGTGCTCCCCGGCTGGCAGGACAGCAAGGCGCGCAAGGGCTCAGAGGTGATCTTCGTCATGAGTGAGGGGCTCTAGCGAGGTGCAAGCACGATGAGGCATCGTGAGAGCGTGTGAGCGTGTGCGGGCGGTGTATTGGGTTGCGTGTGTGCGGACGGTTGTGTCTCTGACTCTCTGTCGTGTGTGGTGCAACGTGTGAAACGTGCAACTGCTTGATGTGTGGGCGGTCTCCCTCTCGTGCATGCTCTCGTGCAAGCGCTGTGATCGGGCGTGGGCGTGGGGGTTGGCGCTGTCCCCTGAGCCCTGTCCCTCGTGTGTGTGGCTGCGCCGTGCGCGCGCGCCGCCATCCCCGCAGCCCCGCCGACTCTCTCTCCGCCGGCGGGCTGCATCTCTATTTTTTTTCGCTATTTGTGTCCGTGGTGGTGGTCCGACCCCTTCGCGCATGCAGCCTTAACTAAATCATCCGCGCAAACTACGCTCCAGAGCCACAAGGACGCACGCGCCGCGCGGCTGGGGACACTCGCTCAGGAGGCGAGGAAGGCGGCCGACGCTGCCGGGAAGGCGCGGAACGCGCTTTGCACCGTGGCGAGGAAAGCGGAGAGGAGGGCGGCGGCGACGAGGAAGACGGCGCCGGGCAGCTTTGCGGGCGGCTCGATGGAGGCGGCGAAGAGGCGGCCGTACCCGCTAAAGGCGAGGGTGTCGCACAAGTCTTGCAGCGTCTCGAGCGCGCCGAGCAGCGCTCCGCGCTCTGCCGGCGGCGCCTGCAACGCGCGCGCGCGCGGGGGGGGGGGGGGGGTGAGGCGGGCCAAACACACGGGGGCCGGAGCGTCGGAGGCAGCGGAAGGGGCGAGGGGGCGGCTGGGAAGGGGGCAATACGACCGCCGTCTGGCGGGCGGGTGGGGGGTGCGGAGTGGAAGTGGAAGTGGCGCCTGCGCGGCGACGAAAGAGACGAGGGCGGGGAGGGCGATGCAGCCGAGGGTCATGAAGAGGACGCAGCTGACGAGGGCGGCGGGCGTGCGGGCGAAGGCGATGGCAAGCAGCCCAACCGCGTAGACGGCGCCGCCCGTCTGCATCGACGTGCGGAGGCCGAGCCGCGGGATGAGAGCGGCGGGCGCGACGCCAATCATGAGCCCGATGAGGACGAGGATCGGCGCGGAGTCCTGCGGCCCCCACTTGAAGAGGTGGTTGGCGTAGTTTCCGAACTGCGAGTTGATGCACATATTGCCCAGCCAGAGCAGCGCAAACGCGGCCGCCGAGCGGCGCAGCAGCGGCGTGCTGCAAAAGAGGCGCCGCAGCGCGCCTACAAAGGGGGGGGAGGCTCCGGCTAGCCTCGGGCTGACCGGGTCCGTGACCAGCGGCCGAGGAGCCGCTGACGCGCGCCGATCGGGTTGGCTGCGCGTAGATCGAGTCGCGTCTTGGTGCGGGCCTGGAGACACGGCTCCCGCGCCTCAGGGGAAGGCGCCGGGCGGGCGGAGAGGCGGAGAGGCGCATCCGGTGTGCCGGCGCGGGCAGGCTCTCTGGCACCAGCAGCGCGATGACGACGAAGTTGAGAACGCCTGTTCGCACCTCCGCCGGTGTGAAGAGACGCGCACCGCGCCGCAAGTCGAGGGCGGCGAGGGCGACGAGGCCGGCGGCGGCGGCGGCGTAGAGCGGCGCGCGCAGGCCGTACTTTGCGTCGAGGATCGCAGAGAGCGGGAAGCCGAGGATGAAGGCGCCTGCAGGACGGGAGGGCACGAGATGCGGGGAGATACGGGGAGATGCGGGGAGATATGGGGAGATATGCCTGCAGCCCGGGGCTCTTGGAAGGCTGCGAGGAGGGTAGGGTTCCGAGGAGGCTAGGGGCGGCGAGGGGCGGCGGCGAGAGAGGGGCGAGGGGAGAGGTGTGGCGAGGGGAGGCGGCGAGGGAGGCGGCGAGGGAGGCGGCGAGGGAGGCGGCGAAAGGCGGTGTGGCGGCGGAGGAGGTGGGGCGGGGAGGGAGGCGCCCGCGACAGAGACGCCCTGGAAGATGCCGAGGTTGATGGCGCGCCGCTCGGGTGGGGAGACGTCGGCGACGTAGGCCTGGCAGACGGGGGCTCACAGTACAGGAGGGCGGGGTGGAGAGGACGGGAGGGAATGGGTGCACGGGCCTGGCAGACGGGGGCTCACAGTACAGGAGGGCGGGGTGGAGAGGACGGGAGGGAATGGGTGCACGGGCCTGGCAGACGGGGGCTCACAGTACAGGAGGGCGGGGTGGAGAGGACGGGAGGGAATGGGTGCACGGGCCTGGCAGACGGGGCTCATGCAGCTTGTTACTCCATCGACGAGGTCGGCGAGGTAGAAGACGGCGACGCCGCGCGAGGCGGTGGCCTGCAGCGGAGGGTGGCAGGCGGTGAGGCAGGCGGTGAGGCAGGCGGTGAGGCAGGCGGTGAGGCAGGCGGTGAGGCAGGCGGTGAGGCAGGCGGTGAGGCAGGCGGTGAGGCAGGCGGTGAGGCAGGCGGTGAGGCAGGCGGTGAGGCAGGCGGTGAGGCGGGCGAGGCAACACGGCGGTGTGGAGGCGTCTCGGCAGCGGCGCCTGCAGCAGGCAGGTGGTCGCAGAGCCGAGTGCCGACCAGGCCATCAGATACGGGGAGATATGGGGAGATATGGGGAGATATGCCTGCAGCAGGCAGGTGGTGGCAAAGCCGAGTGCCGACCAGGCCATCAGCGGCTTGCGGCCGACCACGTCGGAGAGGGCGCCGTGGAAGCCGACGAAGAGGAAGGTGATTAGCTTGTCGAGCGACTGCTCACGGGGCGGGCCGTCAAGGTCCGACCGTCGGAGGGGTGTGACGAGAGCCGCGCCCGCGCTGCCTCGACGTCGCCGCTCAGCACGGCGGAGGCGGGAGAGACGTCGGGCGAGCCGTCCTCGTTGACCAGCGTCGCAATGACGCGCCCGAGCACCGGGATGCTCAGCCCGAGCGCGAAGAAGGAGAGCCAGTTCGCCAGCACCGCCCACCAGAAGGACCCGCGCTGTACCGGAAGCGGCGGCGGCAGCGGCGGCGGCGGCGGCGCCGGTGTCACCGCCGATATCTGCGCGCCCGCCCGAGCGCCCCGCCGGCGCAGCCGATCGAGCACGCCCGCTCCGCCGCCTTCCGAGCGCGCGGCCTTCGACGCGGCCACCTTGGAGGCAGCCAGCAGCTCAGTGGAGACGGCCGCCGGCGCCGGCCGCACAACCAGCTCCTCCGGCTCGCAATCGCGCTCAGAGCGGCACGACGGTTCGGCGCCGAGACGCGGCTTGGCCGAAGGGCCGGGCGCGCGAGCGTGCGCCGAGGCCGCGAGGAGGAGCATCGACGCCACGAGCGAAGGCGAGACCCGCATTTTTGTAGCCGGCTTCGCAAAAAAAGAGCGCGGGCGGATGTGAGGTTAATTAATGGCACTCCAAGTGCTCCAAGTGCATGGAGGTGGCGAGGGCCGAGGAGCTCTACGGGGAGCTGCGCGAGCGCGCGCCCCAGCACTGCCGCCGTGGCGGCAAGTGGGCGCGCGAGAAGTTCGTGATGGCGGTGCAGGGAGGGAGAGTTCCCGCGCGCGCGAGGGGCAGGCGTTCCCAAGGGGACGGTCCTGTGCCTCGGCAGGGTGCTCGACGCGCACGATGAGCAGGATGACGCGGAGGGTGGGCACCGGGACTGGGAGGAGGACCCGCTCGGGTTCGACACCAACCCGATGCTGCTCCGCGCCATGTGCATGGCGTTCGAGTGAACGCCGTGCAGGCAGCCCGTGCCTTTTGGTGTACCCCGTTTGTGCCGCGTCCTGTGCCCCCGAGTTCATTTGATACGCTCCAAGTGCATGTGAGGTGTGCATGTGAGGTACACACTGCACTCCAAGTGCTCCAAGTGCTCCGCAACTCTCCCTCTCTCCCCCTCCCCTCCTCTCTCGCTCTCGCTCTGCCCTCAAGGAATTCGAGGTAAGGCAGTGCTGTCGCCATCGAGAGCACCGAGAGCAGCCACCAGACGCCACGCTCCGTGCTCGTCGACTCGAGGGTGAGGAAACGCGTCCAGAGCGCCGCGATGTCGGTGACAATACCGAGCGGGCCGCACCCGTCGGGTAACTTATCCAGCTCGTGGAGCTGCCTTACCCCGCGACCAATGCGTGGGAGGCGGTGGCGGCGCTCGCAACGGCGCGATATGCTCATGGCATTGTCGTGGCTTAGAAGGGCGCGGGCCGTGCCACAATGGAGCACTTCGAGCACACGATACGCTTTACTTCTTTTTCTCGCACGAGCCAGTCCCGTGCCCAGTCCTGTGCCCAGTGTCGTGCGAGGGAGTTTGTTGTAAAATTCTTTTTCTCGCGATGCCTGCCCCGCGGCGCCGCTCGCGCCGCCTCGCCCCCGCCTCCGCCGCCGCTCCTTCGCCAGACACGCCGCCGCCCGCCCGCCTCCTCGACCTCCCCACGGACCTCCTCGTGCGCGTCGTCTCTCGCTGCGACCCCGCCGACATCGCTCGCGTCGCGGCCGTCTCGCTCCTCTTCCACGCCTCGCTTGCGGTGGAGGGCATCCGCTTGTGGGCGCAAGAGCGCGGCTTCGAGCTGCCGGCGCAGCCAGAGGGCGAGGGCTGCGCCGTGCGGTGGCTGTGCTACGCTGCGCTGCTGTGCGAGTCCAACCCGCCGGCGAGGCTGGCGGGCGGTCGGCACAGCCTCTTCATCGTCGGCGAGGGGCGGCTCTCGTCGTGCGGCTGGTCGCCAGCCCTGCTCGGCCACGGCGAGGGCGTGACGCGGCTCAACACGCCGACGCGGCTCCCCTCGCCGCTGGGAGAGCGCGCCGTGAGCGTGGCAGCTGGAGATGGGCACAACCTCGCCATCACCGCTGACGGCGCCGTCTGGAGCTGGGGCTATGGAGGCTATGGCCGGTTGGGCCACGGCGACGACCAGAACCAGCTGCAACCGACGAAGATCGAGGGCTTGGCTGGCCAGCGCGTCGTCGCTGTGTCGGCTGGAGGCGACCACAGTCTCGCCCTCGCCGCCGACGGCGCCGTCCGGAGCTGGGGTGGTGGAAGCTATGGCCGGCTGGGCCACGGCGACGAGCAGAAGCAGCCGCTGCCCAAGAAGGTGGAGGCCTTTGCTGCGCAGCGCGTCGTCGCTGTGTCGGCTGGAGCCGCACACAGCCTCGCCCTCACCGCAGACAGCGGTGTCTGGAGCTGGGGCCATGGAAGCTTTGGCAAGCTGGGCCACGGCGACGAGCAGAACCAGCTGCTGCCCAAGAAGGTCGAGGCGTTGGCTGGGCGGCGCGTCGTCGTTGTGTCGGGGGGAACCCACCACAGCCTCGCCCTCGCCGCCGACGGCAGCCTCTGGAGCTGGGGTTGGGGAGGCTCAGGCCAGTTGGGCCACGGCGACACGCAGGACCAGCTGCTGCCCAAGAAGGTCGAGGCCTTTGCTGGGCGGCGCGTTCTCGCTGTGTCGGCTGGAGGCTACCACAACCTCGCCATCACCGCCGATGGCGCCGTCTGGAGCTGGGGCGGTGGACACTATGGCCGGTTGGGCCACGGCGACGAGCAGTGCCAGCTGCTGCCCAAGAAGGTCGAGGCCTTTGTTGGCCAGCGCGTCGTCGCTGTCTTGGCAGGATCCCGCCACAGCCTCGCGAGCACCGCCGACGGCGCCACTTTTGCCTGGGGCGAGGGCGGCCACGGCTGCCTAGGCCACGGGGAGGACGAGTCGAACCAGCTGCTCCCCAAGAAGGTCGAGGTGTGGGCGCAGGAATGAGGTCACGGCTGTGCCTGTGGCGCGAGTTACGCATGTTAGTGTCCGCTGCTGAGTCACAGGCGGCGGCCAAGCACAGTGTCGTCCTGCCGCTCTCGCTACGCCGCTCGTGCGCCCCGCGCGCATGTCGGCTTCTCATGCCTCCGGCCTCTGAGGACCCACCTCGGGCGCTCGGGCGGTTGGGGATGGCAAATCGGTCACCAGCGCCCAATAAATAAAGTGAAAACACGCGGAAATTCTTTGAATTCCTCTTGTAGCTTGAGCGGTCACACCGCCATCGCGCATCGCCGCCGACGTCTCCCAGGGAGGATGGAGGGGCGTGACGATCGTACTAACCGCCTCGATCCTGCGCATCGGCCATGTCTCCCGCAGAGACCCGCAGCCGCGAGCGAGCAGCGCAAAGAGGCTTCGCGCATTTTTTTGCGCAGCTCCACGTTTTTCTTTATTTCGTTCCTCGCCCTTTCCTGCCTCGGCCGCGGCGGCCATGTCGCTCCGGCGAGGCCAGCACGACGCCGCCACGGCTGAGGCGGTGAGCGACGCTCGCGCACGGTACGCCGACCCGTCGTCCAACTGGCGCTCGCTCAGCGAGTCCACGAACTTCGAGTGGAAGTTCCTCACGCCGCTCGTTTGGGCGCCCGCCTTTCCATTCCTACGGCGTGCACCGCCCTCTGTGCGGCCGTACGTCTTTGGTGGCGCCATCCTGGTCGCCAACATGCACGGCTTCAACAATCCAGACTTGAGTGAACTGTAGTGGGTACGCGTCGTGATAGAGGTACTGTGAGAGTGTTGCCCGCGCAAGTGATGTAACCTTTTTGCTCATGCCGTTGCCGGCGAGGCCGAATAAAATAAACGGAGGCGGGGGGAGGGGGACCCCCCGTGCCTAAATAAATAAATAAAAACGGTCAAACTCTGAGACGAGATGGGATTTAGGGACATGTGTCCCCGCCCTGCACGATCTTGGTGTGAGGGATCTTCAATCCGTCCCCTCACCCCCTGGTCACTACCCGACACTAGAAGAGCAGCAAGAGTTGGGGCTGCGGCTACGGCTGCGGCTGCGGGAGGGGCTATGGTCGCGGGAGAGCCGCTGCGCCGCGTGGGCGCGCCTACACCGCGCTTGCTCCGCTCGCCACCTCTCGCAAAGGTCCAAAGTCATAGCCATCACCTCCTCCGGCAAGTCCTTTTCGCCTATCTCGCCGTCCCTCCATGCCTGGTAGAGCTCGTCGTCATAGCCATATTGCATCACAGCCTGCTGCACTGCGTCGTGCACAACCCCTGCCACCCTATCCCGCGCCTCAGCGTCGGAAAATTCGAGCTCGGAGTTATACCCGGAAGCAGGCGCAGACGGCCGCGGCGATTTGGCAGGCGGCGAGGTGGGGGAGGGAGAGCGCGGCGGTGCGCGCTCGTGGCTCCCGCTGGTGCCAGAAGGGCCAGCGCCCAATGCGCTCAGCCTGTTCTTGTCCACCACCTTGGGAGAAGGGGGTGGGGGTCCACCTCCCTTGGGTGCGGGCTTGCGGTGTTCCTGCTTCCGCTTGCCCGACTTTGGCGGGTTGCGGCCGAAGTTCTTCATGGTGAACCTGTCCGGCTTGCCGCCCTTCCCGACCCTCGTCCACCCCTCGGGCGACTCGTTGGGCCGGGGTTGCTGCGCCTGTTGGTGCTGCGAGTGTGCCTGCGATGCTGCGGCCGGAGCGGCAGCGGCGGCAGGCGGTGCCACGGGCGGTGCGGCGAAAGTGGCGGTAGGCTGAGGCTGCGCAGCGTCCTGCGCGGCCTGCTGCCTGGCCTCATCCTCCCGCCTCTTCTCAGACTTGGCCTGGATGATGTACTGATACCCAAGCGGCACCGGGTTGATGCTGACGGAGTGCCAACCGTACCTCTCCATGCGCTCCGCGAGACAATCAATCATCGCGTGGTCGCGTGGCGACACCTTCTGGCCGAGGACGCGCTCGACCATCCGGATCTGACGCACGTGGAACGGCTCCAGGCCCGGCATGGAAGCCTCGGAGTCGGACATGGCCCCGTTTCGCCGTTTCGTTGCCTGCAATCTCTTAAATGGCAATTTAAGCCCCCCCCCCAACCTCCTCATTTCTTAAAAGCTCTTAAAAAATCCGGCCCTCAGAACCCTTGGGGTCCCCTAAAGAAGCCCGGCGCCGGCCGCGCGGGGCGCGGCGGCCGGCGGGGCCGCGCCGCCCCGCCGCCGCCCCCCGCACCCCCTGGGCTTGGGGCTTGCGCCGCGGCCTGTTCGACTATGACTTCAGACTTCTGTGCTGTGCTCCTGATACATATTTTTTGACGCAGGACAGCAGTGGGCACCTAAGCGGCGCCGGCGGCATGAGAGAACAAGGTGGATGGTCGATCTCACACGCCACACCCACGCAGTGGAACCGGGACGACGCCCCTTCCCGAGAGGCCGACGGGACGCGGGAGGGGGTGCCGAGCAGCGCGAGACGCCGTGGCCCGACCAGCCGTGCATCACCAGGCAGGCCCGTCGCTGTTCGCCCACTCCTCGAACTTTGGGCTGTCGACCCACGCCTCCCACGCCTTCCAGTTCTCTTCGTTCTTCTCCCACTCGTCAAAGTTCTCCATCGTCGGGAACTCGAAGCCTGCGGGAGAGGGGGCGGAGGCGCGGGCTCGATTGGCGGCACGAGGGGTGGTCGTCGATGCGGGGAGGAGGAGGAAAAGTGGCGGTGGGGGCGGTGGAGAGCCGAGCGGGGGACGCCTCACCCCACTTGGCCGAGGTGACCGAAGCGCCTTCGCCGCCCTTGACCTCGAACGAGACGCCGAGGCCCGACACTTTCGATGCGAGCGCCTTGGGGGCCTCCTTCTTGGGCACCGGCTTCGATGTCAGCATCCCCTTGATCTTGACCATGCCGTACACGGTCGCATAGAGCCCGAGGATGGCGAGGACAATCTGCGAGGGGGGAGGAGAGCGATTGGGCGCGAGGGCCGCGCGGGGGGGGGAGCGGCCGAAATCATATCCCTCGCCCACCCCTCAGCGCGCATCCCCCGCTCGCGCCGAGCACTTTGGTGCGAGGATGCGCACAGGCGCCGGCGGCGCGAGTTGAATGCGGCGCTCCCTCCTCTCTCCGGGGAGACACCAAATCTAGGGGCGGCGCGCACATGCTCATCCTTCTTGAGATACTTGCGGACGGTGTCGTCGAGCGAGGACATGCCGCCCGCGAGAGGGAGGGCAAGACTCGCTCCTCGGCGCGGCCTGCAGACTCGCTTCGGCGATAAAAAAGAATTCTTACGCCAACAGTGCACGAGCCGCCCGCCGGGAGTCGGAACTGGCCTGCCGACGGTTATCGCCACCAATGGCGTTCGCGGACCGGCGCTCGTCGCCGCCGCTCCCGGCGCAGGGCGAGTGGCTGGAAGTGTCGATCCCAATGACGGACGCCGCGGTTTCGACCTTCCGGGGCTCGGTGGACGCCGTGCGGCCCGACCTCGCCGCATTCTGGATCAAGTACGAAGACGGCGACAGGCGCCATCACCCTTCCTCCTTGCCTGAGCCGGAGCCTCACACACCCTGTCCACACCGACTCAGCGGGTAATCTTTGCCCCGTCGTGCAGGCTCCGCCACTCCATCGCCGAGTATTCCTCGATGCGGAAAATCGAGGCACCAATGCGCTCGAACGAGAGCGAGGCGCACACGGAGCCGCCTCCTGATGGCGGAGCAAAGAGGGGCGCGCAGCGCCGCGATTTGGAGCTTGCGCGTGGCTGCACCGTCGAAGCCTTCTACGCGCGTCGGCTCCAGGACAAGGCCATTCGCGAGACTGCGGTGGGCACCCCGCCGCCACCTCTCGACCTCGGCCATTATGCGAGGCTCTCCGACACGCAAAAGCTGCGCGTGTACACCGCGTACGTCGCGCACGGCGGTGCTTCGCCACCGAACTACGTCGTCGAGCGCCGGTCCGATGGCGCTCGAGGCTCCGCACGGCCCGCTGCAGCGGCAGCAGCAGCGGCCGGAGCGGAGCCGGCGCCGGTGGTGGAGGTGGCGGAGGGCTTGCGCTTGCACGTCTCTAGCAGCAACGCGACTGGCTACGTGGCCGTTGCAAAAAAACACTCGCGCTTCCAGGTGCAGCACACAGTAGCCGGAAGGCGGGTCTTCCTCGGCTGTGCTTCGATACAGCGGTGGCGGCGGCGGTGGCTTACGCGAGGGTGGTCGGCGAGTACCAGCCGGCAGTGGCCACCGAGGCGGAGGGCCTACGGTTGCAGCTCTGCAGCAGCAGCGGTACCGGCTACAAGGGCGTGCGGAAGCGCGCCTCAGGCCGTTTCCAGGCAGAGCACAAGGTAGACGGCGGGAGGCGGGTCTCCCTTGGCACCTTCGCCACGGCGGTCGAGGCCGCGGTGGCTTACACTCGTGCCGTCGGGGAGGCAGAGCGTCAGGAGGCCCCGCCCCGCCCTGCAAAGCGCTCGCTGAAACCGGCTGACGCACCGCCGCCTAAGCGGCGCTCCACGGCCGCTTGGCCCTCGGCTGCTTCGGTGGCAGAGCCGCCGCGGCTCCAGCGGCACCCGATTGGCATGCCGCCAGTCGTGCAGGCCCTCGAGCGCGTTGGGCTGCCGCAGTACGCCGACGCATTTGACGAGCAGGGCTACGATGATCTCAACTACATTCTCGAGATGGATGCGGCGGAGCGGAAAACGGTGGCAGAGGCGACGGGGATGCGACCGGGCCACGCAGCCAAGTTTGTCAAGTGCGGTTTGGGACGCCGGTCGACTGTGAATTGAGAACTTCTCGGACCATCGGTTCTGGCCGCACGCGATCGTGCACACCGTCCCACGCGGCCGGGCCCGCCGCGCGATCGCCAGCGCCGGCTGCGATACGTCGCGAATGTGTGCCGCGCGGGCCGCGGGCGCGGGCGCGCCGCCACGCGCCAGGCGGGCGCGTGGCGGCCCCGGCCCCCGCCCGCGCCGCCCGCGGGGCCACGGGCACGGCACCCGCGGCGCCGATCCGCGCCACAGCGCCTCCGATGTCGCGACGCACGTCGCCGCCTCGCACGGCACCTTTAGTTCTGTACGGAGCACTCCATTGTTGTCTAATCGTATTCAAGGCTCAAGGTCGAACTACACAGCTCGCCCTTACACATGCAACGCGTGTACACCGGGCGCTGCCCGAAGTCCTAACTACTCAGAGATCGCGCACGCCCCCCGCCTCCCTGACTGAATATTCGACTCTGCCCCGCGGCTGCCCCGGCGACTCTACTTGGCCATCATGACCTTGACAAACTCCTCGTAGTTGATCTGGCCGTCGCCGTCAATGTCGGCCTCGCGCAACATCTCGTCCACCTCCTCGTCGGTCAGCTTCTCGCCGAGGTTGGTCATGATGTGGCGCAGCTCGGCAGCGGAGATGAAGCCGTTGCCGTCCTTATCGAACACGCGGAACGCCTCCTTGAGCTCCTCCTCCGAGTCGGTGTCCTTCATCTTGCGCGCCATGAGCGTGCAAAACTCGGGGAAGTCAATGGTGCCGTTGCCATCGGCGTCCACCTCGTTGATCATGTCCTGCAGCTCCGCCTCGGTCGGGTTCTGGCCCAGCGAGCGCATCACTGTGCCCAGCTCCTTGGTGGTGATGGTGCCATCGCCGTCCTTGTCAAACAGCGAGAATGCCTCCTTGAACTCGGCGATCTGCTCCTCGGTCAGCTGCTCGTCAGCCATGATTGCTGTGTGTTCTGCGGGCGCGGGCGGGGTGGGGTTAGGTGCGACGTCGCGGCGCCGGGGTGGGGCGGGAGGCTGGAGACCGAGGAATGGCGAAAGGGAAGACGCGGCGGCTCGCCTGTCTCGCACCACGCGTAACGCCTTGCTACGCGCAGTTCGAGGACGTCCGACCTATTGGTGCACCAATATCGGTAACAATCGGAGTGGCCTTTCTGGCGAGGGACTTCCAGCCTTCCCTTGTGTCCTGTCCTTCTCCCACCCCTCTTTGGCGTGTCCGATTATTTTGAGTCGGTGGAAGCATCTTTCGCTGTGTCTCGCCGAGGGCCCGAGGCTCGCTGTCCGGGGTTCAGGCCTCTCAGTTCACGCCAGAATCGTGAACCGTGAACCGTGAACCGTCATTAGGTAGACCATATACTTCCCGAGCGGAGTGAGTCACACACACACACACAAAACAAAAATCACACACACACACACACACAAGAGAAAATCTCCCCCCCCCCCACACACACACACACACACACACACTTCCCGAGCGTGAATATAAAATGAACTCGGGGGCACGGGACGCGGCACAAAATCCCGAGCGTTGACCAAAAAGAAAGAAAGAAAACAGTCGCCTCATCTAGGCTCCACGCCTCTCTCTCCGCCTGCTGCATTCAGACGCTCCTCCAGTCACGCCAGGAGAGCCGAGGATCTCGAAGCTCCTCCCTGTCACAGCCAGCCGCCGACCAACGATGCCAGACGACGCCGCCGCCCGCGGCCAGCCGCTCGAGCCGAGCGCCTTCACCGACGCGCCCGCAGAGCTCCCGGACTGGTCCCGCACCTTTTGCGGCTACAACGAGCGCTTCGTGGCGCCCTTCTCCTTTGCGGTCGCCGGGCACCGCCTCTCCCTCACGCAGTCCTTCGTGGCGTCGCCGGCGCATCAGGCAGAGGCGCGGAGCTCCGCCGACGGCCTCGCAACGGGGTCGACCGTCTGGGACGCGGGCGCAGTGCTCGGCGCGATGCTGCTGCGCCAGCCGCCTCCCACCGTCGGCCTCTCCGCGTGCGGCGGCTGCGAGGGCGCGTGCCTCGACCTCGGCTCGGGCACCGGCATCGTCGGCCTGGCGGCGGCGGCGAGCGGCGCGTTTGCTCGGGTGGTGCTGACCGACCTGCCTTCGGTGGTGTCGCTGCTCGAGGCGAACGCGGCGCGCAACGCGGCGAGATTGCCCGCGTCGGTGCGCGTCTCCGTCGAGGCGGTGCGCTGGGAGGACGCGGGCGCAACGCGGCGGCTACTGGAGCGGCACCTCTAGATGCCGACTGCAGACCCTGGCGCATTCCTTCCATGCGCTTCAGGAGACACGTATTCGGCGGCGGCAGTCGACTGGCTTGTCGCCGCCGCCTCCACTGCACTCAAAGCCTTTGTATGCTCGTGCGCGCCGCGGGCGTGCAGTGCGCAAGACGCCGCACTCCCGCCCCCTCACTCGCCGTGTCTTCATCAGGAGCGGCACGGCCCGTTTCGGCTCGTCGTGGGGGGCGACCTGCTGTACCGCCCGCCGACGGTGCAGCCGCTGCTGGGCGTGCTCGACGCGGTGTGCGGCGCCGAGACGCACGTGCTGCTCGCCGCCTCGCTGCAGCACTCGCCAGAGACGATGCGTCTCTTCGCGGAGGCGGCGCGCGGGCGCGGCTTCGAGGGGCGCATCCTGCCCGCGGGTGAGCAGCACCCGAGCTACGCCTCGGGGGAGGTCCGGATCCTGCACCTAAGTAGAAGGCAGCACCCGCGGTGATGGCAGAGAATATGAGCTCTGCAGACCTCGTGGGCAGCGTTGGTGCAAGGAGATGCGAGCTGAAGGATGGCCCGCCTTGGTGCTTGCAGCTTGGAGCCCGCGCGTGTTTCCTTCTTCTTTTTTGAGCTTAGCCTTCGGTGTTATGAAACAACGCAAGGCGGACATGGCATATCGCTCTCGGGCTCACAGACATCCCTCACACCCGCCGCACACCCGCGCCCCCGCGCGCGCCCCACCCCGGCCGGGAGAGAGGGGAGTGACAGTTTGGGATGGACAGCCCGAGTATGTTGAGTCCTGGCTCAACAACGCAGGGAACAAGAGGGGGTGGTCCGGCTCACAAGTCCGGCTCACGCGCCTCGAGCTTAACATCTACCGCACTGAACACTTCCGCCCCCTCGCTCCCAACCCATCCACCCCGCCCCGGGCCGCGCCGCGCGATCTCGGGCGATCTCGCGCGATCTCGGGCGATCTCGGGGCCGCGCCGCGCTATCTCGGGCGATCTCGCGCTATCTCGGGCGATCTCGGGGCCGCGCCGCGCTATCTCGGGCGATCTCGGAGCGTCGCTTGCGCGGCGTCACACCTGCTCAAAAAGGAAGGAGGTTGGAGGCAGGAGGTCACGCCCCATCCAGAGCGCCGTCGTCGCCGGGTTTTTGGCCCCCGGGTCGTCGCCCGACGGTTGCTGCGCGGGGCAGCAGACCATCGGACGGCGCGACGACGCCCCGTCCGGCACGCTCCCCCCTCCACCCGGCTATTGCCGCACGAGCGCCCTCAGCGGCGGAATTTTTCCCTCGCGCTTCCTTGGGCCCCCGGCAACGCCGGCGGACTTCCCGTCCCCCCACCTGCGCCGCAATCACCGCCGTGATTGTCGGCGCCGCGCCCCTTGGCGCCCGTGCATGTCCCGCGTGCCCGCCCGCCAAGGCTGGTGCCAAGGCCAACCCAACTGCCAAGGCTGGTGCCAGGGCCAAATCAACTGCCTGGCTGGTGCCAAGGCTCAAAGGCTCTCCTCTCTCTCTCTCCTCCCTCTCTCCCTCCCTCCCTCCCTCCCTCTCACCCCCCACCTCTTCTCTCCTCTCCCCCTCCTCCTCTCTCCTCTCTCCTCCTCTCTCCTCTCCTCTCCTCTCCTCTTCTCATCCTCTCCCCTCTCCTCCTCTCCTCTCTCCCCCCCTCTCCCCCAGCAGCTTCCTCGAGGCCGAACAGGTAGATCCTCCCTGATCGCTAAGCTTCTTTTCTTCTTCTTCTTTTCATTTTCGCTCGGAAGGGAGAGTGGCGAAAAAAGAAAGAATTTATACAAAACAACTCACTGTCACAGCAGACAGGCTCGACACAGGTGCGAACTGGCGCGTGCTAGCACTATCACAGGCACACCACCGGAGAGCGGCGTGTACGGGGCTAGAGTCGCACGACGGGGGCCGTAGGCGTAGCCTTCGGTCACGAGCGTGGCGTTCTCGCGTGAAAAGCGCCCTAATCGAGCTGGAGCGCTGCCCACAGCCGCGTGGAGCGTGCCCCAGCTAGCAGGAGGCGTTAGACGTACTTTTCGGCGTGAACTATGAAGGACTTTCGGCGACGTCCGTTCTCTTGGACACGTCGACACATGGCACCGACGCAGCTCAGCATTGTGCTGGAGCGCCTGCTCAACGAATTCGGGATAGCCGACCTCAGTACGCTCGAGGCCATGCTCAAGCACGATACAGGCGCAGTGCTCGACGCGATCTGAGCCGTGTCGCGTGTTATGTGTGTCGGGACTCACAGTCCCACTTGAGCCTCTATATGATTAGTAGACCGTCTGTGCAGCGCTCTCGGGTTTGGATGGTAGCGGGGGGCCCGCCGGAGGCTGGTTACTGATTTCTTTTCTCTATTTTCCCGGAAATCGTCAAATTTTGGGCTCTGAGCCGAGTCTGAGAGCCTGTTTTTGCCACTTCGTTATTACACGTTAGCTCTCCAGGGTCTCTAATCTTGAGACCACTTCTACGGGCCAGCCTGGAAGCACCTCTTGTATGGGGTGTCATCCGGCCTCGACGCTCGGTCTGACAGCCACTTCCTCAATAAGATGGGAGACCTCGCCGCGTGCTGTGGCTACCACGAGGGCTGGGGCTTCTTGAACAATCACCGCGTCCTGATACCACTGCAGACTTCACTGCAGTGGTGCCCTGGCTGCATTGTCCTCCCATGCGGCGCACGTGGCGGCGAGCCAGACGATCCAGCTCCGCGTGCCGTCCCGTCGGATTTGCAAATGCGGCCTCAGTGCCGGATGGCCCGTGAAATCTGCTTTGGCGCCAAGCGGAGTGACGAGTTTTGCCACGAAAGAGAGCGCCCTCTGCTAAGGGGGGGTAACTGGGCGGCCAAATTCACACCTTCGCGGGACTAACTTCTGAGTTCTGTTTTCGTTATACGATTCGTAAACGTAGACTTCGATCTTCGTGGCCCCCCGCTACGTCGCACGGTGCAACCGGGTAGCGGGGGGCTATAATAGTTATATGGGTAAAGAGATATGCGAACTCCCTCGCATGCCTCTCACTGCGCTGCGGGCCCTCTCGCGCCGTTCGTGGGAGTTCGGACATCTCGTTCGAGTTGAGGCACGCGCTGCTCCAACCTCTCTCGCTCTCTCTCTCTCTCTCATGCGCACTTCCCCCGGCTAGTCGCGCGTGAGCACGAAGCGCTTCGCGTGCTTTGCACTCTCGAGCTCCGCCAGGCACGCGTTCACCTCGTCCATCGGGCGCAGGACGACGCTCGCGCCGATGCCCTTCTCGGCGCAGAAGGCGAGCATGGACTCCATCTCCTTGCGGCCGCCTACTCACGCGCGGGCCACCCGTGGGGAGCGGTCGCGCCGGCGTGGGTCGCGCGGACGGCGTCGGCGTCGCGGCCGCCCGTGTTTGAAGTCGTGATGTTGTTCATCGTGAAGCCGAGTGTGAAGACGTCCGCCTGTTCACGCCGCGCCAGCTGTGAAGAGAGGGACGGGCCGCTACGCGGGCGGGCAATCTCGGCCAGTCTCGGCCAGTCTCGGCTAGTCTCGGCTAATCTCGCCGTGATGGGCGGGCACATGCCGACGAAGCAGATGGTCCCGCGCGGGCGGAGCAGCGGGAAGAACTTTGAAAAGTCGACTGCAGCGCCGGGGCGCGGGCGAGTGGGTGGGGTGGGGTGTGGGTGGGTGGGTGGGGCGAGGGGGGAGGGCGCCGAGGGGGCGATGAGGGCGGCAGCCCGGCGTGGGATCGGTGCGTGCGGGTGGCGCGGAGCGGGGTGCAGGGAGTGGTGGTGGCGGTGGGTGGGGGCGGGGACGAGGAGGGCCGCCACGTCGTGACGAGCAGTGACTCGGCCGTGGCTTGGCGGTCCATATGCGGTGCCAGGGAGGAGGGCAAGGAGGAGGGGGCAGCGGCACCCGTCTGAGTGGTGGCGAGTGTCACCAAGATGAAGTCGAGCGTGCCGGCCTGCGGGAGGAGCAAAGGGGGAGAGAGCGGAGCGGCGCGCTGGAAGGAAGGGCCGCCTCGACGCGGGGCATGCCTCCGTGGGCTTGCAGTTGTGGTGTGACAGACTGTCGGACGGGCCCCAACATCCGCATCCGCATCTGCATCTGCATCTGCATCCGCATCCGCATCTGCATCCGCATCTGCGTCTAGAGGCGCAGGCCAGAGCGTCGAGCTGCGACTGGTCCGAATGCGCGACGAAGGCGTGCGCGCCGAGCGCCTTGGCCTCCTCCGCCTTTGAGGCGGACCCCGACAGCGCCGTCACCTCGCGGCCGAGCGCGCTCGCAAACTGCGCGGCACGGGAGAGAGTGTGGTGCAGGAGAGGGAGGGAGGGAGGGAGGGAGGGAGGGAGAGAGAGAGAGAGAGAGAGAGAGAGAGAGAGAGAGAGAGAGGGGAGGAGTCACGGCCATGGCGATGGGAGCTGGCCGCGTGGTGCGTGGTGCGGGCTCGGCGGCACGCGTGCGGAGCGACCGGAGGAGGCGGAGGAGGCGCGGGAGAGCGCCGGAGGCGGTGCGAGATGTGCGTGCAGGGCGGCGGCCGCTCCTTGATTGCCATGTGGCCGAGCCCTCCCAGCCCGAGGATGCCAACCTTGTCGCCGTCCTTGGTCTGCTGCACCAGCGGCGTCCAGACGGTCTGCCCGCCGCACAGCAGCGGCGCCTACTCGGGCGCGGGCTGCGGTGACGCCGCCGTCGAGACGGAGCAGAGTCGCGGCGGCTTCAGAGGTGCCGTCTGCGCCGAGTCGCACGCTTCCGGGATGGCGAAGCAGAACTTGCCGTCCTGTATGCGGACGTAGTCGGCGAAGGCGCCGACGTTGCCTTCGCAGCACGTCGCCTTGACCGAAGCGCAGAGCTGCTCGTCGCCCTTCTTGCACCACTCACACTCGTGACACGCGCCGTTCTGCCAGCCGATGCCCGCGCGCTCGCCCACCTTGACGTGCGTGACCTCCTCTCCAACCGCGGTGACGATGCCGATCACCTCGTGTCCGCACACCTGCGGCTTGCCGACTGCAAACCCGGTGAAGTCTGCGTAGCCGCCGTCTGAGTTGATCAGGTGCACATCCGAGCCACAGAGGCCGCAAAACTGCACCCGTAGCTCGACGCCGTGGGGACCAAGCGATGGCACCTCCATGCACACCTCCTCGAGCGCGGCCTTTGGCTTCGCCGCAGCCCAGCACTTGACCGTGCGCGGAGCCGACATCGGGCCGCAGGATGTGCGGCTTGGAGAGAGAAGACGCCAGATATCCGTACCAGAAACGCCGCAAGCATCCCACAGCGTAGAGCTTGCCGTCGAAAACCGCCACAGCGGAGCCCTCCCGCGCCGTCCCCATCGCCGCAACCGCCTCCCACGCGTTCAGCGCCGAGGCACCTTCAGGCCCCTCTCACAGCAGACTGGCACGAACTAGCACCACAAAAGGGAAAAGTGGTGGGGCGCACTGGCACTAACACACTGGCGGCGTGCCGTCCTCCCATTCCTCCATCGAAGGGCGGCGGGCGAGCAGCGCCGCCTTCTTCGCATTGTCGGCCATCTCACCGAGGAGCGCCGCGCCCGTGCCCACGCCGTCCTCGGCCTTGAGCGCCTTCGCCTTCGCCCTGGCGCTCTCGCGCATGGTGTCGTCCACCTTCCCCAGCGCCTCCGCCACGTCCGCGCCGCTCGTCTGCGCCAGCAGCTTGTTGAGCCCCACGCCGACGTTCAGCGTGTTGCAGCGTTGCCCCCAAAAGTGCTGGTCGCACTTGAGCACCGGGGTGACGATGCACGGGATGCCCGCGCCCACCACCGCCGCGACCGTGCCGGCGCCGCCGTGCACCACGCCGGCCGAGCACTGCGGCAGCAGCCAGCCGTGCGGCACCGAGCCCGTGGCGAAGTGCACGTTCTTCTTGGCGTACGCGATCAGGTCGGCACGCTCTTTGGGCAGCTTGTCGACGTTGAGCTGCGCCCAGCCGCCGAGCACCACGGCCCGGCTCGACGCGAGCATCGCCGCCTCCACCGCCACGACCGTCATGAACGTGGCTGCGCACGGTGCACGCGCGCGGGTGAGGCGGGCGCGCAGTGTCGGTGGGCGACGATCCGTGGGGCGGCGGCGCACCGTCCTTGACGAGCATCGAGCCCCACCCGACGTAGATGGGCGTGGGGCCGTCGGCGAGGAAGGCCTTGAGCTCGGCCGTCGGCTTGAAGGCCTTGAGCTGCTGCGCATCGTCCAGCTTCCAGAAGCCGACCACCTGCCCCACGGGCTGATCGGCGTACCCCGGAAAGAGCGCCGGGCTCCAGCCGCACAGCGTCCACTGGTAGAGGTCCTCGAGGTCGTGCACGGTCATCGGGGGCTTGCCCGCCGCCGCGTAGCGCTTCTGGATCGCGCCGTCCTTGGAGAGCGCCGACGCGTGCAGCTTGCCAAGGATGAGCGCGTGCAGCAGCCGGTTGCAGCCGCACGGCAGGTTGATGCCAGTGAGGCTGAGGTAGACGGGCGCCTCAGTGGCGGTGATCGAGCGCGGGAAGAGCTGTCCGAAGCACACGTGGTGCCGCGCAGGTCGTACAGCGCGCGCGCAGTGCCCATCTTGAGATTGTTATAGACGATCAGGTTGGGCTTGAATCACTCCCACCAATGCGATGCGCTTCGCTCGCCGCCTGAGCTCGGCACGCCCTCGCACCACTGCCCACTCTTGCCCCGCTCGAGGCCGGCTCGCCGCGTGGTGCTTGGTGGTGCGGGTGGCTGGAGCGTGCGAGGCCGACGCGCCACATATTTGCTCGCGCGCGTGGCTCCAACCTCGCGACAGCAGCTATGTATGTATGTAGTAAGGTGAAGAACAGTCAGGCTCGGACTGGACACCAACGCGGTATGGGTGGACACTAGACAGATGATGACGACACGCACGAGCGACACACAGACACAAACAAGCTCACAAGACACACAGCCAGCGGGCTGCCACACATCCTGAGTGGGCGTACACATCACTCAGGCCACGTCCCCCCTGTCGCCCCCCCCAGCACTCCAAGGTGCCAAGAGACAAACAACAGCACAACAACACAGACAGGCGACAGGGGCGAACGTGTGAGACTAGAGCAGGCTTGCTCCGCCTCTAGCAATCTCGTCGCCGGCCGCAAGGCACGGACGAGACCGTGTGTGGGGTCTTGTGAGGTGTCTATGGACGCCCTCCTCACAGGCTATTGGCCAGCCGCTAGCCCTAACTCGCACTCATGGGTGACGACAGTTCATTGGATGAGTGGTTGCGAGCAGAGGCGCGTGTGCTGAATCTAGATCGCACGCCGTGGCATATGACTTGGGTAGGCGTGCGACCGCAGCGCGCCCGCCGAAGGCTCGACCGGGCGCGCGTGTCAGCCAGAAGTTTGCCAGTAGAGCGATCCTGGTCTTTCCGAAGACGAGCCCCGCGCCACGGGTGCCAGCCGTGCCTCCGCGGGAGCCGCCTCTCGAGCCGCGTCCCGCCGGCACTGTCCCTGAGTGCGTCCCGCCTTGGTTGGCGACACGCACTCGACGAGGGCAGTCCAGCCGACGGGAACGTGTCGCGCGCCGGCGACGAATGCGGCGGGGTGGGTGTGGGTAGCTGTCCCGCGCCTCGCCTGTCGCGTGAATCGAGGTGGTGGCGGAATCAATTGCCATGAACGCCATGAGCCCCACCTTGATCGCTGACCTGCGCCGGGGCGACCTGACCTCGCTGCGCGCCCTCCTGTTCGGGCGGACGCGCGGCCCGGCGCTCACGGCCCTGCTCGACGCGCGGCTCGAGGCCGAGAGCCAGTTCACGCTGCTGGCCTGGGCCGCTTACTACGGGCAGGCCGACGCGGTGAGGCTGCTGATTGAGAGCGGTGCGAGCGTGGGGGCGACGGCTGGCATTGGCTGCTCCGCGCTGTTCATCGCATGCCAAGAGGGCCAGCTCGAGTGCGTGCGGCTGCTCCTCGGCGCCAACGCTGACGCCGACCAAGCCAAGGACACCGGCGCCACGCCGCTGCTCGTCGCGTGCCAGAAGGGCCAGCTCGAGTGCGTGCGGCTGCTCCTCGGCGCCAGCGCGGCGGTCAACCAAGCCAAGGCGGACGGCGCCACGCCGCTGTACATCGCGTGCCAGGAGGGCCACCTCGAGTGCGTTCGGATGCTTCTCGAGGCTAGCGCGGCGGTCAACCAAGCCAGGGACGACAGCTTCACGCCGCTGTACATCGCGTGCGAGAAGGGCCAGCTCGACTGCGCCCGGCTGCTCCTTGAGGCCAGCGCGGCGATCAACCAAGCCAAGGACGGCGGCGCCACGCCGCTGTTCATCGCGTGCCAGAAGGGCCACCTCGAGTGCGCGCGGCTGCTCCTCGGCGCCGACGCGGCAGTCAACCAAGCCAGGGAAATCGGCACCACGCCGCTGTACATCGCGTGCCAGAAGGGCCACCCCCAGATCGCCCAGCTGCTCCTCGAGGCTGACGCGGCGGTGAACCAAGCAGACGCTGAAGGCTTCACGCCGCTGTACGTCGCGTGCCATAAGGGCCAGCTCGAGTGCGCCCAGCTGCTCCTCGGCGCCAGCGCGGCGGTCAACCAAGCCATGGACGACGGCGCCACGCCGCTGTTCATTGCCTGCGAGAAGGGCCAGTTCGAGTGCGTTCGGCTGCTCCTCGGCGCCGACGCGGCAGTCAACCAAGCCAGGGAGAACGGCGTCAGGCCGCTGTACATCGCGTGCTACCATGGCGACCCCTTCATCGTGCTCTGCCTGCTGCGGGCGGGCGCGGCGGTCAACCAAGCCACAGACTATGGTGTCACGCCGCTGTTCATCGCGTGCCAGAACGGCCAGCTCGAGTGCGCCCGGCTGCTTCTCGAGGCCAGCGCGGCGGTCAACCAAGCCAAGGACGACGGCGCCACGCCGCTGTACGTCGCGTGCCAGAACGGCCAGCTCGAGTGCGCCCGGCTGCTTCTCGAGGCCAGCGCAGCTGTCAACCAAGCCAACGTCAACGGCGCCACGCCGCTGTACATCACGTGCGAGACGGGCCAGCTCGAGTGCGTTCGGCTGCTCCTCGGCGCCGACGCGGCAGTCAACCAAGCCAGGGAGAACGGCGTCAGGCCGCTGCACATCGCGTGTTACAAGGGCCACCCCGCCGTCGTGCTCTGCCTGCTGCGGGCGGGCGCTGACACAGCGGCGCGCACTGCGAGCAGCGAGACGGCGCTGCAGTTTGCAAAGGAGGAGGGCCACGCCGAGTGCGAGCGCGCACTTGTGGCGGCGGCGAGGGAGGCGAAGAGAGCGGAGATTGAGGCAAGGGTGGCGAGGGCAGTGGCCGAGAGGGCGGCGGCAGAGAGGGTGGAGGCCGAGAGGGCGGCCGAGGAGGCTGCGGCGGCGCTGCTGGCGGAGGAGGAGGCGGAGAAGTGCCCCGAGGAGAAGACGAAGGCCAAGAAGAGGGGCAAGAAGAAGAAGCAGGGCGGCGGGGGCGGCGCTGGGCCGTCGCAAGAGGCCGAGGCGCCGGCAGAGGAGGCGGCAGAGGCGGCGGCGGCGGCGGCGGAGGAGGCGGAGCTTGCGGCGGCGCTCGAGGAGAGCGCGAGGCTGGAGGAGGGGAGGCGGGCGGCGGAGGCGCAAGGGCCGTCCTCGGCCGCAGAGGCGCCGGCTCCGAGGGAGGAGCCGCCGGCCGACTTCATCTGCCCGATCACGACCGAGCTCATGAGTGACCCGGTGATGGCGGCGGACGGGCATTCGTACGAGCGGTCGGCGATCGAGCGCTGGCTCGCGACCAAGTCGACGAGCCCGATGACGGGCGAGGCGCTCGTGCAAAGCTTCCTCGCCCCCAACCACACGCTGCGCCGGCAGATCCGGGAGTGGGAAGAGGCGAACGCACGCTGAAGAGCGCTTGCGCCGCCCGCCACCGTCGGCCGTCGGCTCACACCGTCCCGCGGGGCTTACGCGGGGGTGGGAATGCGGGACTCCGCGCCTTGAGAGGACAGCGCGTTGTGCAAAAACTAAAAGCGAGAGTCGGTGTGTGTGAGCGAGACGACGCGGCGGCTCGCTGCGCAGTCCATACTGTACCCGTGGCCGTGCGTCTCCCGCCTGGAAAAAAGTCCTACTAGCTCGAGCTGCGGTTTTTTACAACTTTTTTCGGCTGTCGCAGCCCGTTTCGCCTTTTATTTACCTACCATCGGCGCGTGTCCCTCTCAGCACCTCCAACACGGACTTGAACCCTCGCCGCCTCGCCTCGTCCTCGGGCGTGTGCCCCCACCGATCCTTGAGCGAGCCAATCGGGCGGCGCAGGGACCTCAAAAGTGTGCCTGCCAGCACTGGCGAGCCAGCGCACGCAGCGATGTGAAGCGCCGTGCGGCCGTCGTAATCGCACGCGGAGGGGAGGGCGCCGGCGGCGAGGAGGGAGGCCAGCAAGCCGGCGTCAGACGTTGCAGCCGCGTTGCAAAGCAGCGACGCCTCCTCGTGCTCCGGCAGGCGCAGCGTCGCGCCCAACCGCTTCAGCGCCTCGACTCAGCCTCCGTGCCGGTTGATCGCAGCCTCGTGGAGCACCCCTCGCCGGCGAGCAGCTCCACCATGTCCACGTGCCCCTGCGCTGCGGCGAGGTGCATCGCGGTCCTGCCGTTCATGCAGGGGTGAAGTTAGGCCCGCCGCTCACCCACAAAGGGGGCGCGTGCGGACGGGTGGTGCGCAAAATGATGCGGGCGGCACCTTCCTCGCCTCCAGCATCACCGTCCGTCTCCGCAAAGTCGCCGCCGATTCGTTGCGCGCGAGTCGGTGGGGTGTAGACGGGTCGTACCGCTCGAGCGAGTTGAGCACCTCGAAATGCTGCCAGGATGTGCGGGGCGAGGTCCGGCGAGAGGAGGACCTCGGAGAGGATCCACTCGGGCTGCTCCACGCGTGCGGCGCGGTGCTCCTCCGCCACGCGCAGCGTGGCGGCGCTCAAGAGGGGCGCCTGCTCGTCGATGAAGGCGACGAGCTGCTCTGGCGAGCATCACTCCGACACACGATTTTTCACTCCCCACAGCCGCCAACCCAGGATCGGCCGCTCGAACCGGAGACCGCCGCTCGACATATGATCGGCGACTCACATCGATGTCAAAGAACTGTGTTGGGTCACACATTTCTTGTTGGCTTCTAAAAATCTCTCTCTCGATGTCAGCCGCTCGACCTATGGTCGGCGGCTCTGGGTTCGAATCTGAGGACCTGGGTTCGAATCGCCGTTGGCGGTTCATAGGGTAGATAAAAATCTTCTGGAGCGTTCCCAGACCTATTTATTCACAGGCGCGCGGGATGCGTCGGGTGTGAACACAAAACAACAACCGTCGCACCGGCTGCCTGCAGTCGAGCCGGCGGCGCGGCGGCCGATGCTCGAGGCGAATCGGGAGGCGGCCGAGGCGTGGAGGGCGCGTGGGCGCAAGGCGCTCCTGCAGGCCGGATCATCTGCGGCAGCGAGCAATGATCTCGTCGACTCGCTCTCGAGAGCTGTTAGCGCGCTGGAGAAGGCGCTCAACCTGTTTCCGCTGGAGAGCCTGGCGGAGGAGATTACCGCCACGCAGCGTCAGCTCGACGTGGAGCGCGTGCGGCGCGCGCAGCGGAAGGGCACTTCAAAGGCCGCCGACCGGCCGCCCTCCGCCGCGCCACCGCCGCCGCCGCCGCAAACGGCGCAGGGTGGCGACGGGACGGGAGGAGAGTCGGGCAGCGCGGGGCGAGCAGGCGCTTCAGAGTCTTCGCCCGCGGATGACGAGGTCAACCGCGTCCTGCGCTCCAACGACCACTATGCCGCGCTTGCGGTCGAGCGCAGTGCGTCGGACGCTGACATCAAGCGGGCCTTCCACCGCACCTCGAGGGTGGTGCACCCGGACAAGTGCCAGGTACCATCACGCCTTCCGCGCTGGCGCTTCCCTGGCCTTCCTCGCAACGACCCCAGCCCTCCCGCCTCCCGCCCTCCCGCCTCGCAGAACTCCCTAGCGACGGAGGCGTTCCAGAAGCTGCAGGCCGCCTCTGCCGCCACCCCGCATCGCATCCCCCACCACCCGCCGCCGTCCTCCGCCGCCACCACCACCATCTCCGCCTCCTTAATCGCCTCCAGCCTCACCGCCCACCCCATCGCCGCCGCCACAGGCCGCCTTCGCCACGCTTCGTGACGCAGCGACCCGCGCGATCTACGACGCCGGACTCCGCTGCCCGTGCCGCCCCACCACCGCACGCGCTCCGAACTGCCACCCCGCCGCCGCGGCGCCGCCGGCTCGCGGAGTCTGTCATCGGAGGTGCCCGAGAGCGGCGCTTCACGGCGTCGGGGTGTGAACAGGCCCCGCGTGCGCCGAACCCGAACGCGGCTGCGTACGAGGCGGAGCGGCAGCGGCGGGCGGCGGAGGCGAAGGCGGCTGCCGAGGCCGAGGTGCGCACGGCTTCCGAGAGACACTTCCGAGACACTTCCGAGACACTTCCGAGACACTTCCGAGGCACCCTCCGGCTCTGCTGCGAGAGACCCGCACAGCCGCTTGACGCCGCCAGACCTCGCAGACTCCCCGCCGCCGCCGCTCGCCGCCTGCTCACTGCTCGGCTCCTACTACGCCTCCCCTCGCCCTCCCTCCTCCCCTAAGGCGCGCGCGCAGGCGGAGGCGGCGAGGCGGGCGGCGGAGGTGGCGGCGGCGGTGCGGGCCAACAACGTGCAAGTCGGTGGCGCCGAGGCGCCGCACACGCCCAGATGCGAGACAGTGGCCCCCGGAATGGAGGGAGGCTGCCGCGCCCGCACGGCGGAGACATTGCGTTCCGGCACTGTGCACAGAGCCGTTCTTCCGCGCCGCCACCCCCTCCTCCTTGGCCACCGTGCGACCGCCGCCGGCCCCACCCCGCCCGCCCGCTCCTCCCCCCCTTCCGCAGGCGCAGCGCACCCGCATCTTCGAGCGGCTGTCGCAGCTCAAGAAGGAGCCGCTGCTGCGCATCTGCAGGCACTGGCGCGGCTCGACCGGCTCTGCCCTCTCGCCGACGGGCGCAAAGGCGACAGCGTCCGCGGGTCGGCGCAGCGAGACGCGTCCGTGACACGTCCGTGACACGTCCCTGACGCGTCCCAAAAGGCGGTGCTCTTCGCGAGGATCCGGGAGGCTGCCCTCAACGACGGAGTCGACGGCGCGCGTACCCTCCCCTCGAGGGTACCCGAACCCTATCCGTACCCTCCCCTCGAGGGTACCCGAACCCTACCCGTACCCTCCCCTCGAGGGTACCCGAACCCTACCCGTACCCTCCCCTCGAGGGTACCCGAACCCTACCCGTACCCTCCCCTCGATGGTACCCGAACCCTATCCGTACCCTCCCCTCGAGGGTACCCGAACCCTACCCGTACCCTCCCCTCGAGGGTACCCGAACCCTCCCCGTACCCTCCCCTCGAGGGTACCCGAACCCTATCCGTACCCTCCCCTCGAGGGTACCCGAACCCTACCCGTACCCTCCCCTCGAGGGTACCCGAACCCTAACCGTACCCTCCCCTCGAGGGTACCCGAACCCTACCCGTACCCTCTCCTCGAGGGTACCCGAACCCTACCCGTACCCTCTCCTCGATGGTACCCGAACCCTACCCGTACCCTCTCCTCGATGGTACCCGAACCCTACCCGTACCCTCCCCTCGAGCGGCGGCGCGGCGCCCTCTCCCGAACGCTCCCCTGAAGCCTCCCTGACCCCCCGTTGCCAGGCGTCCGCCTCTTGGAGCGGCTGCAGCAGCGCGTTCTCGAGGTGATCAACGTCGAGTACGCGCTCAAGCGAGCGCAGCAGGTTAGCCGCACCGCCGCCGCTCCGTGCCGCCGGCTGGAGAGTACGCCTCCGCCGGGCTGACCCATCGACGGCTCATCCGTCAGGACGTCGCGATGTGGGGCTCCGCGCCTCGGCTGCGCGCGCTGCTGCAGCGCGCAGACGGCGCGGCGCTCTCGCTGCCACTCGACGCTTCGTGCGACTTGCCCCTTTCGCTGCTGCGAGCGAGGATCGTCGAGCTCGAGCAACTGGGTGGCCAACGGAGGGTGGGGGGGGGGGATGTGGGGAGAGATGGGGAGATGTGGGGAGAGATGGGGAGAGATGGGGAGATGTGGGGAGAGATGGGGAGATGTGGGGAGAGATGGGGAGAGGTGGGGAGAGATGGGGAGATGCTGGGGAGAGATGGGGAGATGTGGGGAGAGATTGCCTGCAGCGCGAGGCAGGCGACGCGGATGTGGGGAGAGAGGGTGGTGTGGGGAGAGAGGGTGGTGTGGGGAGAGAGAGCGTGGTGTGGGGAGAGAGGGGTGTGGGGAGAGAGAGGGGGGGTGGGACGCAGTGGGACACGTCCTCTCCGACGGCACTCCGACGGACGAGGGCGGACCGCCTAAGGTCATGTCCCGGACATGTCATGGACGTGTCCTGGACATGCCTCGACGGACGAGGGTGGACCGCCTCCTCCGCTCCTCTGTCCACGTTGCCACTCCGCGCGCCCTCTCTGCGCCCTCTCCGCCCCGGCGCCCTCCCAGCCCCTCCGATCCCACACATGGCGGCTTGGGGCTGACCCACGCCCCCACCGCCTCCCGCCGCCACACCCTTGGCACGCCCGCCGACACGTCCACGACACGTCCACGACACGTCCACGACATGTCCACGGCACGTCCACGACACGTCCACGACACGTCCACGACACGTCCACGACATGTCCACAGACTGACGCGGCGGCGGCGACGGCGGCGATGGAGGAGCGGCGGCGCGCGGAGCGACGGCGACGTGAGTCAATGGGACACGCGACACCGGAGCAGTCTGCGGCAGTGCAACAGCTAGATGCGCACACCCCTGTATCTCTGTCTCCCGACCAGCGCTGCAGAAGACGCGTGCTCGGCTGACTCTTCCCTGCCCTGCGCACTCGTTGCACGCGCAGCCCTGGTGTGCACGCGATGCGCCGAATGCATGATGCCGCTCTCACCCCCTCGCGTGGACCTGCAACGTAGGAGCTGGAGCGGCGGGCGCGCCAGGCGGCGGGGAGCTCGCGAGGGAGATGCCATGTCCGGGACACGTCCGTGACATGTCCGAGACATGTCCCATAGGCGGCGGAGCTCGCGAGGGAGATGGCGCTCCGCCAACTCACCGCGGAGCGAGCTGCCGCGGAGGTGGCCCGTCCCTGCGCCGCCCCCTCCCCCTCGCCCACACATTCTGCCCCCCCCCCCCCTCCCCCTCCCCCTTCGCCCTCTGCCATCCCCATCCTCTCTGTCTCCCGGCCGCCGGTGCGGACGCATCCAAGACACGTCCACGCCGACCGCGTCCCCCCCACAGGCGACCGCCGCACAGGCGCGGGCGGCGAGGCGCGCGGCTGAGGCGGCTTCCTCGGGCGGATTCGTCTCGGCGGCAGAGATCCGACGAGCCGCCGCCGCCACTTCGAGCGCCGTCCCGCCGCCCCCCGCCGCCGCAGCCACAACCCCGTCCGTTACTACTCCGTCGGCCGCCGCCGCCTCCGCTGCCGCCGCTTCTGCCACGCCGGCCGCCCGCCGGCCGCCGCTGCCGGCCGCCGCCCAGATCTTTGCGCAGATGCCGGCCGAAAGCCGCGAGCATTTCTCGCGCACCGACCCCGCCGCGATCGCGCGCCACTTTGCGACGCAGGCGGCGGCGGCCGGTTACCCTCCCTCCCAGGCGGAGCGCACGGCACGAGCGTGGCTGCCGTCTTCACCGCAGGGCGCGGCGGAGGGGCGGCCGCCGCTGCTGCCGCGGCTACGCCAGCCGCCGCATACAAAGCTTGGGCGCGCAGCGCGTCGGGGCATTCGTCGACGCCGCCGGTGGCGGCGTCGCAAGGTTCGTCGCAGCGCGCGTCCCAGCCGGAGCCGCGCCGGGCACGCGGCCAAAAGAGCAGGGCGACGGCCGCCGCCGCCGCCGCCGCGCCGCAGCCCTCCCCGGCCGCAGCCGTGCAGCAGCAGCACGCTTCTCCGGAGGCGGCGACGGCATCCCCCGTCATCGACCTTGACGATTCGTCGCCGCCGATCGAGTCCGACCCGCCGCCGCCGCCCTCGTCCTCGCCGCCGCCGCCCGACCCGCTCTCGTCCTCGCCGCCGCCGCCGCCGCCGCCGCCCGACATGGACCCGTCGCCAACGCCGCCCGCCGCGCAGCCGCCGGTGCAGTCGCCGCCGGCGCCGCGGGGCTCGCCGCCTCAAGCGGCTCGGCCACAGGCCAACCCGCCCGGCACCAACGCGCCGGCCAACACGGGGAAGAAGCGCAAGTCGAAGGGGTTTGGCGAGGAGAGCCGCGCGCTCAAGCAGGCGACCATCAACGCTTTCTTCCGCCGCTGAGCCCGAGGGCGCCGCTCCAGGCCACTGCCTTGCAGCGGGGAGAGGCGATTCTCTGAACGTCGGCACAGTGGTGGTCGTATAGGAACGCGGCCAGCTGGATAGATCAGACACAGAGGAACCGCCTGAGGTCTGTGGCGGCGGGCCAACTAGATTACAAGGGTCACTTGGAGCACCGTTGGAGTGCAGTCAAACCTCACACACCCAGGGCCGAAGAGCTAAGTCCTAAGAAGCGCACCCAGCGGGCCAGATGAAGCCGCGAAAATTCTTTTCTCCGTGCCAGTCAAAATGAATAAGAAAGAGAGAGACGGGCGACGCACGAACACCAAGACACGGCCGGCAAAAATCTCTTTTTGTGTACCTTCTATTCCTGCCAAAAGTTATTTAGTACCACCCCGGTTTCGGACATCGGCGAACGATCGGAAGGGTGCCGCCTGCACACCAAATGGAGTCCAGCGATGTGGGGCCTCACTCCTCTGGGAGGGCGCGGGGGCCCTAGAGGGTATCCATGCGGGGGGGAGATGGGGTCCGATGGCCCGCCGCAGGCGCCGATTTTTCACATTTTTTCTTTTGCGCGATTTTTCACTTGTTTTCAGGGAATTCGGCCATGCTATCACGCCTTGCGACAGCCTGTCGGCGCTGCTGACCGTGCCATGCTGCTCAACTGACCGCCTGCATAGCTCGCGGCCTTAGTCTTCAGCATTCAGTGACGACCTGATCGTACGGCCAGTAGGAAGGTGTCCTTCCAGCGCGTGCACGCTTCTGACGCAATGCGCGTCACAAACTGCCTCGGATTGGCTGCTGGCACTCTCGAGGCTATGCCTACACAGCCTCGCGCGCATGGGCAGTCAAGAGGGACCACGCACCTTCTCAGGACAGCACCAGTGCCTCTCTCTTGGACCGGCAAACTTGGTGGTCTCGTGTCACCAATGTGGGACCAGTGCGGCATCGGACGCGCCATCGACAGCTCTGAACTGCGCCTCACCACTGACCGGGAAGGCCGCCAAGTGGGTCAGCACAGGTCGCACATTGTGGCAGCAGTCAGCAGTGCATGTCTGATAGCTAGCAGCAGCGTCAGGGTCTCGCAGGGTCGGATCGTGTCAAGCCTCTCGCCCGGCCGGCCGCGTGCAGACGTCGGCCTGTCTGCTGTCTGGAGTGATCTGTCGGCGGTCAGTACGACCGATCAGGTTGGAGGTTTCTGATGGTTGGAGGGTCTATCTGTGTGTACTCCTCGAGATCTCTCCAAATCTGCCCTCTGATCAACCGTGATCATTCGGGAAGTCGGTGCTAATAGAGACTAATAGAGCCGGAGCACCGTTTCCGCACTGCTGCGCGGCGCACGGTGCCTCCGGGGGCCCCCGCGCCCCCCCAGAGCCTCACTCCCAGAAGCTTGGAGCTTCAGGCCGCGACCACGTGGCTAGGTGGACACTAAAGTGCCATTTTGGCGCCAAATCTTGGCGCGAAATGACACGTGGTTTGGCGGGAGTGTGGTGTAGCTGCGGTGCTCGACAGCGCTGCTGTTGAGCGCCAGCTGCTGCTCCCTTCAGCCAGACGGCCGGGCCTGCGCAGCACGACCGCTGGCCTTCCTCCTGCACCACAGGAGCGCACCAAGGCGCGCGTCTGGGCAAGCAGTGCGTCTCATCGCGATGCGAGAGTCGACGCTGTGACGCCGCCGCTCGCCGGCTAGAATGACAGTGGCAGCATTCAAGTACGCGTCGAGCTGTGCGTACCAGCACTTGTGTGCGAGCTTATTGTGTCCCTGAGCTGCTGTGGGGTGCGTGGGCTCAGCTGCGGAGCACGTACTGGGCGGCGGTAGGGGGGGTGTCCCTAAATAACTTTTGGAATAGAAGGTACCTGTGTTAGTGCCAGTGAGTGCGCGCCAGTCCCGTGCCCAGTGAGCAGTCAGTGTCGTGCGAGGGAGTTTGGTGGTAAAATTCTTTTGGTGTACCTGTGTTAGTGCCAGTGCGCGCCAGTCCCGTGCCCAGTGTTGTGCAAAAAAAGAATTTTACAATAACCTCGCACGACACTGGGCACGGGACTAGCCAGTCCCGTGCCTCTCGTTAAATTCTTTTTGTGTACGAGAGGATGGCGGTCTTTGCCCTGCTGCTAGTCCAGTCGGCTCGATGCCTCGCTGTCGGGTCTGCCGTCTTCCGCCCCGCGCCACCGGCCCTGCGTCGATCGCCTTGGCTTGCGATGAGTGGTGGGACTGGCGGCGGCAGCAGCAACTTGGAGCCGAGTGCTGGCACCGGCGGCTCCAGCAGCAGCGCGGCCGCGCCGCGACTGGCGGCGCTGTCGGTCCTCGTCGGCTGCCAGGGGCTCGACGCCGAGGACTCGCTGCTGCAGGCGCTCGAGGCGGACGGCCTGGCTTTGTTGGCCGCGGCGGCAGCCGCGCTCGAGGACCGGCCGCGTGCGGAGCTGTCACTCACGCTGTGTGACAGCGACTTTATCCGCGGGCTCAACGCGCAGTGGCGCGGCAAGGACTGCGCCACCGACGTGCTCTCCTTCCCTCAGGACGACGCGGAGATGCTCGGCGATGTGTGCTCGTCCCGCGTCCCATCTGCCGCGCACTACTCGCACTCGCACAGCGCGTCCACAACAAGTCTGCGACGCCTCCGCGACGCCTCCGTGACGTCCGCAGGTCGTCCTCTGCGTCGATGTCGCCGACAGGCAGGCGGCAGAGCGCGGCCACGAGCGGCGAGACGAGCTGCGCGTCCTGCTGGCGCGACCCCCCCCCCCCCAACCCCTGCAGCCTACCATCGCTTTCGCCCACCGCCTCCGCAGCCTACCACCGCCCTCGCCACCCCCCGACCGCCCCGACCGCCCCCTGGCTGCGGCAGGTACACGGGCTGCTGCACCTGCTCGGCTACGACCACGAGACGTCCGACGTGGACGCGGCGGAGATGAGCGAGGCGGAGGTTCGACTGCTCGGCCGACTGGGGTGGCGAGGCGAGGGGCTCGTCGCCGCCGCCGGGGCCGGTTGACGGGCTGCGGCTCACTAGCGACAGGTTACGGTACAGTCGGGCAGAGAGGCGTTCCAGCCCAGGCGCTCTCTGTTTTCCCTCCAATTTTGTGTTCGTATCCGCAGATATTATGTTATATCTGGGGCGCCCGGTGCGGCGCGGGGGTGCTGGGGTCTCGCACCGTGGGGACCATCGACCAAAACCACGGAGAACCAAAAAATGAACCGCCCCCGAGAGAGTGAAGAGAGGCAGAGGCTCTCCGGAGGGCACGCGCGGCGGCGTGGATGTCAGAATAAGCGAATGCGTGGGCGGCTCAGCACTTGGCCACCTGCGAAACCGGCCTCGCGGTGCTACGGCGCTCTTGCAGGCAGCCGGCCCACGCCTCGCGAAGGACGAGGGTGGCGACGTCGGAGTGCGCGTGCCGGTAGGCGAGCGCACGCCGTGCAGGCAGGAGGAGCCTCTGCATACCCCGCCAGTTGCGGGCTCCCGGCGGGCCGGCCGCTCCCTCGAGGATGCGGCGGGCCGCGCCGAGCGGATCGGCCAGGAAGTCCGCCTCTGGATAGCGCACGCCGTAGGAGGAGGGTGGAAGCGGGCGCGTGCGTGGGAAGGGGAGCTGCAAATCGTCGACAAGGATGACAGGGACGCACAGGCACGCGATGCTGTCGTAGAGCCGTCCCGTCGACGGCGTGTCGCCCGCAGCGATGGCGCAGAAGCGTGCGCCCGCCATCTCCGTGCACTGACTGCGGTGCCATCATAATGTCAACCACTCTGGCTTGGCAGATACATCACTGAGCAGGATCATACGCTGGTCAATTGGGCATGTTGTAGAGTTGCCGATGGGTGGGTAGCGATTTGAAATCTTGCACGAGACGTTCTTTGCGAGCCTTGCGCGCGTAAACCTGACGCGTCTCATTTCCTGTTCTCGAATCTTGCTTGACCAGTGCCTAATAAGTGTCGAGATCAAGCTGTCGCTTGCCCCGCATCTCGAGCAGGGTCAGCTTCGCCTCATCGCCGCTTGCTTTCCCGAATTCTGCCCGAGGAAGAAAAACAACCAGAATCCAGCACGCCGCGAGATCCAGGCTCCCAGTGGCCGTCAGCCGCACACCGAACCGCCTCCCGCCCACCATGCTGGCCGCACCCCAGCAGCCAGCGGCGGTCTCCCTGCGGCTCCGTCCCCGGGCGGCGGCGTTTGTTTCACCACGCCACCAGCACGCTGCATCTCGCCCCCGCCTCACCGTCGCCCCACACCGACTCCCCCCGCAGACATGAGGCTTCTACTGCTCTGCGCTCTCGCGCTCGGCTGCTCTGCGTTTGCGCCGCTGCCGTCCAAGCAGCAGCTGAGGCCGACTGGCCGCGCCGCCGCCGCCTCGTCCATCCAGGCGCGCGAGCCCGCGCCCGGCTGCGACCGAACGCGTGTGCGGGAGGGAATGGTATCGGGGGCCGCGACGCTGCGGCGCGAGCTAGTCTGCTCACCTCTGCGCTGCGCTGCGCTGCGCAGATGCTGCGGGTGTGCGACATCACGGGGAAGAAGGCCAACAATGCGAACCGCGTCACCTTTTCGAACAAGCACAACGCGTACTGGCAGTACCCCAACCTGCAGACGAAGAAGTTCTTCTCACCAAAGCTCGACCGCACCGTCAAGCTCAAGGCGCGTCTGCACACGCCACGACTGCCTCTACGGCCGCTTGCTCACGGTGGCCCGAGCCCCGCACCGCGCAGGTGGCCACCTCGACCATCCGCACCATCCGCAAGCTCGGCCTCGACGAGACGGCGGCCAAGTACGGCGTCGATCTCGCAAAGTTCTGAGGAGTGGGTTTCATAGTCTCCGTCTCCGCGAGTCCCCCCTGGCCGCCGCCTCTCTGCGTGCCCCTGTCTTCTGTTCTTGTAGTGAGAAAACATGTCGTTGGTGACAACACGCATTGTACTTTGTAGTACGAAGAACACGAACCTCTTCCACTGTGCATGGAATAGGCAATAGCGTGAAAAGATGCTTAGGATCAACAGACGCAGTACTAGCCGGCTAGAGCTCGCCGCCGGATGCCGCCGGCTCTCTCTCGAGCTCTCTTCTCTCTTCACCCGCGCGGCAGAGACGAGGTAGCAGGGGCACAGCGAAGGGCGCCAGGCGCCGCGAGGCACGCACAGCCGGCACACCCCCCCCCCCCCCCACCCCCCCAAACTCTCTCTCTCACTCGGACTGCCTCTCCGACCCGGCACGCGATCCGGTGCACAGGTCCGGTACAATAGGCATGTGTGACTGTATACGCCCCCATGCCGCCCGCCCGCCCGGCGCCGCCCGTGCCATCTATCCGAATACATGCATAGCTGCAGAAGCCCCGCCGCCTCCCACCTCAGGAAGAGAGCTGCCGCCCACCGAAGCAGCAGCAAAAGCGCCAGCCCCCTCCCTCTCCCGGCCAAGTCTGCACCACACCGCGCAATGTCGTTGTGCCGTGTGGTGCAAGCGGCCGGGAGCGTCCGTTACCTCTTCTTGAAGCCGTACTTTTTGCGCTCGTAGAAGAGGTCCGTCTTGGACGAGCCGAGGTTGACGATCTGCACGGCGGGGGCAGGGAGGCGGCCGTTAGGGTGCGGCGGCGCGGCGGTGAGGGCGGCGGCGGCGGCGAGGGAGGGGAGGAGGGCGGCGGAGGGCAACGAAAGAGCAGCCGCGGCTGACGACGGCGCGCCAAGCTGGCAGCACGCAGGGCAGCCGCGGCGGGGGGGTGAGGTGGGTGCGGGGGAGGCCCCGCGCGGAGGGAAGGCGCGTCGACGACGCGCCTTGGGGCAGCCGTCGCGGTCCTTCTCCTGCTGCGTGCACTCCTTGCAGTAGTAGGCGTCGGAGATGCCGGGGCCGCCGCAGATGATGCACCGGCCCTGGAAGGACCCGTAGTTGCACTCGTCGCAGATGCGCACGAGCGTGTTTGGCCGCACGTACGAGTCGCAGATCGGGCACTTGCCGTCGCACTTCTCGCACAGCCGGCCCACCGAGATGCCCGGCTGCTTCCGGCACATGATCAGGTCGGGGTGGTGCTTCGCCATTGGCAGCGCGGCGGTGACCTCTGCAGGAGGCGGGCCCAGTCGAGAGCACACACGCCCTCTCGCCCTCGCGGAAACAGAGAAATCGTTCACTCGCAGCAGCGGCAGAAAAAAACCGCGCCAAGCGGACATTTCCGTGTGCTGGGCGAGCTCCTGCCTCAGGTACACAAACGCGTGCCTCCCAGCACCGCATCCCAGCACCGCACTCGCCCTGGATTTGCTCGAATCGCCGCCATAGGCATACCCCTCTGTTCGCTTACGATGCTCTGCCTCATCGCCGCCGCCCAGAGCTACGTGCTCCAGCCGCAGCCTCTCGTCTCGCGCGGCGCCGTCGCCGCCGTCAGCAGATCTGGGCCGGTGGTTGCAGGTGCTACCCGCTCCGCACGCGCACACAGCGCGCACGCACCCCGCTGGAGCTGGCACCGGCCGCTCGTGCCTCTCCCCACGACTCCGGGATTGCGGAGGCCGTCTCATGCAGCGAGCCACCGCGGCGGCAAGCAGCAACAGCAGCATGCACCCTGCTGATCCCCCGCCGTGTCACGGTCAGCTGTGGCCGTGGACGCCAAGACCGTGAAGACCCTCCGCGACGCGACCGGCGCCGGCATGATGGACTGCAAGAAAGCGCTGATTGAGAGTGAGGGAGACATGGTGCGCGGCCTGCGCCCGCCTCTGCCTCTCGCCTCTCTCCTCACCGCTCCCTCCCTCCTCCCTCCTCTCTCGCCAAGCGGACTCGCCCTCACTCCTCCCTGTCGCCTCTCTCCTCCCTCCTCCCTCTCCCCCGCCCTTCAGCTCCGCCACCCGCCGCCGCCCCCATTGCCATCGCCGCCAACCCCGCCCGCTGCGCTGCACCCCTCCCGCTGCGCTGCAGGACGCCGCGACAGAGTCCCTTCGGAAGAAGGGTCTCGCGTCGGCGGAGAAGAAGTCGGGCCGCGCCACCAAGGAGGGCATCATCGAGACGTGCGCCCCCGGCTGCGGCGCCCCACCTCGCGCTGCGAGCCGCGCCTCTCCGCACCGGCTGCACGCTGCGTACGACTAGGTACATCCACACCGGCGCAAAGCTCGGCATCATGGTCGAGGTGAACTGCGAGACCGACTTCGTCGCCAAGCGGCCGGAGTTCCAGGTGGAGCCCGCCACCGCACCCGCCGCACCCGCCGTTACCACCGGCGCCACCGCCACCGCCCCCCCTCCCGCGACTACCGCCGCCGCCGGTGCCGCCAGCGCGAGTGGATGGCGTTGCTTTGCTGCAGAGAGTTGCTGGGCTCGCTCGCCCTGGGCACCACCCTGGGCACCACTCTGCCCCGCCCCCTCCCTCCCCCCTCTGCCTCACTGCGAGCTCCACCCCGCTCCAGGAGCTCGCAAAGTCGCTGGCCATGTAATTAATTAATTAATTAATTAATTAATAGGAGCTCGCAAAGTCGCTGGCCATGCAGATCGCCGCGTGCCCGACTGTCGAGGCGTCTCGAGCCTCCGCTCGAGGGTGTCCGCTCGAGGGGTGGCCGAGAGTCCTCGGGAAGAGGAGGGGGGGGGGCGAGAGTAGGCCATCTCGAGCGACGACATCTCGGCGGACTGGATCGCGAAGGAGAAGAAGATCGAGGCGGCCAGCGACGACCTGCAGGGGAAGCCCGAGCAGATCATCGAGAAGATCGTCAACGGGCGGGTGGAGAAGGCAATCAAGACCAAGCTGCTTCTCGAGCAGCCGTACATCCGCGACTCGGGCATGACGGTCGACGAGTTCGTCAAGGGGTACACCGCCAAGCTGGGCGAGAACATCAAGGTGGCCCGCTTTGCGCGCTTCACGGTCGGCGGCGGCGCGGAGGAGGCTGAGGAGGCGTGAGGAGTCCTGCTGCGGACCCACCGCAGACCAAGGCGTTTCGCCCTTGGACGACGAGTGTGAAGAGTCACAACGAGAGGGAGGGAGAGAGAGAACAACGACGGTGTCGGGCCCGACGAGCGTGCCACCCGCAGTGCGTTGGGGGGGTGGGGGTAACGTCCAAGCGAGCGACCCACGAGAGTGGCCCTCTCGCGGCTCGGTGTTCGTCGGTGACGGTGTTTTTCCGGCGCGCTGTCGTCGCCTGTGCGCTGTATGTTGTACCAGCAGCATGTTGTACCCAGAATACCCTCCGGAGGCTCCGCGACTGCGGCGCGCGGCACGTATGACGTATTGTTGTAAGAACAAGAACCCGGGCCCGGCCGCCGGCGCGCGCCGCGCGCCGCGGAGTCCGCGGCGACGGGCGAGATATCGGACTGTCGGTATTCTGGACAGAGTCACAAGCAGCGAGGATCTAGCCCGGTAACTTAGCCCCCCCCCCCCCCTGTCCTAGATATGCTGATGATCTCAGCGCATGCGTGTGTGTAGGTGTGCGGTCCTCATGCTGCGTGTCTGACGGACATGAGGGTAAGGACTGCCGAGAGAGCTCCCGGCCCTGGCGGCGAGAGGGGTGCCTCCCCGTGGGAGCACCGTTGCGCGTCGCCCTTTGCGAGAGCCTCGAGCGCCGCGCGCATATCGTTCTGCTGCAACTGCGATCGATCCAGCGACATCGCTGGGCCGTCGCGATTGCCCAGGAATGGCCGCTTCGAGCTTGCACATTCGGGGCTCTGCCCACCACTGGCGGCGGCTCGCTCAGCCGGGCAGAGCCGTTTTCGCTTCGTCGGCACATGTGGTAAGCACTCGAGGTTAAGGCGCGAGCAACGCGTGCAAGCAACACCGGACTCAAAGATGCACTTCACCTTGGCACGGCGGCAGTTCGTGCATGCCGTCTTGACCGGCGGCTGGTCGGACTCACATGGAATCTGCAATGCGCACACACGAACCATGTCAGCGGAGGGGTTGGGGAGGGAGGGGGGTAGGGGGAGGGGGCGGACCTTGAGGCGCACGCAACGCGGACACGGTCGCTGGGTCGCGTGGCAGGCGGTCTTAGCCCGCTGGCAGCCCCTGCACGCGCGGAGTGTCCCCAGCTTTGCCGGCGACTCACCAAATGAGGAGCTCGAGGAGAGCACTATGGAGGGAGTGCGGGCTGCACTATGGTATAAGACGCCCATAGAGCCGTCATTTAATATAGCTCTAGCCGTCCGTCTTCCACATGGTCCCTCGAGTCCCTGCTGCTCCTCCTCTCTTCGTACAGCCGATGTGGGAAAGGAGGAATTTAATTCGTGGAAGGAGTTCGACGTCCTCCGGTTCGCGCCAAGCAAGCAATCGGGCCAAACTCCTTCCGCGACAACGCGCTTGCTTCTGCGTGGACCTGCATAGGATGGACTCGCTGCGCCTGTCCGGCTCCGCTTCTGCGTGGGCGAGCCTGTTTGAGTCGAGGAAGAGAGCGCTCGTCACGGTGCAAGAGGAACCGAGCACGAGTGCTCACGCCGAGAGCGTTGCGCTCAGCAACGCAGAGGAAGGCCTTATAACCCCCGAAGTGAACATCGAGGATGACATCCCAAGCAGCGCCAACGATGAGGGCAAGCCGCAGCACCGGCTCGCCCACCTCCGCCACAGCACCGCGCAGGCCAGCGCCATCTCGCAATACATCGCCGCCGCGTCCACGCTGCGCCCACCTCGGCTGATCCGGCGGGGCATCCGCGTGTCGGAGGCTCTCTTTCGCTGGCGGTCGGTATTCCACAACAATCCAGACAGCATGCCAGAGGAGCGGCGGGCCGAGCTGTACTCACGCTCAGAGGTGGTCGAGGAGTTTGACGCGTTTGTGAGCCACAGTTGGGCCGGCCCAGGCACGGCCAAGTGGCTCGCGCTGGCACTCGAGGAGGCCGGGGTCGTCCCGATGATGGCGACCATCGCCGTCTGCCTCGCCTCGATGGCGATTCAGCGAATCTGGGGTCTTCCCGGCGACGCGTGGAGGACGTTCCGTCCGGAGGACGCCGGGCTCCTCGCCATCGAGACTGAGGACGAGCCTCTTCTGATTGATATGCTCCCCTCCATCGAGCCGGCGGCAGACGACACGCTGATGGTGCTGTCCCCGTGGATCTTTGGCTCCGGGCTGATCGCCGCCCTGGTCGCTGGATCCCTCCGGCTGGCGCTCAGCAACCGCACCTACTTTGTGGATTGCTGCTGCATCCACCAGACGGACCCGGCCAAGAAGCTCCGAGGCATTCGGCACTTGGGCGGCTTCCTTTCCCTCTCGTCCCAGCTCACCGTGCTCTGGGATGACACCTACTTCACGCGCCTTTGGTGCCCTCTCTCCGCACCCACCTCCCCCCCAGCTCCACTCTCCCGCTCACCCTTGAGCTTCCACCCCAGGTGCGTGTACGAGCTAGCCACATTTCGAGCCCTCCACCCCCGCCGGCCGGTGGGATTCCTCCCGCTCCGCTTCTGCGTAACCTTTGTGGTCGGGTTGATTGTGATGGTGGTCTACTTTGCCTGTCTGGCAGTGTGGCTCGCAGAGCTCCTCCGCATCCCCGACCCCAACGACCATGTCGACGATTCGTCCCTTTTCTGGCTCTCAGTGTGCCTGCACTGGGGCGCAACCTTCTTGGCCTGCACAACGGGCGTCCTGATCGGCGCCGACATGGAGCTGCAGCGAAGCACGCTCCGCCAACAGCTGCGTTCCTTCGATGCCAGCAAGGCTGACTGCTCCAGCGAGACCGACCGAGCGGAGATTCTCGCCGCGATCGATGGGATTTACGAGGGCGTTGGCGGGATCGACGCGTTCAACCGGATGGTGGCCACACAAATGAAGGAGCAATTCTTGCCAATGATCTCGACCCGGCAGCTCGTCCGCAAGCGCCTGTCTGTGTGGTGGATTGGAGGCTGCTGCCTGCTGGCCTTATTTTGCAACTCCACGGCTGCCGCGCCGCCGCTGGCGCAGGGCGTGACTGCCATCTCTTGCATCGGCTGGCTGATCGCGGGCATCCCCCTCTTTGCGTCCTTGACCATTGAGCGGGGCGCGCAAGTGGTCCAGTCCCTCGCCGAATCCAACCTGACGCGCCTCCCTCAGCTCCTCTCCAACGGCCCGGCCGCGCGCGGGCTTCTGCTGGCCGGCTGGCGCACCGCCACCGAGGACATGCTCCTGCAGTTTGCCACCTTTGGCATCATCTTCGTCGCCGTCTGCCTCGACCACGAGCGGTTTGGCCTGGATGCGGCGGGGTGCGTGGCGCTCGCCCTCTGCCTTCACTTGGGCATCGCGCTTGGTGCTTACCGGATGCTCTCGGAGCCGAGGACGAAGGCGGCGAGGTTCTCGTCAAAGAGACTCAACAACTATGACTTTGCTCGCCCTGCACACGTGCCCCCCGTCGACGAGGAGGCGCGAGAGGGAGAAGGAGCGAGGCCTTTCAGTCGCGTCTCTGTGTAGCGGTGTAGGACAGAGACGAGCACTCACCCTAGTACGCGTGTGTCTTTGACACTGCCCTCAGTCATTTGATATTTGGTTGTGCGTGCGGTGTGATTTGGAGTCTCGGATCCGGTACTTTTTTCTTTTTTTCTGCTTGCGCCAGCAATGGAGGGCGGGCCATCGCTTGAGCTGCTCGTTGGGCATGCGCTGGTGCGCGTGGATGAGGCTGGCGAAGTGTGCGATCGTCTCGAGGCGGAAACCAAGCAAGCATTTCACTCGCTGGAGTCTCGCCTACAGGCTTCCGCGGAAGCCACCGTGCAGGCGCTCGAGCAACGCATGTCGGACCTGGTGTTGGGACATGTCAAGCAGCTCGAGACGCAGAATTCTGAGCTGAGGAATCTGGTGACACAGCTACAGCTGCAGGTGCAGCAGCTGCAGGCGCAGCCCGCGATCGTCTCCTGTGGCCAGGCTCGTAAGCAAGGCCATCCATCCTTGAAAGAGATGCGGGCAATGGGGGTCACAATTGCTGAGGCTAAGTACGGCGGGTACGAAAGCGCAGAGGCAGGTGCGGCGGGCTACTCGGCAACAGAAATGCGTGCTTCGGGCTATACAGTGGAAGAGGTCAAGAGTTCCCTCACAGCGCTGAAGCCGAGCGGTATGACATGCGCAGATGCGAAGGCTGCAGGCTATGTGGATGGGCTCAAGGCCGCAGGTTACTCGCTGCAAGAGGCCAAGGCGGCAGGCTACTCGCCAGCAGAGCGGCGGCGCGCTGGTTACACCTGTGCTGACTTCAAGGCGGCTAACTTGACGTGTCGCGAGGCGGAAGCAGCGGGCTTCTCGTCGCGCGAGGGGATGACCGCGGACTATTATTGCTGCGGCAGTGGAGGTTACTACAGCCACGATTGGCATTGCAGTGACCCTCGAGCGTGTAATAAATAAATAAATAAAGACGCCAGGACGGGGCCGTGCGACGAAGAACCTAACCTGGTGGAGCAGGCCTCCCGAGATGGTCGCGCAGAAGAAAAACTCCGTCGGACGCGTCCTCGGGCTCGGGGCCGCCCCGCGTCGACAGCAGACCCTATAGCGTGAGCCCTTCAGCGCAGCGACATGCGCTATCCTCAGCGTCTTCAGCGTATCCTTGTGCTTTTCTTCGACAGCAGCAGAGGACACCCTTTTCCTTGCTGAAGAGCGGCACCCAACGACGCGACGCGCTGCCGACGGGGAGGATGTGGTACTGGCTTTGGTATCGGCAGCGCATCGTGCCGACCAGCTGGCTTTGGTATCGACAGCGCATCGCGCCGACCAGCCCCAGTTCGACTTCGTCTCTTTCCTGGTCTGCAGCTTCTTGTCTGTACCAGTGACCCCTTCTACTCCACCTAGGTGCACGCTGCAGAAGCAGTGTCGTCCCCCCTCTCCCCGACGGCGATGGCGGTGTGACCGATCGAGCTACAAGAGGAGCTTGTTCAGCAGGATCCGGACCGTCGGATGCACTACCTCACTGGGCCTGAGAACATCGCACGACCAGCCCCTCACCACTCCGGGTTTGCGTGGAGTCGAACCACTCCGGTATGGGCGAGCCCACATTGATTTGAATCGAGTCCTCTCTCGCCATCTGGTTAATTGTCAAAATTCCTGTGCAAGAGGGGAGGGAGGGGGCTCTGACGGAGTGAGTGTGTGGCGGGAGAGGGCAGGGAACGAGCGCAGGGGAGTGGGGGGGGGGGGGGGGGGGGAGTTGGGGGCTCAGCCGTGCAAAAAGCATCAATTAGCAATAGTAAATGAAGAAATATTGCTCGGCCGTTCATGAAGTCCGTCTCGTTCTGGAGGAGACGGGTCACCCCCGTGAGGACCAGATCAGGTTCACATTGTCGTAGCCGGAGGGGATGTTGACCTTTAGCTGCTGGGGGCACCCTCCCGCCTTGGTTTTTTCCCCACAGACACCTCGGGCAACTTTTACCAAATGCCAAAGTTGCACTTTACTCGGGCAAACTCGATGAAACGGCGGACGGAAAACGCGTTCGCGGTCGCTCGCCGGAGAGCTATGCATGAAGCGGCCGGCGCGCCGCCGCAGCTCACCGATGGAGCCTGCGCCGCGGCTCAATCCACTGACGCAGCAGCATTGCGACACATTCTCCAAGCACGGCCTCTGGCGTGGCGATTGCACAGAGAGCGAGCAATAGGCGACAAAAGCACAGATCTGTGTGCAGTGGATCTCCATGGCGGTCGCGCCCAGCGAGAGGACAACCGCGGGCCTCGGATGCTCGCCCGGACGCGGACCCGCCGCGCGAGTTGCGGACCCGGAGGCGGCCGGCCCAGCTCACCCCCAGAGAGGCCATGCCCAGGGTCAGGCATAAAAGGGGGGTGTTTTTCCGTCCGTCCTACATCGTTTGTTGTAGAGATTTCACGTTGTAGAGCGCCTCTACATCGCTCTACAGGCGACTCACATCGTCACGCGGCGGATGTAGAGCTCTACAGCTCTACAGCGCTCTCCAGCGCTCTACAGCTCTACAGCTCTACAGCTCGACAGCGCTCTACACTCTACATCCTCTACACCCTCCCTGAGTACACGTAAGCCGCGCGCGGAGCGCGCCGGAGAGGGGCTGATGGAGGTCTCCATCTCATTACTTTCGACAGACAGTGAACCCAAATAACAATAACAAAACTGATTCTCCGATTCGCCCACGCTGCCGTACGTAAATGGCAGGTACACACATGCATGGGTGGTCATTCTCATGTGGGGATGGGGCGAACACGCACGAGCGCCGAGAGAACACACAACTCCAAAAACTGGGACCACAGACCCCACACGTGTATCCGCGACTCTCAGCGCATGTAGTACGGAGCAGGTGAAGCGCCGGCCGATCGTATAGCGCGATCGCACCGTGCTCGGCCGAAAACATTATCGCTCGCTCATCTCTCGGGAGCGGTCAAAATTGGCATCGGTGCGGCTCTGGCGGTCCGACAGGGGGGGGGTTCCCGGCAAAGGCGCAGAGCAGACGCCGGATGCGGGTGGGGGAAAGGGAAAAGCGCGCGCAAGGCAACCTCGGGCCGCGGCCAGGAGGAGGGGCCGCGGGGGCAGCGACGAGGTTCAGTTTTCAGCATCTGCCTGCAAATTTCTCCTTCGAACAGGTTCGAGCCGGAGCCGCCGCCCTCCTTGCTGGCCGAGGCCTCGAGCAGCGCCGCGGCGGCGGCCGACTCCTCCTCCTACGAGCCGCGCCGCACCACCTCGCGCCGGGCAACCTCGTCCACGATGGAGTCGTGGTCCTTGGTGTACTCCTTGGTGTCCCGCGGCCGCTTGAGGCTCACCTGTGGTCGCGTCTCGGACGCGTCACGGGCCTCTGGGACGGCGCAGGCAGGGGGGGTGGGAGCGTCGCCTCCTCGTCGCCGTCGATGTCCTCGACGTAGTAGCCCAAGTCGTGCGACCCGACGAACGACCCCGCCGCGACGCCACCACCGCCCCAGCCCGCGCCGCCGCCCCCGCCCGCCGCTTCTCGCGCCCACCCATCGCCTCCTCCGCCTCCTCCGCCTCCTCCGCCTCCTCCGACCAATTGGGCGAGCGGCGGGGCCCTGTGCTCGTCCTGCGGTGCCTCGAGCGTCTCCGTCGACGACTCGGCCGCGAGCGGAGGCGCCGGCACCTCCCACAAGCTCGCCTGCGCGACCGGTTCGCCGCGCTGCAGCGCCTCGAGCGTGGAGGGGGTCGCGGAGGGGATCGCGGCGACCGCGGCAGGGGCCGCGCGGGCGGGGACCGGGCCGACAGCCCCTAGGGGGGGCGGCGCGACGGGGGCCGGAGGCGAGGCGGCCGGGACGGCGCCCGAGCTGGCATCCGAGGGGGGAGCACCGCCATGAGGGGCCTCCGCCGCCGCCTGCGCCGCCGCCTGCCCCCCCGCCTGCATCATCCCCGCCTGCATCATCCCCGCCTGCGCCGCCGCCTGCATCGACGCCTGTCCCGACATCATCGCGGCCGCCTGCACCTTCAGGTCGGTGGAGCCGCCGCCGCGCCAACCGTCGTGCACAGCGAGCATCTGCGAGAGGGACATCGAATCGGCGAGCGACCGCTGCAGGTGCATCGAGTACGACGAGCAGAGCGCAGCGGTCAGCGACGCCTGGTCGGGCGCGGCCACGGGCGCGACCGCCGGCAGGCCCGCCACCGTCGGGGAGTTGGGGGCGGCGCCGGGCTGAAGGCCCTGTGCGCCGCCCCACAAGTCTTCGAGGCCCACAGCCGAGGGCGGCATGGGTTGCAGCGGCGGCAGCGGCGGCAAAGACTGCAGCGCCGCCTCCTGCGCCCGGGCCAGGTCGAGGCTCGGGTAGGGCGGGCGCTCGCGGGTCTGCCGCCGCTTCATGCGAACGCGGGGGATGCACGGCCGGCCGCGCTCGACGCAAGAGAGGCACGAGCCGCACTGGAGCATCGTGCAGCGGAGCTTGGCCTTCCAGCACGCCATGCACGCCTGCGGGGGCGATGTGGGGGCGTCGTCAAGCGGCGAGGGCGGCGGCAAAATGGCGCGGGCGAGGAGAGGGAGGGCGAGAGCGAGGACGAGAGCAAGAGCAAGAGCGATGGTGAGAGCGAGCGAGGGCGATAGGCGACATGGAAGGCGAGGGTGAGGGCGATGGCGGGCGAGAGGGAGGGCGAGCGCGAGGGCGAGGGCGCTCTGAGAGCAAGAGCGAAGCGCGAGCGCGAGCGTTTGAGAGCGATGGCAAGGGAGGGCGCGGGCGAGGCTCCTCTCCTGCTTTGCCCGCCTCCTCTCGCCGCTCGGGTAAAATGCAGTCTCGCCAGGCTGCAGCGGCAGCGGCTGGAAGCGGGGGTCAAGCGAAGTCATCGCCACAATCTGCGGCGCGACGACGACCTGTCCCAGCTGCTGCTGGGGCGCAGATATAGTCGGCGGTACCATGAACATTGTTTGTGCGTTGTTCCAGCCCGGCATGGGCAGCATCGGGGCTCTTCTGAGCCGAAAACAGGAGGCCAGCAACTCAACGATTGCTAGAGCTCTTATGAACACCCAAGGCGAGGTTTCCAAGCCACGGCTTGAACATTCTCTCGAGGCGCCGTTCACACCCGCCTGCCGAGAGAGAGATTTTTAGCAATACCAAACAACTCTAACACTCACACGTCATTTGGGGCCTGGAGCCCCTGCAGACTGTAGTTTATGGTGGTTCAAGGTGTCGGCTCGAGATTTTGCGTCTTCAAAGGGTGGCTGTCCTCTTCGCTGAGCGCACAGCCACGGTGCCGGCCTTGCCATACGGTCTGCTTGCGAGCGTGTTCTGCACGTTCCTGGCAGTCGCCGTCGCAGCGCCAATAGGCACCGCTCGCCAACAGGTTAGCCATACCGAGGCGGGTCCGTGGGTGAACGCCGCAGGGTCACAACCCCTGGGCCAGTTGTTGGTGGATCGCGGATGCAGCTTTAAGGCTCTGCCGGCGGATCTGTGGCCTGGCGTATGCCAGGCTGCGGGTCCAAAGTGTCCCGGCGCGGCGCGCGCCACCGCCCCTGGCGCGGGGCGGGATGTCAGTACGTGAGTACGGTGTCCCTGTCCCTGTGCTCCACCTTGGCTTGAGTCAGGCTTCGGGCCTGGCCTAATCGCTCGCGCGCGGGTGTGCCTGCTTGGCTCAAGCCAAACAACAACAAACACTTATGGCTCTCTGATGCCCAATGCGTGCACTCGTCCCTCTCTGTATGTGTGGGTTCGTGTGTGCGGTTGACGAGAAGGGTTTCGAGCACCCTGTGCGGAATGTCGACAAAGGTGGTCACAGTCCATGCGCTCGCCAGGTGCAGCGCGGCGGCGACGAGCATACTTTTTAGCTCGTTTCAACGTTCACCGCCGGGCGTCACCCTGCAAATGGCGGGCATGTTGTGTGTAACTGAAAAAACAAAAACAAAACCAATTATCGCGGGGGAGGGGGGGGGGGCTAGAAAAAGATTCCCCTTAAGTTTCAGAACTACGCGTAGCGCCACTCATCGCGGGTGCCGCCCGCCGCGCTGATGGGCTCATCCTGCGTCATGCCCTCCTCAAAGACGATCTCCTGCGCGTCGAGGAGGCTCAGGTCGAACTCCTTGATGAAGCGCACGTTAAGCTCCTCGTAGCCGCCGACCGCGCCCTCCGCCTTCCAGTCGACATGCCGCTTATAGTCGGCCACGATCTCGTCGATCGGGTCATCGTTGACGTACCGACGGATGATGCCGTAGATCATGCCAGTGCGGTGCATGCCACCCGCACAGTGGATGAGGATGCCCCCTTTCGGCGGCTCGCCGTTGGGGTTGAGCAGGTCCTTGATCTGCGATGCGCAGAGCATCATCGCGTTGCGCTTGTTCGCCTCGGTCCATTCGTCGGCGTCATCGACCATCCGGCGCCACTTGCGTGTCATCTTGCGTGCTCGCTCGTCAAAGTAGGACGGCAGCGCGCTGGACGACGCGTCGCGCATGTCCGCACAGACCTTGGCCTCCGCCTCAAGCCAGTCCTCCAACGGGAAGTGGCCCGCGTACAGGTTGCACACATGCTTCACGACGCCGAGTTCGAGGGCAGTGCGGTAGAAGGAGCCGTGCTCCGCCGCGTCCGCCATGCACTGTGTCCGCACCAGCAAAAGTGGGCGGCCCTCCGTGTCGAACTTGCCCTTGAGCACGACCGCGCCGACATTCTGCCCGCGGTGGAAGTCGAACATGAGGCGCACGAGGTAGCCGAGAGTCGCGTACTTGGCCGCACCGAGCTGCTCCTCTGTCGGCGTGTGGCCGCACGCCTTGGCGACGCCGTGGATGATACGATCCCGCGTCTTGATGATTTCGCCGCCCTCGCCCCAATAGGCCCGCCCGTTGCCCTTGAGACGATCGAGATCGACACCGGCGGTGCGAAACGCCTGCTGCGTGGGGCCATCAAACTCCTGCGGCGACGCTGCGTCGTCCGGTCCTCCTTTGCCGACCGCATGCACGAAGAAGCTTTGCCAGCCACGGATCTGCGCCTCGACGACCTGCGTGCAGTGCGCCTCGGCAGCGGCGGCGGCCTCCGTGCTCAGGGCGTAAGCCTTCAATATTTTGCGAGTGAGCGCCGCGGACATTGGTACGACGGAATCGTTGTTCATGATCCGTGCGGTGATCGCAGCATGCTGCTCAACTGACGATGATGGTGGCGGCGCGGCGTCACTAGTGACCGGCCGCGGGGCTTCGACCAACGGCTTGGCGGGAGCCGACGCGCCACAACCCATGCAGCTACCAACGTCGCCAAGGAGGTGAAGCCGAAAAAACACTCGTGCTCCTGGTGTGCGGTTGCCTTCTGCACGAAGGTTGCAGCGAGAATCGGAGAGAGAAGGCGAAGAGAGAGAGGAAGAGGCGGACGCCCAAGGGTGGGCGACGGCTAGCGCACCTCCTCCCGCCCCCCCCGCAGCCACCGCCGCGCGGCCGCCAATGCGACCGACCCCACCCTCCTTCCCCGACCCCGCCCTAGACGCCCCCGACAGCGAAGCCCGCGCCGCGCGCGGCACCACCACCGACTCTACCTCCGACCCCAGGGCCTAGGCGGCCCGCCATGAAATCTAGCCGTGTGTGCTGGCGTCCGGGTCCCAGCGGGTTTTCACGTAACAAGTACACACCACACCCCTCTCCTTAAAATCCCTGTGTGGTGGCGGCGTGCCGTCCTCCCATCCGCATCCCTCCCTTGGGTTGTCTGTTTTCTTTCTTTCTTTCTTTCTTTCTGCTGACTGCACTCCAAGTGCTCCAAGTTTCGGGCGACTCATTACTCTGATCTCTGTCGCCCAGCTCTAGCTCGGGATCTCACTTTTATTTTTTCTTCATCACTCATGTGACTCCCTCGGCCCTCACCGCGGCTCACTTCTCCTCGGCCTCACACACAGGTCGTCGCCAGGCCGGCTCCCACAGTACGAGGGGGCGCGAGGGCGAAGCGCGGGAAGCGGCTGCCTCGCAGGGCGGCGCCGCGGACTGGAGCATCGGAGTATGCCTCTACCGAGCAAGCGGCGCTGTGGAGCTGTGCGCCCGGCGCCGACCCGGAGGACATGCAGGCAGCAGCGGAGGAAAGACGAGACGCAAGTGTGTAGGTTGTTGGAGGATGACTCATCGGCGCCGCATCTTACAACGTATCGCACACGCACCGCGCGCTCCGCGAAGGTGGTCTACGATGGCGAGTGGATGTACAACAAGGAGCACGGTGAGGGCACCTTCTACCAGCCCGACGGCGGCTACTACACGGGCAGCTTCTTCGAGGGCAAGCGCCACGGGCAGGGCCAGTACACCTCGCCCGCCGGCGACGTCATGTTCAAGGGCGAGTGGCTCGACAACAAGCCCGTCACCAGCACGTCGCAGCTGAGACAACCGAAACAGTCGTCGATGTCCGACGTGACCTCAAACCAGCCGGGCAAGCGCCTCTCCTTCACCAGGGAGCAGTCGCCCTCGACGGAGATGCTGCCACCTCCCTCCACGCCGAGGGGTCAGGCCGCGCCGGCAGCGTGAGGCGCCACGGGCGCCGCACTGAGCCTTTGTGCACTATGTATGGGGTTGGGGGTTGGGAAGGCGGCGGCGGAGCACGCCCCCGCCCACCGCCACAGGACCAAGGGCCACAGGCACCGGCACCGGCACCGGTTGTGGGCCCAATCGGGCTAGGGGTGGTCGTGACGTCGTGGAGCGGACCGTGGCTCGCGGCAGCGCAGCCTGGGTGTGTGCGGATTGCATGTTGCCGGCCCGCGTTTTGGCGTCAAAACAGGCATGTCGATTATATACTCTCAGCTCCCAGGCGGTCTCATTTAGATCTACACCGACGTCACAATCATGAACGCCACACATCGCACGCAGACTATCTCACGGCGAGACGACTGTCTGGCACAGCCGGCAACTCCCCCCGCGCACACACAGTGCACATGAGCACAAGAGGGATGCTGCATACAGGACATGCTGTGGAGGAAGGGGGAGGAGGGGAGACACACGAGGAATCAAACTACGACCGTCGGTGGGGTCACGCAAACACACGCTGTCTCGTGCGCCAAATAGCATCGCTTACGCGCTCATCGCATGCTGCCTGCACGGCAGTACGCCTCGCATCCCAAGCGCGTCGCTCATGAACAAATATGTGGCAGCGCGCTGCAGCCGTACGGCCTCTCAGAAGCCAAACGGGTTGGAGTCATCCACCTGCGACTCGCGCAGCTCCTGCTCGAAGACCTGGTAGGAGACGTGGTCGAAGCCGTCGAAGGCGCGCTGATCGTGCGCCGCCAGCGGGAAGGAGTTGCGCATGGAGAGGGACGTCTTTAGGTAGTCGACCATCTGGTGAGCAAGGCCGGGCGTCCGGTCAGACATAGGGGGGAGGGGTGCGGAGGCGCGGGTGGGCGCGCGCCTGGCAAAAGTAGTCTAGCTCGCTCCCCTCGTACGCCTTTGGGATCTGCTGCCGCGCCGGAGGCGTCGTGTCCATGTCCGGCTCGAAGGGCGGCCGGACCTCCATCGCGAGCAGCCCCTCCCAGTCGATCGAGGCGAAGAAGGGGTGCTCATACACCTCCGCCACCCCCCGCTCGCCGCAGCCGCACCGCCGGCTCCGGTCGCGCTGGAGCAGCCGCGAGGCCAAGTCGCACGCGTCCGGCTGCGGGGCAGGGGGCGGCGTCAGGGGGCGAGGGGTGGGTGGGGAGGAGCGGGGGGAGGAGTCGGCGGCAGGGGTAGCAACTGAGCGGCGAGAGAGTGTTGGGTAGTCTCGAGCGTGTGTCCAGCACTGGTCGGGCATGCGGGCGCATCGGCGTCTCTCGGAGCTGTGCGTCTCGGACGTGTCTGCACCTGAATGTAGCTGGGCAGCGCGAGCGGCTTGTGCTTGGTGAGCTGCTCGCTCTCCTTGCGGTTGCTACCGCGGAAGGGGTTCTCGGCGGTCAGCATCTCGATGATCAGGATGCCCACGTTCCACCAGTCGGCCTCCTTGCCGTAGTCGCGGTCGTACACCTCTGGCGCGCGGTAGCCGTGCGTGCCCGTGATGGTCATGCGGCGGCGCAGCGTGGGGGCGCCGGCCTTGGCGGTCTTGTCGCACGACGTGGTCGACCCGTTGTTGATGCTGATGCTGCCGTTCTCGGCGACACCGCGCGCCGCGCCCATGTCGGCGAGCTTGACGTAGCCGTCGAGCGTGAGGAGCACGTTGTCCGGCTAGGGGGAGGGGGGAGGCGGTGGGGCTGGAGGGGGAGACAGCGAGGAGAGGCCAGGGGGAAGAGGCAACGGGCGAGAGGAGAGGGGAGAGGAGGAGCTGGAGAGAATCGAGAGGCGAGAAGGCATGGGAGGGAGGGAGCGAGCAAGCGAGCGAGAGAGAGAGAGAGAGAGAGAGAGAGAGAGAGAGAGAGAGAGAGAGAGGGAGAGAGAGAGGGAGGGAGGGAGGGAGAGGGAGAGAGAGGGAGAGAGAGGGAGAGAGAGGGAGAGAGGGAGAGAGGGAGAGAGGGAGGGAGGGAGAGAGAGAGAGAGAGAGAGAGAGAGAGAGAGAGAGAGAGAGAGAGAGAGAGAGAGAGAGAGAGAGAGAGAGAGAGAGAGAGAGAGAGAGAGAGAGAGAGAGAGAGAGAGAGAGGCGAGCGGAGGGGACCTTGAGGTCGCGGTAGAGGATGTCGAGCTCATGAAGGTGGTGGGTGGCGAGGACGATCTGCGCGGCGTAGAAGACGGCGCGTGCGTGCGTGTACGGCCCGCGGAGGAGGTCCGAGTACATGTTGCCGCCCGCGATGTAGTCGAGCACAAAGCAGAGGTGGTCCTCGGTCTGGAAGGCGAAGCGGAGAGGCACGATGAAGGGGTGCTCCACGCTCGCGAGCACCTGGGGAGGGAGGCGGCGGGGAGGGGAGCGGCGTCAGCCGGAGACGTGGAGAGAGAGGCAGCGGTGGAGGGCAAGCACCTCCTTCTCGCGGAAGATCGAGTGCGTCTGGTTCTGCGAGATGAGGATGCGCTTGTCGATCACCTTGACCGCGTACATGCGCTTGCTCTCGCGCTGCCTCGCCAGCAGCACCATGCCAAAGCCGCCCGCACCCAGGAAGCGGTGGAGGTCAAAGTCGCGAATCCCGACGACGTGCCTGTCGTCGCTGTGCAGCGCCTGCAGCGCGCGGTAGTCTGGCGACTCGATGAAGCGCGGAAAGATGTCCATCCGCATCGTGCTCATCACCGACGCTTGCACCACGTCGAACAGCGCCGCAGAGTAAACTGCGCCCCGGCTCGCGCCCCCATCCGCCGACGACCCGTGCTCAATCGCAGCGCGGATCTCGTCCACCGCCGCCTGACCGAGCCCTATCTGCTGCGGCGCGCCCTACAGAGCATGGCACAAATGACATTAACCCCTTGGCGGCGAGGCGGCGGAGTGAAGGCGACCGACTGCCTGCTTGATGTATTTGCGATAGACCTTGCGTGCCACAAAGCCTCGGTAATCCGGGGCCTTGATTGAGCGGTACTCTTGGACCTCGAGCCAGAAGAGGAGGTTCTCGGTGGACATCTCGCTCATGCAGAAGCGCTGCAGGCGGAGCGGCGACGGTCAGAGCGACGGCAGAGCGACAGCGACACTCAGCGGGTGGGCTGGGGTGGAGGAGGAGCGACGCGCCTTGAAGTAGTTTAGGTTGACCGGGTCGGCTAACACCTCCTCGAGCGTCAGCATTCCCGTAGAGGCGCCGGCCCTCATGAGGAGCGTGGGAGTCGCCGGTGTCCTCTTTGTAGCCCCCTCCTTCAGCTGTGTTTGGGCATTTTTCTTTTCTCTTCTCTCGAGGTTCTCGAGGTTTAGGTATGTTGTTGGCAAACCAAGACACAGAGCTCACACAGGATCACAGGTGGATATCCTTTGGCCGCGTTGGGTAGTTTCTATTCTATGTTGTGTCCTTTGGAGTGCTGGGGGGGGCGACAGGGTCAGGGAGGATGTATGTGGCCCTGAGTTATGTGTACGCCAACTCCGGGTGTGTGGCAGCCAGCTGGCTGTGATGTGTGTCGTGTGAGCCTGTTTGTGTCTGTGTGTCGCTCGTGCGTGTCGTCATCATCTGTCCAGCGTCCACCCATACCGCGTTGGTGTCCAGTCCGAGCCTGGCTGTTCTTCACCTTCCTACATACATACATACGGCGACCCTCCGTATCCCCGGTGAAGGCGGCGGCATTGGAACGTACCGCCGCACCTCCTCCGAGTACATCCTATGGCTTCACAGGTATAGTGAACAGCGCGATTCGGAACGGTGGGCTCGCCCATACGCCATACCGGAGTGGTTCGAACCCACGCAACCAAACAAAACAACCCCGGAGGTGACGGGCATTGTCGTTGTCGGCGGTGATCTCAGGCCCAGTGAGGTAGTGCATCCGACCTGTCCCGGACGGATCCCGCTGAACAAGCTCCTCTGGTAGGAAGCTCGATCGATCGGTCACACCGGCCGTCGCCGCCCACCACCCTGCCCCCCCGCTGGTATGCCAGCGCCCGGTCCCTTGCCCTCTCTCGCCCTTGCTCTTCCTCTCCCCCTCCATGCCGCTCCCCCCGTACCCCCCCCCCCTCCTCCCTCCCCCCCCCCTCCCCCTCCTCGCAGTAGGGCCCATGCCCCATGACCATGTTCCGGTAGAATGATTCAGTGTTGCCGAAAGCGACAAAAGCGCCCTTCCGACCGTGCTCCCCGCTGCTGCTGAGGGAACAGACGACCTGGACGTTGGCTCCGCAATAGTGCCTGCCGTGCGAGCCAATGTTGTCCGCATCCACGTCGGGTCGTTTGTTGTAACTCTGACCGAGGTGGGCTGTCGGCTCCATTCGCACAGCGGTGCCCCACGCGGCGCGTGGGGCGAGAATGAGTCGTCGAAGCGTGTACTTGTGTCTGGTATTGTGGCCCTGCTGCGGTACGTTGACAGCAGCGTCGCCATACTCGTCGTGGGTCTTCCCATTCCGAGTCTTCTTGCCCGCCGCCGCGGCCTGGCAAGCCACGTCGAGGGGGAGACCCAGGCGGCGCTGCACCGAAAGACGCATCGCCCAAGTCTCCATTCGCATGTCATCCCGCATGGGGATGGCGTTGAGGAAGGCGCCGGCGCCATCCTGGCTCACCGCTACGAAGCGGACTGCCTCCTGCCAAGCCTCATGCTTCGCCCGCTCCCTGCCCTTGGCCTGCGCCTTGCCCCCCCCCGTCTTCCTCCTCCCGCGGCATGGGAGAGCCGACTTTGCGGAGCCCTCATCCCTTAGCTCGAGGGCGAGGGCGCGCCAGTTCCTGTTGTGGACCACCGTCGTGAAGCGCCTCTGCGCCTGGTGTAGGAACTCGTTCTTGGACGTGAATGAACTCGGGGAGGTCCAGCAGCTCCTTCTCCGGGACGGGCATTAAGAAAACAGGATTGCGCGGCACGCCGCCGTTTCTATAAGCCTCGTCCACAGCTCATCCACCCCACGCCGTGGTTTCTTAGCTCCGGCCAGGGCACTCAAGCCACAGAGCCGGCCCGAAGGGTTTTTAGGTAAGAGGGGAAAGCTGCGGTCCGCGAGGGCGATGCCAGAGTCTGCCGCCGCCTCGGCTCTCTGGATGACGGGAAGACGCACACACGCCTCCATCCACTCCTCCGCAGACTTGCTTGGAAAGTGACAAGTCTCAAGTGCGCGCGCGCCGCAGGCGAAGAGAAATTTTCAGCTGGGGCTCCCGTTCACACTCGTCTCTGGTCTCCTCCTTCCCATTTTTTCTTTTCTTTTGAGAGCAGGACGCCGGGTTTGTCTTGTATGTGCATGTCGGGCCTGGGTGTGTGTGAGGGGCAGAAGGGGCGGGAGCGTGCGGGGCAGAGGCCCATAACGGCGAGCGGCTTGTCGGGGTCCGGAGAGTTCGAGGCGGGAACGTGGAACGAGGAGGGGGGAATGGGCGGTCGGCGTCGGGGTAGAGCAACAGGCGCGTACGGGGTAGCCGTCACTCTCCCGCCTCAAAAGGGCGGGGCTGTCCCGGAAAGTGAGAAACGCCGGGCAGCGTGGCGCATTACTGAACCCTCCCATACGTGTTTGTGCCTCCTCCTTCGCTGTCCCATCTCCTCATCTCTTTCCCGCCTGGGCGGGGCAGCGGGCGGGCGCGCGGTGCGGTGCGGCGTGTGCGTGTGTGCGACTGCAACGAAGGACCGCTCGCAGAGGACCATTGGGTTTGTACTATTAACAACGAAGGCGCTCTCGAAAAAGAATTTCTGGGCCTGAGAGGTTGCAATGACGCTGAGGAGCTGCTTCGCCGCGGCTGTCGCCGCGATCGCCGTTGCCGCCGCCATCCTCGCCGTCGTCGCCTCAGCTGGTCGCAGCTCCGGCCAGCCGCACGCCTCCTCTGTCGCCGCCAAAGCCACCATCGGCCAGCCGCACACCTCCTCTGTCGCCGCCAAAGCCACCATCGGCGTGCCCTTGCCATCGAGGAGAGAGACGAGCGCCGGCGTCGTCGCAGGCCGCACCACCGGGCAGCCGCACCTCCGGCCTCGCCGGCATCCGACGCAGCTCTGGTTCAACTCGTCGTTTGGCAGCGGCATGGTGCTGCAGCAGGCGCCGTCGACCGCGTCCGTCTACGGCCTCCTCCGCGCCTCCTCGCCCGCCGCCGTCCTGGTCACCGTGACCGCTGCCGGGGAGACGGCCGGGTACACGGTCGCCGCCAACGTCACCCCCTCGGCCTGCGCCGCCGGCTGCGGCGAAGCCGGCTGCGGCAGGCTGTACCACTGGCGCGCATTCCTCCGGCCGACGCCAGCGAACGCGACGGCGCACGTGGTGACGGCGCGTGCTGCCGAGGCCACCGCCCGGCTGACGGACGTCAGCTTTGGCGACGTCTTTCTCTGCGCGGGCCAGTCCAACATGGAGATGGGGCTCGGCGCGGCGTTTGGCCACGCGGCGCTGCTGCAGCGGACGGCCGAGAGGCCGAGCCGCATCCGTGTGCTCTTCGACGGCGGGTACCACCGCACAGCCGGTGCACAGGAGCACACCTGCGCTTGGCGCCGCGAGCCCGGCCGGCCAGGGTACGGCGGAGAGGCGCGATGGCTGCCGGCTCACCTGGCGGCGCTCGAAAACAGCAGCGCCGGCGGCGGGCAGCCGACGCTGCTGTCGGCGAGCGCGGTCTGCTACCACTTTGCGGATGCGCTATCGCGGCAGCTCAGACGCGACGGCGCCGAGCCGCCGCCGATCGGTCTCATCAGCGTTGCCTATGGCGGCTCCGCCGTCGCGCAGTGGCTTCCTCCGGGCAGCGGCGAGCCCCAGTGCCGCTACGCGCTCGGCGGGGAGCTCGCCGGCGGCGGTAGCCTCTTCGCGAGCAACGTGGCGCCGCACGTCGCGACGGCGCTCAAGAGCGTGCTGTGGTGTCCCTCCTTCGCCGCGCTGCTCCTCGTCGCCCCCTCTTCACGGCTGGCGGTTTGGACAGGTACCAGGGCGAGTCCGACTGCCGCAAGCAGGCCCTCGGCGGCGACGCCGTCTCCGGGGTGGGCTACGGCTGTCGGCTCACTGCGCTCGTCCGCGGGTGGCGCTCGGCTTGGGCGGCGGCGGCGGGCGGGGGCGCAGGTGGGGCGGGTCTGCCGTTCGGAGTGGTGGGCCTCGGCTCGGAGGCTTGCAACGGCCCCGACGGCGGCTGGGAGCTCGGCGGGCTGAGGTCGGCCCAGGCGGGCGGCTTCGGCACGCTCCCGTCTCCGTTGCTGCCAAACACGTTCCTGGCGCACACCTACGACCTCCCCGAGCCGTACCCTGGCGCCGCCTGCCTCCGCTGGCGCTGCTGCGACCCGGCGGGCCAGCCGCCCCGCGCCACCGCCGCCCTGGCGGCCAAGGAGCGTTTCGACGAGCGCGCGTGCAACGACTCGCACGCCGCTTGGGTCAACAGCTGGGCAGGCGGCGGCGGCGTGTCCAGGGGTCGTGCGGCCGCTCCTGAGGCTGGCGGCGCGGCGGCGTGCCGCGCCGCTTGCGACAGCTTCTTTGAGGCGCCGCCGATCGCAACCGTCTTGGGCGGCCTCCACCCGCGGGCCAAGCGGCAGGTTGGCGAGCGGCTCGCGGCGGCGGCGGCGGCGCACCTTTACGGCGGGAAGCGCGCCGCCGCGGGTGCCACCCTCTCCGGCTGCGCCGTCCGCGGCCGCTTCCTGGACACTTCCCTTCACAGCAGCTTGTGCCGTGAACAGGTCCGACCCTCTCCGGCTGCGCCGTCCGAGGCCGGAGGCTGGTGCTGCGCTTCAACTCCTCGCTGCTGAGGGGGGAGAGGGTCGCGCTTCGGCTGCGGCCGGGCGCGCTCTCGCCGCTGCAGGTCCACACGACTTCACATCGGTTTGTTTCATTCCGTTGCACGGACTCTTCTTCTCTCGCCGCTGCGCAGGTGCTACTCAACGCGTCGCAGTTCTGCCTCCACCCACTCATGCGCTGCCCCGCGGGCGCGGCCAGCTGCCCCGCCGCAAGCCGGGAGTGGTACTGCCCCGACCCGCTCTCGCACGGCGCGCTGCAAAGGCGGCGCGGCGCGAGCAGCGGCTTTGGAGCGCTGGCCGGTGCCCCTGGGCTCGCGATGGCGCGTAGCTCCAACTGGCCTCGCCTTGCGAGGCATGTCCAGGACACGTCCAGGTCATGTCCGAGACTTGTCCTTTAGGCGCGTAGCTCCAACTGGCCTCGCCCTGCGTCGCCCTTCGACCCGGCGCACCAGGCAGGGGGGCCCGCCAGCTGGCTCTCGCTGCCCCTCACTTCGGCGATCTCCGCGCACGAGGTCGCGGTCGATCTCACGCCGCTGCGAGGGGCGCCGCCCGTCGCAGTGAGGTACCACTGGGGCGACCTCGCCGAGGGGGACCGCCGCGGATGCTGCGACGACGGCGACCCGCGCCTCCGCGTCACGGTGCCGTGCGAGCCGGCGGCGTGCCCGCTCGTCGCCTCGGGGGGGCTGCCGGCCAGCCCCTTTCTGGCGTTGCTCTCTGCGGGGCGGTGCCGTTGCATCCCGCCGCAGGTCTGCGACGAGGCCATCGACGGGCGAGATTTTCTACCTCGTACGTTGGTATAGGAGTTAGTACGTGTGCGCTGGCGGAAAAGTAACTTAGACGAATGCATGTGCAGAGAGAAGAGTAGGCAGTACCAGTGTCTAGCTCGTCAAAAATGGACCTCTGTCCTCTCTCCGCTCTCGCGCTCTCCTCTCGGCTCAGTCTGAGTCTCTCTCTCTCTCTTCTCTCTATTATCTAGCTAACACACCCACACGACTAGCGACTACCAGTCTACTACTGGCGTCTGCTTAGTCCCTCAGAACGGGAACGGGAGCACAAACGCGCCGCCCGCGGCGTTCTCGCGCTCCGCCATTCGCTCCGCCAGGCCTGGCACATTTGACTGGAAGGACGAGGAGCGCTTCGTCTCGTACGACGGCTCGTTGCCGCCGTCCTTCCGCACAATGGTCGTCGAGTACGAGGAGAAGGAGTATGAGACGCCGCCCATCGGGCCGCGCAGCGAGGACAGCACGAGCAGGACCGCCGCACCTCAAGCAGAGGGTCAGGGCTGAAAGGGTTGTGCTCCTTTGGAGCGGAGCACAAGCAGGATTGCGGCGCACCGAGGGCGACTGCCGGCGCCGCGAGCGAACCGCGCGCCTGGCCGCCGGCCGGCGGCTCAGGCGCAGGCGGTGGTGGCGTGCCGCCGACGCGTCGGCCCGACGGCCGGCCGTCACGCAAAGCTGGCAAAGGCGTGCGTGAAGTGGGATGGGCCGAAGCGAGCAGCGGCAGGCGGTGCGTGTGTGTCGGCGTGAGTGCCGCTGTATATGTAGTCAGCGCGAGGAGAGTGGTGCCCACTTGCCACGATCGAATCACCGACATCCCGGGGCGCGATAAAAAACCTCGCTGGAAAAGACGCGGTAAATGTTTTTACTGCCCGCTCTGCACGCGCGGGCCCCATTCTACATTGGCTATATTGTGGTGGAGCGCAGTCGCGGTGTCAGTCGCGGTGCTTGAGCTGCTCGTTCGCGAAATAGCCCTCGGCCCACTTGACCAGGCCGTAGCTCCCGAGCATGGCGGGCCAGAAGCTGTACCAGCTGGAGGCGACCTCGGTCCCCTTGCCCACCACCTTCTTCTTGATCTCGTACCAGAAGCCGCCAAACGCCTGCGAAGGGGTGGTGCGGGAGAGGCGTGAGCCGCCGCACGAGGATGGGGCGCGATGGCGCCGCTACTGGGCGAGCCCGCCACCGCCCTGGCCCACCCGCCGCGTGCGACCAACGCCAGGCCGCGCCCGCTCCTCCTGACCCTCCTGCCGCCCGCATCTCTTAGCAGCTGTTGCGTCCCGACGCGCGTCCGCCTCTGGTGCCCTAGATCCTCCCGCCGACCCGGCCGCGGGACGCGCCGGGCGGCGGCAGCGGCGGCCCTCACGCCGCACGCGCCGGTAGCTACTCCTACTATTGCTGCGCGGCGGCCGCTGCGCGCAGGCGCTGCGCGCCTTGGTCTCCATGCCAGACCACGAGTAGACGCGGTAGTTCTTGACGACGCCCTTCATCCTGCGTGCGGGCGACACGACGGTGGGCCGCGCAGGGAACGCGCGACACGGTGGGCGCGCGCAGGGAACGCGCGGAGGAAAGAGGCGCGCAGCAGACTGCGCGGCGCCGGTGGCTGGGTGCGCTCACAAGTCGCCGCCGCCCGCCATGGTCGCTGCCGACGACGCTCCTGCGGGGACGCGGGGTGCGGTCGGGGGGAATGCTTTCGGCGCCAGAGAGCGGACGCGCTGCAGCGAGCTCACGACAACAGCAGCCGGCGCCAACAAAAGAAACTAGGGGCACCCGTCTTCTTTTTTCCTGCGGAAGTTCAGAGGGTCGGCGCGACATTACACATTACCAGACCACACACGCGGGACATGTTTTTGTTTTCTGACGATCAAACTGTGCCCCTCTCCGACGAGAACCGTCACCTCCTGGAAGGTGCGCCTTGCGCCCCCGCTCGCCGGATCGTACTGCCGTGCGTGGGCATCCGAAGGCCGCGCGTCGCGACTGATGACCAAGGTGGCGTTCTCGACGCCGTCGGTCGCAAAGAGCTCGGCCGCCGCGATGAAATCTCGAGCGTACGTGTTCTCAGAGGTTCTCAGTTCGCATCATCGTCTGCAACGAACGGAGAAGAGCCAGAACGCGATCCTTCTCGAGCCTGCTGGTGTTACTCGGCCATTTGAGATTGCCAGCACGCGCCTGGAACTCGTCGTCGTTTGCGGAGGCCTCGTCGAGCGCCGGGTCGTGCACGTAGAGCTGCGCAAAGCTTCTGGGCCATTGCGGGTTGTCCGGGTAAGGCTCGAGCGGCCCAATCTTGTGGTAGAGCTTGCCCTGGATCGCAACAGACGGCATATAACCCGACCGGCCAGGCCGATTGTCTGGCGTCTGAACCTTCTGAGAGGCGAGCGCGAGCCCGTTGTTCAGCACCTGCGCGCGCATGTGCACCCCGAATGGGCCCGCGCATGTGTCGACAATCACGCGAGCGGAGAGAAGAGGTGACGGTTGGGGAGGACGTTTTGAGAGGTAAACCCGGTCTTTTTGTACTGAGAACGCGCACGCTCGGGCCCGGTGGCGCTGGCTGTCGGTTCAGACAGGTTTCCTCATTCCGAGACACGGCAGCGGTTGGGGTGGGGGGTGGGAGAGGGAAGGGGGCGGCGCACATCCGCGCGTGGTGGCAAAGGTCCTTGGCGTTGCGATCGTCTTTCCACAGCTCGTCGAGCGCCGCCGAGCGCTGCACCGGATCGAGACGCACCGCCCCTTTGCCGCAGCAGAGCGTGCCGCGCCAGCCCGTGCCGCCCTCGTCCTTGGCGGGCGGGACGCGAAGCGCCTCGTCCGGCCATAGCAAGGCTTTGCAGTACGTGCAGACACGCCAGTCGGCGGGGTCATCGGGCGTGAGGCTGCCAAGATCGACGTACGCAGCGGCCTCGTGCGCCTTGGGGTCGTACCTGAGCATCGCCTTGGCGCCCGCAGCCGGAACCGGAGTTTCGCCCTCCCGGACGGGCCGCGCCGTGCTATTGCGCGCCTTGAGGTATCCGGACGGTCGATCTCGATCCTGCTCGCGCCGCACAGCGCTGCGCTGGCGCCCCTCGTCGCGGTGGCGAAGCCGTGACTGGCGTGCGGCGGAGGTCCGCCTCCACAGGTTGTGCAGCGCCCCCCGACTCGCGTCGCCTGCCATGTCGGCCGCCTCGGGATGGCCGCTCGCGATGAGGTACTGCCTCACCAGGCTCGTCCTCGTGGCGGCGTCGCGAATGCGAAGGATGTTGGGCCGAATCGGAGCGCCGGAGTCGTCGTACTGAAGGGTCGTCGGGGCGGCAGACGGGTTTGCGCCGGATGTTTGCTTCCAAAGGTAGCGCAGCTGCCCTCCTGTCACGTCGCCCGGCATGTCGGCCGCCTGGGGGTACCCGCTCTCGACGAGGTACGTTCGCATGAGGCTCGTCCTCTGAGCAGGGTCGCGAACGGCACGCAGGTCGGGCCGAATTGGGCGACCAGCCTCGTCGCGCTCGATGGTCAGTGGGGCTGCCGATGTAGAAGCCCCGGCGGAGGCAGCCAGCGCCAAAATTGCCAATGGGCTCGTCGGCCTGCTGCGCAGCGGTGGGTCGGCCGATGGCCGCTGGCGGCGCCGGGGCGGCGAGGGCCCCTCGTCGTCGCCCCGGAGGCGCGGCGGCGGCCGGCCGAGCGGTCGGGACGCCATCTGTCACGGGCAGGGCTTCGCCGAAGGGACGGCAGAGTTTTACGTTTGCAGCATTCGAGAGGCACATCGGTCTTCTGATAAACGCAGTATGGAAGATACAAAGAGACGGAGGAGCAACGAGCGCCCTGGCGTGAGCCGAAGACACTCAACGAGCGCCCTGGCGTGAGCCGAAGACACTCCCTCCGTAGACACTGATCACATACGGGTGGGACAGGGTGGGTCACAACAACGAGGCACGAGAGCGTGCACGACAGAGCGACAACGCAGCGCACTGCCGTCCAGTCGGCGAAGGGACGGCTGCTGCGCAAAGTGATCAGTTCTAATGAATGTACCGGGGCCCAACGGATAGATGAATCCGGGGCACCCTCCGCTCGAATCCCTGGCCGGGGGTTCGAGGTGGCCCCCACCCTGGGGCCTCCCATCAAAGGGACTGCGGCAGAAGACGCCCAATCTTGCACAAGTGCAAGAACCATACGTCTTCTGATAAACGCAGTATGGAAGATACAAAGAGACGGAGGAGCAACGAGCGCCCTGGCGTGAGCCGAAGACACTCCCAACTGCGCTCCGTCACCGGTGTCGCGGTCTCCCCCACTGAGGGCGATCTGCGGGGGGGAGTCGCGCCGCCGGCATGTATCTGTGCAACTGTGTTTTTGCCTTGTCCCGTTTGATGGAGCAAAGTCACGGGCCGCCCGCGCTTGAAGGCGGTCGCGCCAGGCGCGGGCGGCACTAGTTGCCGGCGATCCGCTTGGGCAGCGCCCACGCTTGCCTCTCGGCTCGGAGAACGTCAGGTCATCGAGGCCGGAGGCGTCGAAATTGGGCAGGTCCGCGAAGAGGTCAGGCGGTATGTCCCCCGGGTTGATATCGATCACCCTCTCCGCCCAACGCGCAGCGTCGGCTGGCGAGCGATGCAGCCCCCACGACGGCGCTCCCCATGGGATCGACGCGCGCCGCCGCCGTGAAGACGGGCCCCAAGCAGCGGGTCATGTCAGACAGGGCTGCGAACGGGACGTCGGCCGTAGGGTCGCAAAGAGCCCCGACCGTCGCGTACTGCAAGAAGTCGACGGCCTTCGCTTCTGCAGATGGCGCTGGTCCCAAGGGCACGATAGCCTCAGAGTACCCCAAATCGCCCCACTGCAGATAGAGCTCGGGCACCGGGATTTGGCGGGAGTGCAGAGCCTGGATGCACACCGTACGGAACGCATCCTCATCCACGTGCACCGTGCTGAAAACGCCGAGGTCGGACAGGGCACCGAGGATGCGGCGCCAGGCCGCGGCCAATACGGCCAGCCGCAAGACGCTGAGCCTGTCAAAGTGGGTGGCCACAGCGGGCTCGGGCTCACTGAAGGCGAGCAGCGCACTGATGGCGACCCACTGCGGAATCTGGACCCACGACGGTTGCATCCCCGGAGGAGGAGGGGGCAGCTGGAGGAGGGCCGGATTGCCCACCACAGACCACGGAATGAAGCGCAGGGTAGAGCCTACCACTGTTGAGTCGACGGGTATCACCAGTGGCTTTGCGGGATCGGGGTGCTGCTCGGCCGGAATGCTGAGCTCGGCGGCAGTGAGGTCTGGCATCGCGGCGCCGGTCGTCTCGTCGAGGGCTACCTCTCGACTCTACTCCCGTGTCACAACAACGAGGCACGAGAGCGTGCACGACAGAGCGACAACGCAGCGCACTGCCGTCCAGTCGGCGAAGGGACGGCTGCTGCGCAAAGTGATCAGTTCTAATGAATGTACCGGGGCCCAACGGATAGATGAATCCGGGGCACCCTCCGCTCGAATCCCTGGCCGGGGGTTCGAGGTGGCCCCCACCCTGGGGCCTCCCATCAAAGGGACTGCGGCAGAAGACGCCCAATCTTGCACAAGTGCAAGAACCATACCGCTCGCGGCGTTGAGTTGGGCGCGGTCGACCCAGCCACATGAGTTTGAAGAGGACCTCGCAGCAAAAACAAATACCTGCAGTGCTTGCTTCACGACGCACGCGGCCATGCTCCGCCTGCTCGCTGTCGGCGCCACAGCCGCTGCGACCGCCGCCGCTGCCTACGCCCTCGCCCGTCGCCGCGTCGCCCGTCCACGCGTCGCCCTCGTAGCGAGCACCGCTCGGCAGAAGCTGCTGGCGGTCGCCGCCGCGACTGGCTGCACTGTCGTCGGCTGCAAGGTGCCAGCCACCGCCACCGACTGTCGCCCCAGCCTCCGCCCCATTTAGTAGTACGCCACCTTCCCTCGCAAGGTGCCGTCGCTGGTCGCGGAGCAGCCTACGGGCCTCGACGAGACGATGCGCGGCGCCAAGAACCGGCTCTCTCAGGCGCTCGCCACGGACGAGGCGGCCGGCGCCGACCTCGCCGTCGCGATCGAGAGCGGCCTGCTGCGCGCGCTCTCTGGCGACGAGGAGACGTGGGTCGATGTGGCGGTGGTCAGCCTCCGAGACTTTGGCGACGTCCAGGACACGTCCACGACATGCCCGAGAGTCCGTGTAGGTGGTGATCGTCCGCGATCTGGCGACCGGCGGCGAGGCCATGGCCACCAGCGCGGGCGTGCAGTTCCCGACCGCCGCCGTCGGCGAGTGGGCCGAGGCGGGAGCCGAGGGGACGGTCGGCGAGGTGCTGAGCGAAAACACGGGCTGCGACAAGCACGATCCTCATGCGGCGCTCACCTGCGCGCGCTTCCCGCGCGCCGCGCTGCTCGAGCAGGCGGTCCGGGTGGCGAGCGCGACGCTTTACAGGAGTCGAGTCGCCCTGCCTGGATGAGGAACAGTAGGGGGCGGATGGGACAGTCCTCAGTCGCACCCTCCCCTGTGGTCCTTTCTCCTTCGTAAAAAGAAGAAACACGAGTAAAGAAATAAAAAGAGACACCCTTACTAGGAGATGGGTAAAAAGAAGCAGCCCCCTGCGAGACAGTATTCTAACACCTCGCTCTAGCTGTGGCCTCTCAAGCCGTATGCCCCTCTCTCTCCATCAGAAGTGCGACAGCATGGTAGGCCCGTGCCGTCGCCATCGGCGCCACCTCCTCCCAGGCGTTTGTGGCCGGGTCGAATCGCTCTACCGTGGTAGCCGACCTTTCGGCCTCAGCCTCATCGTCATAAATCGTGCCGCCCACAGCGTACAGCTTGCCGTCGAGCACCGCCACAGCGAGCCTGTTCCGTCCCGTCGCCATCGGCGCCACCGCCTCCCACACATTTGCAGCCGGATCGTACCTTTCGACCGAGCTGAGGTAGCCGTCGTAATCGTCGTATCCGCCCACAGCATACAGCTTGCCGTCGAGCACCGCCACGCCGTGGGTACACCGCGGCGCCGCCATCGGCGCCACTGCCTCCCATGCGTTGGTTGCTGGGTCGTACCGCTCGACTGATCGGAGGCGGCTATCGTCATCGGATTCGCCGCCCACAGCGTACAACTTGCCGTCGAGCACCGCCACAGCGGAGGCCCCCCGCGCCGTCCCCATCGCCGCAACCGCCTCCCACGCGTTCAGCGCCGGGTCGTACCGCTCCACCGAGCTGAGGCCGTTGTATCCGCCGCCGAACCCGCCCACAGCGTACAGCTTGCCGTCGAGCACTACAGCTGCGAGATTTGCGCGAGTCGTCCCCATCGGCGCCACCGCCTCCCACGCTTTTGTCGCCAAGTCGTACCGCTCCACCGAGGGGGACAGTCCGACGTTGCGCTCCACGCCGCCCACCGCGTAGAACTTGCCATCGAGCACCGCCGTGCCGATATACCTTCGTGGCGTCGGCATCGGCGCCACAGCGTCCTCCTCCCACTCATTTGTAGACGGGTCGTACCGCTCCAGTGAGTTGAGGAACTCGCCGTCGCTGCCGCGGCCGCCGATCACGAGCAGGCGCGGCCGATCGCGCGTCTTCAGCGTCTCCTTCCAGCCGCGGCGCCACGCGCGGCACGTGCCCTTGATGGCGTGCTCCTTGGTCGGCAGCTGGGCGAGGATGTGCGGGGCGAGGTCCGGCGAGAGGAGGACCTCGATGAAGGCGACGAATTGCTCTGGCGAGAGGCCAGAGAGGCGGGCGCCGATGCGGTGGGCGGCCATCGAGAGCAGTCCAGAAAGAATCTTACAACTCAACTCCCTCGCACAACACTGGGCACGGGACTGGCGCGCACTGGCACTAACAGAAAGAAAAAACCCGTGTTCGTGCAGGTTCTTTGTGGGTGTGGTCGGCGACTAGCCGGGGTCGTCCTCCCGATGGGGGACTAGCACTAGCCGTCTTCCACATGGTCCCTCGGGTCCCTGCTGCTCCTAATCTCTTCGTACATCCTCCTGCTGATCTCCGCAAAGAAAGTCCTGCTCCCTCCCTCGTCTCGCTCTGCGCGTCTGCTCCGCCTCACCGTCTTCTCCCCTTCTTGTATGCTTTGCACATCGCGTCGATTCCTTTTCGCGTGAGCACCAGCCTGAAGCCCGCCCAGCAGCTGAACCGCTCCCTAAGTCGAAGGAGCATCATCAGTCTCACCCACTTCGCTCTCTGCCCACTGTCTCCGCTCCCTCCCGCTTGAGCCGCCGTCGCGGCCCTCGTTCGTCCCACTGGCTGTTGGCCCGTCCCTGCGTTGCCTGCGTTATCCCTCCTCTGCGACTCCCTCAAGGCCGGCCGAGCCTCTTTCCACCCAGCGAAGAGCTTCCTCAGCCACTCGATGTGTTCCTCTCTCTTCATTATGCGCGCCTTAGCCTCATCATTGAGCCGGATCCACCTCTGCACCGCGCCCGTCGCCGCCTCGGCCACGACTTGCAAGTTCCTCGTGACCCCGGCGCCAAGGTCCCTCCGGCTCTTCTCAGTAGAGAGGTGTCCGTTTTATTTATTTATTTATTTAACGTCTTTACACATCAGCGGCGGCACCGCTCATGGCAGAGCGCCGCCCTCTCGCGGCTCTCACAAGCGAGTTTTCGCTAGACAGCCTGGCCACTCGTCCATTAATTATGGCGCGCGTCTACCGAACAGTCTACGCGACCCGGTGTCTACCGGTAGACGGTAGACGGACCACCCCTCAGTACACACACACACACACACACACACACACACACACACACACACACACACACACACACACACACACACACACACACACACACACACACACACACACACACACACACACACACACACACGAGTTCATTTTAGGGAAAAGGCTTGATTTCTGCCACAAATCAAGCTTTTACCTTTTTCGCCACTTTGATCAAAGCGGTTAGGATTACGCGCAACTGACCGACCGATCGACCGACCGAATAAGCGAATATCGGAACCGGCCGAGCCGACTAACCCTGCGCCGGGGAGAGGGGGGGGGGGGAGAGCGGGAGAGACGCTGTTCACACCGTACGACTTATTTTTCATCGTGTCACGCCCGACACTGCGACACTGGGGCGAGTGCGCCCCTAGGTCGCAGCTACAGCAGCGCGCGGCAGAATCACGCGCCAAGGAACACGCCAACCCTTGTCAAGTGAGCCGAAACATTCTCACGCCGGCACAAGGCTAAACCTGTTCCATCGCCTCCGGAACGTCGTCGATCGTGTAATCGCGCTGATCCTCCCAAATAGGTTGCCAGACACAGCCGCAGCAGCCCTCATTATTCTCGAGACAGCCAACAAAGGTGCCAGAGTTGTCAAATGGTGGGGCCGCGCACCAAAACTCTTGCCCGTTGTTGTGTGCCGAATTGTTGCACTCTGCACAAGTCGTCTTGAACGTGAGCATTGCGCAGCAGCAAACGATCGGATAGCCCATCACGTGCGCGGCCACTTTGCCCGTTCCAGCGCCAAGTTCTTTTCCGCACTGCTGGCATGCGTCGTGATGATCATATCCGGGGTCGAAGTGTCTGTGGCCGTCGAAGCGGGTGGTTCCTTTCGCATGTTTGTAACACCACAACGGCAGGTATGTGCAGCGTACCAAGAAAAGGTAGAGCACCAAAATGCCCGCTGCGGCGGCAATGGTGGAGTTGTCGAACATCTGTAGGGGGGAAGGTGCAGGGCGTGGAAGGAAAGAGGCGGCGGCAGTAGCAGCGGTGGAGGCGGCGCTGCGACACACAAGGAGGCGGCGGGGAGAAGGGGGGGCGGCGGGGAGAGGGGTGGTGGGTGTCGCCTTGTCGGGCGCGAAGCGCCGCTAGGACTGCCAAAGGAGGCGGCCGGAGGACGTCTAAGATTAAACTTAATTTTTCTTACTTACTTACCAACGGTTGAGGTATGTTCTTGGCAGAAGGGAACCACATCGTAGATTCATCGTACTCCATGTGCGAACCCGCCAACGATTTTTGCCCCTGGCGGGCGCCGCGGACCAGTTAGTTCCGCGAGCGCTCGTCAGCGGGTGGTGTGCGGTTCTTGCCGTAGTTCCTCTTCGGTCGCCTAGCCCCGGCGCCGTCTGTCGGACGCCTGCGTGTCACGAGTGCGAGCCGCTCGCGGTTCGTACGCCCGCTTGCGGGTTCGAGTGGCGGGCCATCCCGCTTGCGGGATGGCTTAGCGGGTTCGAACCGGCACACATTGGCTGCCGGGGTGTGCCGAGGGGGGGCTGGGTGGGCGGTAAGCCGTCATTGCCCGGCGCTGCTTGCAGCGCTCTGGGTGGTAGTGGCGGCGCTCCAAGAGTGGTGCTCTTGGGAAGAGGTTCCTCCTTTCTTTCCGCTCCCCCCCCGCAAGGCGCGAGACACACACACGATTTTGTTTTGTTGACATGAAACGATAAACGCCCGTTGCGGCGCGCGAACGCAATGCTGCATCGTTCAGGCTCGCCTCCGTTTCGTCTTCAGTCTGACACACCGCGATCCCACCGGAAAAAGCGAAGGTTGTAAAAAAAAAATGCAGCAAGCAAGCTTCAAGCCCAAATGGAGAGTCAAGCGTCCAGCTCGAACGCGGCATCCTGCTCAACTACAACCTGTTCGGCCGCTGCCGCCTGCTCGACCACGCCCTCCGACAACGTGCTCACCGACGACAACCTGCTCGACATCATCCTCGGAATCCATCGAATCTGCGGCGACGCCTGGGACAGCCGTCGCTCCGTCAGCCACTCATTGCTGCGAACCCTCGATAGCCAGGTCATCACCTATGCGGATGGCGGCGCCGGCGCGGCGGCCCGCGCGGAGGTGGCCCTGTGCCGATTCCCCGCCCTTCGCGAGCTGCGCATTCGAGGCCTCGATGACTTGAAGCGGCTGCTTCCGATCCTCGCCAGCCGGCACTGCGCACAGGCCTGGCGGCTGCCTCACTCGAGGCTCTCGGCCGGCCTTCCGTCGCTCGGCCTTCCCTCTGTCGCGCCGCACGGCCGGATGGTCCGGCTGGAGCTCTCGGGCTGCGGCGCGCTCACCGACTCTGACCTCGAGAGCCTCGCCGAGGCGCTTCCGCAGCTCGAGGAGCTGCAGCTCTCCTGCAACGCGCAGCTGGTGCGGCCGAGGCTGGGCGGGCTGCGCAGGCTGCGCGTGGCGGCGCTGTACATCTGCGCCACGCTTCAGGACGGCGCCGTCGACGACCTCTGCCGCGGCTCCCCTCTCCTCCGCGAGCTCTCCGTGTGGCGCTGCTCGGTCTAGTGCTGCCCTCTAGTGCTCACCTCTAGTGCTCACCTCTAGTGCTCACCTCTAGTGCTCACCTCTAGTGCTGCCCTCTAGTGCTGCCCTCTAGTGCTGCCCTCTAGTGCTCACCTCTAGTGCTGCCCTCTAGTGCTCACCTCTAGTGCTCACCTCTAGTGCTCACCTCTAGTGCTCACCTCTAGTGCTCACCTCTAGTGCTCACCTCTAGTGCTCACCTCTAGTGCTCACCTCTAGTGCTGCCCTCTAGTGCTCACCTCTAGTGCTCACCTCTAGTGCTGCCCTCTAGTGCTCACCTCTAGTGCTCACCTCTAGTGCTCACCTCTAGTGCTCACCTCTAGTGCTGCCCTCTAGTGCTCACCTCTAGTGCTCACCTCTAGTGCTCACCTCTAGTGCTCACCTCTAGTGCTCACCTCTAGTGCTGCCCTCTAGTGCTCACCTCTAGTGCTCACCTCTAGTGCTCACCTCTAGTGCTCACCTCTAGTGCTCACCTCTAGTGCTCACCTCTAGTGCTCACCTCTAGTGCTCACCTCTAGTGCTCACCTCTAGTGCTCACCTCTAGGCGCTGCGCCGGCCGAGCCTCGCGGCGCCGCAGCTCAAGCAGCTGAACGTCTCCGAGTGCTTCGAGCTGACGGAGGAGGCGCTGGTGGGCGCGCTGCGGCGATGTCCTGCCCTGGTCAACCTCCTGGCGGCGGGGTGCCCTCTCCTCCGCTCCCCGCGCCTCTCCGGCTCGCGCCTGAAAGAGCTCGACCTCTCCGCCAACACGTTGGGCGACGAGACACTGACCGCCGCCTGCGCCGCCGCGTCATCGCTGGAGCGACTCGACGTCAGCCACTGCCGCAGCCTGCAGTCGCCCACTCTCGGCGAGAGGGGAGACACCTCCGCCCGCTCCTCGCGAGACGGCCTCCGAGGAGCCTTCTCGGAACTGTCCTGTAGGGGGGGAGATGCTCCGCTCGCTGATCGCCACCGGCTGCGACGGGTGAGCCACGGCCCACACCCTTGGCCCCGCCCTGCTGCGCGTGCGTGGAGACGTCTGCCCTCGCCCCCCGCCCTTGCCTCACCTGCCCTCCCCTCGCCTCCCCTTCTCTCTCCTCTGCCTCGCCTCCCGCGCCTCCCGCCCTTGCCTCACCTGCCCTCCCCTTCTCTCTCCTCTGCCCCCCCTCCCTCGACAGGCTGACCGACGAGGCGGTGAGCGGGCTGTGTACACGCTCACCGCGCCTGGCTACCCTCCGCCTCTCCCTCTGCCTCTCGCTCTGCCGGCCGACGATCCGCGCGCCGCTGCTCTCCGAGGCACACCTCAGCGGCTGCTCGGCGCTGCAGGACTCGACGCCTGAGCCAGTCGCCGGGATCCCTTTTAGAGCATCCCTGACGCCCCCCCCTCTCGCGGCTGCTCGGCGCCCGCAGGACGCGGCTGCGGCGGAGCTCTGCGCGAACAGCCCCCACCTGCGGAGGCTCGGCCTCGCCCTCTGCTCCTCGCTCCGCTCGCCCGCCCTGCGCCACGAGGCACTGCTGCGGCTCGACCTCTCCCACTGCGCGCGGCCCGAGATCGCCCGGCCCGCGAGATCGCTCGAGCTCGGCCCGCGAGATCGCTCGAGCTCGGCCCGCGAGATCGCTCGAGCTCGGCCCGCGAGATCGCTCGAGCTCGGCCCGCGAGATCGCTCGAGCTCGGCCCGCGAGATCGAGAGGACGACGGAGGCGGGACCGAGCTGGCCGGGGCTGGGCGTAGGCGGAGCCCTGCTCGAACCCGAGATTGGAGGCCGGTGCTGATTAGCCGAGAGTGGCCCGAGATTGACCCGAGATTGACCCCGAAATGGTCGAGGCCGAGGCTGGCCCGAGATGGTGCGAGGCCGAGGGCGGCGGCGCCCCTCGCACCTCACGCCGCGGGCTGCTAGTCTGGAAAAGTGCGCTACGAGCCCGCCGTCACGAGCAGGCGCCGAGAAGAGAATAGAAGAGAAGAGAGGAGAGTCCGCCGTCACGAGCAGCGAAGAGAAGAAGGGGGAAGAGAAGAGAGGAGAGTCCGCCGTCACGCGCAGGCGCCTCTCGCACCTCAAGCTCGCGGGGTGCGCGGCGCTGCTCGACGCGGCGCTCGAGCGCGCGTGCGTCCGCTCGCCGAGGCCGCGCAAGCTCGCCGTCGCCCCCGCCGACGAGATTGCGCGAGGCTGAGCGAGGCTGGCCGGGGGGGTAGGCTGCGCAAGCTCGACGTCTCGCGCTGCACCGCGCTCGAGGCGCCGTCCCTCGCTTGCCCCGCCTTGGAGGCGCTCTCGCGTGCGCCGGTCTGAGGCAAGGAGCGCGGCGTATCCAGCGACGACTGTCCGGGCACGTGACGCGCAGGTGCCCCCCCCCCCCCCTGGCGTGCGCCGGTCTCGAGTTGAGGCGAGATCACCCGAGATCACCCGAGATCACCCGAGATCACCCGAGATGAACAGGTGCTCGCGTGCGTCGGTCTCGAGCCGGAGGCGTTGGCGGCGCTTCGCCTGTCCGAATGGTTCCCGGCGCTCTCCAAGGCGACCGCGGCTAGAAACGCACACACACACACACACACACACACACACACACACACACACACACACACACACACACACACACCACACCACACACCCGCACACACACAGACACACCTATGGCGCGTGCATTGGCCCAAAGCCGCCCGACCCCGCCACCACCTGCGCTGCCCAGGTCAAGGGCATGGACTGCTGAGCCGGCGAGGAGGTTTTCGAAGAGCTCTCGAGCTGAGTGACCTTGCAGGCCGACCAGCAGCAGCTACGAAGGTGCGCCGCCCTCACCGCCCGACACACCCACCCACGCCACTTGCCATGCGCGCCTCTCCCCTATCCCACCACGCCACGCCTCTATACCACACTCCACACCAGCACTGCACACCACAATCCCGCGGGCCCTGACGTGCTTGTCAGCACCGGGGCCCATTTTTATTCTCTTGGAACTCGGCGGCGCCGCCGCTGAGTTTTTCGTGCGCGATGTTTCCGCTTTGTCAACCACTGTTCGATCTCGTCCAGCTGAGAACTGACAACTGTGCGCTGTGCGCGGAGCGAAGACGGTGAGAACGAGCAACGAGCACGGAGAGCAGCGGCCTCAGCTACAACGTACAAGCAGCGAGCAGGGAAGCCGACATGCGGCGCTTGTGCGGCTGCGGGATGCGGCGGGGAGAGCGGCATTGCCATTGGTTTTGCACGCGCACGCGCGGCACGGGGCACGCGCCCCCAGTCCGTACGGACTACGGTACGTTACCTCGCTGTGTGTGTGTGTCGTGCCTGTCGGAGAGCTATCTCGGTTTTAGCCCCTTTTACCCCGTAATTGCCAAAAAACCTCGATGTAATATCACACACGGCCGGCCGCTACGTTTCGTGGCCGAGCAGGCTCGGCAGGCGGCCGCTCGCCTCCAGCGCCTCAAAGCCGGGTGAGGCGGCCAGGCAGAGCCCCGGCTCCCCCGAGGGCATGTCCCCGTCGGTGAAGCCGCCGACGCACCGCCCGCCGACCCAGACAGAGGGCATGGACGTCCTCCCGGTCGCGGCGGCTATGGCCGCGCGCAGCGCCTTGCCATCCCTCCCGCGCGCCTCAAGCTCAATCGTGCGCACGCTGCCTGCCGGCAGCCACGCCTCATTCCCCTCGATGGCGGCGAGCCGCTCCTTGGCGAGGAGGCACCACGGGCAGTCGACAAACGAGAAGAGGACAACCTGCGACGAGGCCACCTCCTCGAGGAGCCGCTGCCGCCAGCAGACCGCGTTGAACTCCGAACCAGCCGCCTCGACGATGCGATCCACTTTCCAGCCGCCAATGTGCTGCTGCTCCGCCTTCATGAAGTTGGCGACCGCTTGGCCGGCGCCGCTGCGTGCGAAATCGAGCTTGAGCGAATCCGGAGCAGCCGCCATCGGCGTGCCCTTGAGCATGTGCAGGGCCACGTCGCCCTCGATGTGCTTCTTGTGCAGCGCGGCGACGCCATCGGAGGCGGAGAACCATTCGAAAAAGGCCTTTGTGAGAGAGAAGGCGACTGCCATTTCTTTGAATGAAACACTGCCACCGCCGCCGCTTCTGCCCTTCCTACCAAAACGCGAGGTTGCGGCGTCGAAAACAAAAAAATGCCGGAGGGCCAACCCTCGGAGACCCGTGTTTACTCTACGGCCCTTGTCCTGCGAACGCGCACCCCCAGGGCTAGGGCTCTCTTGCCCGCAACCCGATGCCAATCATCCGGCCCGCTGGGTGCGCTTCTTAGCTCCCCGGCCCTGGATGGATGTGCGGTTACTCACTGCACTCCAAGTGCTCCAAGGTGGTCTCTTGGTTCCGGCTCCTAGCCAGATAGGGGGTCTGTTGACCATGACTCGCGCCAAAACGCCCTACCTACCTACCTATCCTCAGGCCGCGTAGCGAAGCGAAAAGAGACGAAAATAGGGCAGTCATAAATGATCCCCATGCCCGTTCGGGCGGCTTCCATTTCGGCAGGTACTAGTAGTGTACCTCCGATTAGCGGTAAAAAGTAGACGTGCAAAAAACCGTGACGCAGTGCGCGTATAGTGTCGGCTCCTGTCACCTGTGTCAGGTAGTTGCCCATTAGGTATCACTGTGTTATCGCGCGCCTTGCTGGCCGCCGTAATGGAGCTCCGCCGCGAGCCGCAGCGGTGGCCTCGCGTCCCAATCGTCGCATGAGTGATTCCCATTGCTCTGGATCGCCTCGCTCACCAGGCTGGTGACGCTCGGCAGCTTGTCCAGGCCGTAGCCCCAATACATCCACTCCCCTTGTCTGTCATTGTCGATAAAAACGGATCGCATCGTCGAGCCTCCATTCTTGTGGACGTGCCGGTCGATGGCAAAGGAGCACGCGGGAGGCGGCACGCGCACGAGGCCCGCCATTGACACCACGCGCGCACGCGCGCGCGCGCTCTGCCTGCGTGGCGCGCGCTGCGAGTCGAGCGATGTCGCGATGTGTTGGAGAGCGAAGCGCCCGCCCTCGACGTTAGAGACGACTCTCCCAACTGTGAACAGTCGTTATCTGTATATGCGCAGCTATTCATAGCCGCGCCTGTTGTTTGTGTGTGTGTGTATCCGCGCTCTTGGCGCGATTACGAGAGTGACTAGTGTGTCGCACTAGTTGTACTTTTCGTAACAGTATTCCGCATTCATTGCGAGGGCGGACCACTCCTAGCGTGCAGACCGCGGGAGCTGGTGCCGCGGCCAGTGTATACCTGGCCTGCGCTGTGACGCGCGCGGTCTTAACCTCCAATTCTTTTCCCCCTTGGGAATCGTTTCTTGCGTGCGGGCCGCGGGCTGTGGGCCAATGCCGACGGCACGAACGCTGTTCCGCATAGCGGTGCTCGATGGCAAGCTCTACGCGGCGGGCGGCAGGAATGAGGCTGCCGTCATCCTCAACCTGGTGGAGCGGTACGACTTTGCTACGAAGAGGTGGGAGGCGGTGGCGCCGATGGCGACGCCACACGTGGGTCACGCCCTTTCGGTGCTCGATGGCAAGCTGTATGCAGCGGGCGGGCGGGATGCCAACTATCACGCCCTCAGCTCGGTCGAGCGGTACGACCCGGCCACGAACGCGTGGGTGGCGGGCCGACGAGGCGGAGGCGCGGTGGAACTCGGGCATGGCGGTGCTCGACGGCAAGCTGTACGCTGTGGGCGGCGAGAACGCCGACGGCCGCCTCAGCTCAGTGGAGCGGTACGATCCCGTGACGAACGCGTGGGAGGCTGTGGCGCCGATGGCGGCCGAGCGGATTGCTTCCGCCGTCGCGGTGCTAGACGGCAAGCTGTACGCTGTTGGCAGGTATGGCGGCGGCTTCCTCAGCTCGGTCGAGCGGTACGATTCGGCGCTGGATGCGTGGGAGGCGGTGGTGCCGATGATGGCGGCTCGGGACGATTTCGCCGTCGCGGTGCTCGAAGGCAAGCTGTACACTTTGGGCGGGTGCAACGACGACGACAACGGCATCCTCGGCTCGGTCGAGCGGTACGACCCGGAGTCGGATGTGTGGGAGGCGGTGGCGCCGTTGGCGACGGCGCGGGGCTATCCCGTAGCTCTCTTGATGTAGACGACTGTTTCGGGCGCGCGCGCGCACAACACACGACGAGAGCGAAAGTTGGAATACGGGGTAGCGGACCCTGAGTTGCACAGGGGTTGTATGCGCCAGGCCCTCCTGCTCGGCTCCAGCGAGTACACAAGTGTTGTCCTTCGCAACAGAGTAAAGAAAAAGCGGTGACCACAATAATGAAAAATACAATAATGTGAACTCTACACAGACGACACATACTTTGCGTAGAGCTCTACCCACATGGCACATGCGTCTCACACTCATGGCATGGGCCATGACCATGCGGGCCTGTGTGACGTGCGACCGTCTGTATGTGTGCTCCGCTCGCAGAGCGCGCTCCAAGAGGTGGAGCCACCGTCTGTGTGGCAATTGGACAGTGGGCTACAGAAAGGGGGGCAAAGCGCAGCAATTGCGGAGGCCGCAGCTCAGCACGCGTCGAGAGCAGCGCCTCAACATCAATGGCCAAAGATGTGCAGATCCCAGCTGTAGAGCTGCGAGTCGGGGCCGTGCGCCGAGCCAACCTGTGTGTCCTTGATTGCGAGCGTCCAAGTGCCGGCCGGGTCCTCTCCCCAGGACCGCACCGTCGTCATCTTCCAGTTGAATGTCGGGTGCCGGAGCGACGGCGCTCCGTCCGAACCGATCCAACCCGCCGCGCTGCAGTCGTTGTAGTCGCACGCGCACGAGGTCGGGTTGTCGCAGATGCCGTCGTTGCGAGTCGCGCACGAGTCGGTCGACGGCGAGCACTCGGTCGGTGCCGGGTTGGAGTCCTCCGGCCGCGGCGCGGGCATCAGGACGGAATTGGTCCCCGACGGCGACATGAGCTCCACCTGCAGGTCGCCCCGCGAGGTGTGGTCGAGGTACAAATAAACCTCGATCCACTCGGTGAAGAAGCCACCCGTAGTGCCAACCTCGAGTGTGTGGACCAGGGTTGTGCCGTCGTGAGGGACGACGGTGGACGCAGGCGCCGGTTGCGCACAGTAGCCCCAGCTCTCGCCCTGGCAGGCCGCATCCGTCACGTAGCACCACTCTTCTGCGCTGCCATCGGGGCGACCGCAAAAGTTGTCCACCGGCGAATCAGGCAGGTCGGTCTTGCTCCAGGTCTGCTTGCAGACGCAGCCCGCCGTGGTCAGGGGGAGGCGGAACTTGGACATCCCGTGCGCCTCAATGAGCACCTCCGGCCCCCACGGTTCCCACGACTGTGCTGCCTCCACCGCCGCCTGCGCGTCCACCATCCCAAATCCGTACTTGACATTGTGGTGGTAGCCCGCCTCATTCGTGGTCCAGCCCTCGTCGTCCGGATCCGTCATGTAGGACGTCTGGGCGAGGATACCCTGAACGTCGCGGTACGTGAGCTGCGGTGCCGCCTCGAGCATAAGCGCCACGACGCCCGACACGACGGGACACGCGTACGACGTCCCTTGCCCCTGGGCCGCGCAGCCGCCGCCGTTCGCCGCCACCATCCAGTTATTTGCGTGGTCGTAAGCATCGCCGCCAGGAGCGCTGATAAAGAGCGACGCCCCCGTCGTCGAGTAGTAGCTGTGGCGGCCAAACTTGTCGGTCGCGCCGGTCGTGATCGTAAACCGGTCGTGCTGATATCCCATCTGGTTGATGTCGTCGCCTCCGCCGTGGCCGTTGCCGGCAGCAAAGACGTAGACCGTGCCCAGGCCTCCGCGGCCCGTGTGCACTCCCCGCATGAAGTAGGTGACCGTCGTCGGGTCGAGGTGCTGGAAGCTGCATTGCATCCACAGGTGAGTCCACGCGGCGCACTCCGGATCCGTCTCGTAATTGGAAGGGTGGCTGCAGTAGCGTTGGATGCGCGAGTCGCAAGAGCCGGGCACCCAGCTCGTGCAGACTTCGCACGGCGACGGGAAACGCGGGTCGGGGCTGGTCGCTGCGACCGGCCGGAAGGGGCAAGCCATCTTGTTCTGCCGGAGCAGCTCGTGCGACAGGCAGGGCGGGATCCCCCACGAGTTTGACGACACCGCGTTGGTCTGCAGCGCATAGTCGCTGAAGGCGAAGAGCAGGTTCTCCTCGTTCGAGTTTGTGCGGAAGCTGCACTTTGAGAGGCCAGCGCCGTACGCGATGCCGCGGGAGCACTCGTCGTTGGCGGACGCAAGCGCGATCGCCGCCGTCGTCGTCCCGTGGTCACCCATGTTGTACTCCGATCCGGGGCACGACGCGGCCTCGTCGTACTTGCTTGCAAAGTCTGCGGGGGGGAGGGGGGGGGGGCGGGACGTGAGGAAGTTGCGGCGAGGAAAGAGAGATGGTGTGAGGGCATGCTGACTAGTCGATCTCTGTCTGTCTGCCCGTTCTCGACTGTCCGTGCGTGCGATCTGTGCCCGGGGTTGTGTTTTTGTGTGAGGGCATGCGGCACCTGGATGTTCGTGGAAGGGCCCGAGGTCGTTGATGTTGATGGTGACCCCCTCGCCGGTTATGCCCTGGGCCCAGACGGGCTCCACGCGGACGAGATCAAAGACCCACTGGTTCGGCTCGTACAGCGGGTCCGACAGGGTGTCGTACTTGGCGTCGCAGGCGTCGACCCACGCGTCCTCGGGGCAAAGCTCACGGTCACCGTGCCGCGCAGTGACCGTCTCGGTGTACTTGGCGCAGAGTGCAGCTGTGGGGCACCACTTGTAGCCGAGGGCGGTGCAGCCGGAGCACGTATACGGGTCGCTCTCACCGCAGTCACCTCCGTCCTTGAGGCAGGCCGCGGTGCTGCAGGCCTGGTTGCAGATGCCGTTGCCAATCGCAGTGGAGTCGCAGGACCAGTGGCACGCCTCATCGCGGGAGTGGGTGCACGCCATCGCCGTGCCATCGTCCCTCGTGCACTCGACCCCGCTCGTACCAAAGATGTCGTGCGGCTGGAAGCACTTCTTGGTCCCAACAAACCCAAAGCCCTCCGCCTTGCACTCTGGCGCACTTGATGGGCACACACACGTCTCGCTGTAGAGCCGGGGCGCTCCAGCCGCGGTGGCATTGTACGGCGCCGGCGCGGCGCTGGCCGCATGGCACAGCAGGAGCAGGAGCGCGAGGGTGGGCAGCATCCTTCCGGGACGCGGCGCAGTCGCAGCGTGCAGATGGAGATGGGAAGGAAGGTCGTTGGCGATCGATCGCGTTTGTGTTGTCAAGAGTTGTGTCGGTCGAAACTCGGCGTGACGACTCCTTACCCCGATTAGGTTTGGGGCGTTTCGTGCCCCGTTGAATGGTCCTTGCTGTGACTGTTTGACATGGAACCCGCCCCACAGCAACGGCAACCCCCACTCTGTCGCCGCGGCCCGGCCGGGACGCGGGAGAAGAGTGTGTGGAGAAAGAAAGAGCAAGCAGAACGCGACAAGAAGCAAGAAGGCCGAACTCAAACACGAATGTGAATATGTAATATGTCAGAACGCCCGTTTTTTTTCGCGAGAGTGTTCCAGTCTTCAAAAGATACGTGTAGCCTACGTAATGGACTCGGACAGATCAGACTCGGCCCAGCCCAGCACCCGCTCAACTACCGGCCTCGCGATCTCGGCCATCCTCTGCTGGCCAAGAGAGAGAGAAACTCTGTGTGACACATTTCTCTCTTGGCGCTTATGACTTAGAAATGCTGCTGGCCCTCCACGGACGGGTGGTTGCACCCACCGACGTTCGCGTCGACCTGCGTGCGCGGACGTGTCACGGTTGTAGAATGAAGCACTTGGAGCACTTGGAGTGCAGTCATCAACCGCACATCCAGGGCCGGGGGGCTGAGAAGCACACCCAGCGAGCCGGATGATTGGCATCGGGTTGCGGGCAAGAGAGCCCTAGCCCCGGGGGTGCGCGTTCGCAGGGAAAGGGCCGTAAAGTAAACACGGTTCTCCGAGGGTTGGTTCTGCGCTTTGGGTGTCCCCTTGCTAGCGGCGGAACGCCCCCTCTACTCGGAGCTAGTAAACACCAGACACAGGCATGACGTACACTCTCACCCGACATCGCCACTCAGGGCCCCTCCGCCCGATCTCCCCACCCCTGTGTGTGCGTGCGTGCGTGCGTGCGTGAGTGCGTGCGTGCGTGTGTGCGTGTGTGTGTGCGTGTGTGAGCGTGTTTGTGTGTTTGTGTGTGTGTGTGTGTGTTTTTGTGTGTGTGTGTGTGTGTGTGTGTGTGTGTGTGTGTGTGTGTGTGTGTGTGTGTGTGTGTGTGTGTGTGTGTGTGTGTGTGTGTGTGTGTGTGTGTGTGTGTGTGTGTGTGTGTGGTTTGTGTTGTGTTGTGTTGTGTGCGAGGGGTGTCTCAGTGGCGAGGGGCGGCGGGCTCGGACGTCCACCGAGTCGCTCCGCGCGCCAGGCGGAGCGCGCGCGCGCGCGGGCCAGAAGGCTCTCGGCAGGCTCAAGAGGACATCTGCACGAGCCTGTCGAGGACTGGGGCTCCACTCGAGGTCATGTTCATAGATTCCAAAGCATTGTTAATAGCAAAGGGGGGAAAAGGTACCCTCGACCCTCACGCCTGCAACCCTCGCGCGGCAGCACACCACTGCTCCGCACGAGACACCGTTGCAGGACCAACCCCCAAAACGCGACAGCGCACACAAAATAGGGAGGGTGGGTGGGGAAGCAAGACAGGCCGTGTGGGGTGTGGGTGTCACGAGGACAGACGTCCACGAAGACGGTGGACGGACGCAAACTCCTTATCCAATTCACACTCACGGCTGTCCTACTGGTCATATAGAAAGTCGGCCGTCCGCGAGCCCCCAGCTCGCCGACGGCGAGAGAGATGCCACGAGGGGTCGCGGTGGCGTCCATCGCCATCCTGCACGGAGAAGAAAGAACTGATGCAGCCGAAGGGCTGGCGCAGTAGGAAGGAGAGCCTGGCGCGGCCAAGGACGAGGAGCGGCGTCATGGCCAGGTGAGCAGGAGAGAGCAGCGGAAGCCGCGCTCATCAGAGCAGCGAGCGGGCGGGAGCGCCCGACACGCACGGAAGTTCAAACTTCCGTAAAAGATGAAGTAAAAGATGTCCACGGAGAGTCCGTGAAGGACGCAGAGGCAGAAGAAGAGGTAGGAGAGGAGAGGGTGAGTCTCCTGCGGGAAACTAGTGGCCTATCACGAGTTAGGGCCCCTACCCCAATCGTTATCGGCGGAGGCGAAGAAGGATCAGGCGCGGTCTGGGGTGGACGCGTGACAGATGATTCCCCCTGAAGGCCGCGCCGCCGCTCGCTGAGCGACGCCTCACATCGGCACACCGTGATGAACACCGCCATGGTGACACCCGAGGAGTGGGCAGCGTTCGAGCTCAAGGCGGCCGGCTGGAAGCCCGTTTACAACCCGCCGCAGATCGGCTCAAGCTGCTCCGCGAGGCTCGTGCGCTGTGTGATCAACTCTAGCTGCCTGTGCGTCGGTCCCTGCTGCCGCGCCGCCTTTGACATGCCTTGCTGCTGCCCCACGGACAGCTTTCGGATCACAAATCCGGAGGCGGCCTTCGGAAGAATGCTCGAGCGCGCTTCGACAACGCGCCGGACCGCCTACGATGGCGTCTGGTGGGTCGCGCCGCTGGGTTGCAAGGCGATGTCATCGACACGTCCATGACGCGTCCAACTGCCTGTCACAAGGTGGATGGAGGACAACGTCGCAGGCGAGGGCCTGCTGACCCTGCAGGATGCAGAGTGGTTCTCGGACTCGCTGTTCTTCAAGACGGCCGGGTACAACTGGACCGTCGACAGCTGCAGCACCGGCGTCGCGCTCGTGTTCCCCCCACACGCGAGGCCGCCGGCACACGTCCGCGACGCGGCGACGCCTCCCAGTAGTAGGCGGCGTCTGGCTCACCTTTTGGTGGGACTGCGTGACGGGAGGCAGGCACACGTTCGAGGTGTCGCCCTCCCTACCGTCAGCCGGAGACTCGCACACGCGACCGCACAGACGGGACCGCACAGACGGGTCACACACACACACACACACACACACACACACACACACACACACACACACACACACACACACACACACACACACACACACACACACACACACACACACAGACACACACACACACACACACACACACACACACACACACACACACACACACACACACACGCACACACACACACACGCACACACACAACAGAGAAGCACACACACCGAGGTGGCGCCTGCAGGTGTCGCCGTCGGGGCGCTGGATCATGATTGTCGCCTCCGGTGCGCCCTCGCCCCGCTCGCCGCTTGCCCTTGCTCTCCGCCCTCGCCCGCTGCACGTCCAGCACCCGAGTCTCTGTCTCTCGGCAGGCGACCAGATAAAGGGAGCCAACTGGATCTACGTGCTGCAGGATCTCGAGCGCGGGGGCGCGACACGCTGCAGATGAGACGCCGTAGAGTCACGACCCGATCTCTGCGTGCCCAGGAGGGCGACGTGGTCGTCGGCGCGGACGGCGCACCGCTGCCGGAAGGTGCTGCATGGAGCGAGACTTGCCGAGAGATGGCAGAGTGCCCGGGGTTGGACCGAGGCGAGGGCGGGAACGGGACGGGAGGGAGACGTGAGAGAGGCTGACAGGGAAGAGTGAGGCCTGACAAAAGGAGAGGGGGGGGGGGGAAGAGGGAGAGGGAGAGAGGGGGGGGGGGGGGGGAGAAGAGCAGAGAGAGAAGAGGGCAGAAAGAGAAGAGAGATGTACATGAGAGCGGGCCACCCCGCCCCCCCCCGCCAGGCGAGGCCGGCGGCGTGCAGCTTACCCCGATGTACGAGAGGCTCAAGGCCGCGGTCTACAACCAGTGCACCTGCGCCTTCTCGCCCACCGACGGCTCGAGCTTCATTCTCGCCGCGCAGGCGAACCGGTTCGGACCCGCGCCGCCCCCGCCCGAGCGCATGGCTCGCTGACGGAGTCCGAAAGACAGCGGTCCTGAATCGCCCGTCTCGCGCTGTCGTCTGCGACTCATGTTTCTTAGGAAGGTCGTCGTGGTTCTTTACAGGTATATGTTACTCGTGAGATGGCAAGCGCGGACGTTCTATACCCTCTTCTCTCCCGCACGGATGATCGACCCCAGCAAAATTCTTTTGCGCAGCGTGACTCGATGTTGCACTTGCCGCCGCGCTTGCCTTCCACCGAAGTCGCCCGTCGAGTGTGAAGTCGCCCTTATGGCCTGGCTTGTTCGCCGCCTTCGCGCCCTCATGGTCGAGGAGCCGCTGTGTGCGGGCGACCTCACGTGTCGGCAGCCGCAGCGACGCTCCTCCTTTGAGCGCGAGCGACTCTCCACGGGAGACATTTCGGTTCAGCGGGCGCAACGGCAGCAGCGCCGGTCCTTTGACCTGGCGCAGCAGCAGCAGCGCCGGTCCTTCGAGGAGAGCCTGCGAGTGCAGCAGCAGCGTCGGTCATCACAACGCTCGCGCAGGTCGAGCCACGGCAGAGTGAGTCGGCGCACGAGTGAGCGGTGGCGGCTCGCGGTGGCCGGTTGGGGATCCGTTCGCCAGAGCTCGTGCTCCGAGGGCAGCTCTCGAAGCTCCCAGGTCACGTCTGAGTCGGAGGCGAAACGGTGCAGCGGGTCCGGGGTGGAGGCAGAGGCGGCGCCGGCCGAGCCAGTGTCGGAGGCACCACCGGCGCCTCCGACCGAGAGCGCGGCGGCGGCGAGAGAGCGGATGGAGCGGATGGAACGGATCGAGCAGGCGCAGTGGGCGAGGCTGGAGAAGGAGCGGATGGAGGCAATAGAGCAGGCGCAGTGGGCAATGGCGGAGGAGGAGGACGACGAGGCGCCAGAGGTCCTCGAGTCAAGCTCTGAGAGCTGCCTCGGACTCTTCCTCGCCGGTGCGGCGGGCGCCGGCGCGGAGGAGCAGTCGCCGGCCTAAATGTTTAATATTCGATCTGTGTCTGTGCGTTTTGTGTCGCGGCATGCCATTTTTTTCATAGCGAGTTGGCTAGAGGGATGTTCTACACAATGTGTTTTCTCGCCGGTCGGCGGGGCACGTCTTTTCTGACATGTCCCCGCGCTCTGCGGACTGCGCACCGGCGCTGCCACAGATATAGCGCCGCAGCGTGCCACTGGCGGCCCAGTGCTAGTGGGGGAGTGTGCGCCACGGCGCTCTAGGAGACGTTTTCATTTCCGTTCTTCTTCGTGAGAGTACTAACAGCATACCATGTACCAACCGTAACTCGGATCAGAGTCTGGCCACTGGCCTTGGCACGGCCAGCTCCGCGTCCCTGTCGAGCTCAACGTACGCGTTGCCGATGACCATCCTGGACGCGCCCTCCTGCTCCTCCCCGCCCTTGGCCTCCGCCACAAAGACCACCCGCCGCCCTTCGGCCCACACGCGAGTGCGCACGACGTCGCCTACAGTCGATTCCGAGAAAGTTCCGAGTAGGTTCGTGGCCCACAAGCGGAGCACACACGAGAGCTGCCTGGCGAAACGGTGCCGACGAAGCGTGCGCGCACCGCCCTGAAGCGAGTAAGGAAACGCCAAATGAGTCTCCACGTGCTACAGGAGCCCCACGGCATTGCAAGTGCAAGTTTCCGGTGGTGTGTGTGTGTGTGTGTGTGTGTGTGTGTGTGTGTGTGTGTGTGTGTGTGTGTGTGTGTGTGTGTGTGTGTGTGTGTGTGTGTGTGTGTGTGTGTGTGTGTGTGTGTGTGTGTGTGTGTGTGTGTGGCCTGAAGCGGGCCGCGTCGCCGCGCGCGCAGAGGAGCAGCACCGCTCGCACCTATCCCCCCGAGGAGCGCGCTCATGTCGACATAGATTCACCGCAGTGGCGCGGGACCGCACACTCGCACCGCGTAGCCGAGCGTGCACAAGCCGTGCAGGATTGGCGACTCGAATCCCTGTGCGCGCGCGGCGGCCGGGTCGACGTGCAGCGGATTGTAGTCGCCGCTGAGGCGGTAGAGCCGCGCCTAATGGTGAGGCACATGCATGTCAGCACGGCGTGGGGCATGTCAGAGGGGCATGGGCGTGGGTCTGGGTGGTGGTGTTTGTGTGCGGTATGCGCCTGCTGCGCGCCGACGCACTCGGTGTGAGACGCATCGCACGCCCGCGGCGGCGGCGGTGTCGGCGGCGCCGACGGCTCACAGCCGGAGGCGGCCACGCTGGTGGCGCCGAGAGCGTAGGCGGAGGCGCGCATGCGGTAGAGCAGAGCGCCTCCGCCGTCAAACAGCTCGCCGGCGGTGTGTATGAGAGCACCGTTCCGCTTCGGGACGACGCCGAGCAGGCGGGACTGGTACGTGAGCGTGTGTGCGCCCTCGGCCGATGGGACGTCCCGGACACGCTCGATGTACCTCTCGGCGTCCAGCAGCGCACGCGCTCCGGGCAGCGCCAGTCCGGACGACGCGAGGCGGAGCAGGGTTGGCGACGGAAAGTCGACCATCGACCTCTGGCGAGTCAGCCAGTCACTTGATGACACCATGAAGTACAGCAATCGCCATCTCGCTGGCCTCTCCGCAGGCCCCCCCGACCGCGTCGAACTCATCGGCGCGGGCTCTCTCGGCTACCGGACCGGCCCCAGCTTCGGCTGAGGGCTAACTAACAAGCTGCCGAGCCCAAAAATCACTGTGAGAGTCGCGATTTCTTGTTGGTCTTCAAGAATCTCACTCTTCCAGGATGGTCGACGCATAAAGAGGACCGGCGGGCTTTGATTGGTTCTACCTTTATTCAAGTGCGTGTCTCTTCATTGCTTTTTATTGCTCCTTTGTGCACGAACGTGTACATTTCGGCGCTGAGCCCCTCTGACTGCGCCACTACAAGGAAAGCAGGCGGCCTTGTGAAGCGCCACCCTCGCCTGTCGCTCCGAGGACTCACTGGACCTCTCCCTGAAGTGGCGATTTGAAGAACCTCGCCCCACAAACCAATTTCTGTTACGCTTGTCTGGCGCCGCGCCTCGCAGGCGTTTCTCGTGGCGACCTCTTGAGCTTTGATGGTGCCAAAACAGATGGTGCCGATCGCCCGCCCGCCCGCCCGCTCGCCAGCACCATTCCACACCAACTCCACCCCACACGATCGTCTTGCATCTCCGCCCTTATACTGCCCGCTTGCCGGCTGCCGCCGCTGTCGCCGTCGCCACACGCCTCTGCGTTCCTGCAGGAGGGAAAGATGATCTTTGCCACGGCTCTCGTCGTGCTTGGCCTCACCGAGTCGGCTGACGCCCTCGTCCCACAGCAGTTGGCGAGGGCCCTCGTGGCGGTGAAACATGCGTCTGCCCAGACAAGTGTGTCGTCCAGGGCGTTTGAAGCTTGCTCATCGCACTCGGATTGCAGCGACGACAATTACTGCGATACCGCGCAGCAGTGCTTCCCGTGCTCCGCGTGCGCTTCTTTTGACGACGCTATCGACGGCACGTGCCCGTCGAAGTGCGGCGACGGCGGCGGAGGTTGCTCATCGCACTCGGATTGCAGCGACGACAACTACTGCGATACCGCAATGAACTGCTTCCCGTGCTCCGCGTGCGCTGCTGTTGACGACGCCATCGACGGAACCTGCCCGCCGAAGTGCGGCGACGGCGGCGGAGATTTCGGAGACCTTTGCAACGATGGCTCCGGGTGGGAAGAACTCTTTGGCGCCGACCTGCTTGAATGCCTCTGCGAGAATGGCGCGACCTCAGCGTCTGTGAATGACCCCGGCCTTGAAATCATTTGCAAATGTGAGGATGAGTTTGTGCGCGGCACCTCTCCCCTACCCGCGGCCCTCTGCGATCTCGCTCACCCCTACCACCCGTGCGCACAGAAATCGTCTGCGTCAGTCCAACTCGCGGCCGCTTTGTCGGGCCAAGACCCCGACGACTACTTCAAGGAGACTGTTCTCGAGGGGGAAGAGTGCCCCTCGGACGACCCCTGCTTCGCCCGTGACACCCTCGCCCTCCTCCCGTCGGGGGAGCGAGTGCCGATGGCCTCGCTCAAGGCAGGCGACCTCGTCATGGACGGCCCCTCATCAGTCGCCCGCGTCATCGTCAACCAGCATCGCGAGGCCGCCGTGCCACCGAGCCCGCTGTACCACCTTCTCGCCGTTACCACAAATACCCGCGCCGCCACCCTCTCGCCTCAACCAATCCACACCGAGCCCGTCTTGCCGCCAGGCCACCTTCAAGTCGGCCCTCCTCGAGCTCGAGCACGCCAACGGCATACTCTCCCTCACCCCCGATCATGTGCTGGAGGTGGACGGAGAGGCGCGGCTGATGCTAACCCCCTTCCTCCCTTCTCCCACCGCCCTCCCACCACCGCCCACCTCCCACAACCTCCCACCACAACCTCCCCTGCCGCAGTTCGTCCCCGCGCGCATGGTCGCGGCCGGCTCCAAGCTCGGCGAGTCCGAGGTGTCGCGCGTCGTCGCCTCGGTGGGCGAGGTGATCAACCCGCTCACCACCTCGGGCAAGATCCTCACTCAAGGCGGCGTGCTCGCCTCCACCTACCCCGAGTGGGTCGCCGAGTACATGCTCTCCTCCTACCTCGTACCGCTCCCGCTCTCGCTCTCCAATCTGCTCTCGTACCTCTTCCCGGAGACCGCGCAGGCGCGCCTCGCCTCGCCTGTTAGCACCCCTCCTCTGCCCTCCTCACCCCGGGTCTGAAAGAGCATGGGGCCCTCACACACAGGCGTACTACGACGCGCTCATTGAGCCGCTCGTCACCAAGGCCCACCCGAAGCACCTAAAGGCCGCCCTCCCCGCCCCGCTCCTCCCTGCCGCCTTCCTTGTGGGCGACCTCGCCGTCTCCGCCGGTTTCGCCGCCTTCGCGCTGGCCTCGCCGTCGGGCGTGGCGGCTGTCGCGGTCCTCCTCGCCGCCAAGATGCGCAAGGCGCGCAAGTGAAGATTAAGGCCGGCTCCACGTCGCCGTCAACCGCCCTGGCCGGTTGTCTGAATCCTGTGTACTACCATCGAGCTTCCTTTGCATGTCGAGGGCTGCGCCCCATGAACCCGCATCCGGCGCCAGATCACATGATCCGGTGGGATCGCGTGCGCCCCCGCCCCTCCCCCGCCTCCGCCCCCCCGCACCAAGGCTCTACCCCGACTCGTCAGCGAGCTCCATGTCTATGTCCATGTGTGGGCGACCGCTGCGGTAACGGGTAAGACACGTGCTGTTTACAATTAGTTTACAAATACCCACTCGCTGCTGGTCATGCAAGACTGACACTTTGAGTCAGGTGTGGAAGGAGGCGGGCAGGCGCCCTCGGGCCCCGAGCCCCTCCTCGCGAGCCCCCCGAGACTCTCTCCGAACTCAAATTTATATCCACCGCAAAGAGAAAGAAAGAACGAAACAGTCTCTCGCCAATTCTCGCACGCAGCGACCTTCATGCCACCTCGGTCCTCGCTCCCCTCGCGGTCTTCTCACTCTCGTCGTTCTCTCTCCTGCTGCATCATCCTCTGACTCGTCGCTTAACGGCCTCGTTCTGCGACGACCGACGACGACGCCGCCTGCCGATCCCTTGCGCGGCTTCTGTCGCCTCTCTGCGACGATTATTCTTCTTTCAAGGTCGTCTGCCGGCCCCCTCAGCAGCAGCGGGGAGCACGGTCGGAAGGGCGCACTGCGAGGAGAGAGAGGGGGGGGGGGGAGAGGGGGGGGAGAAGAGTGTGAGGGGTACGGGGGCGAGGGCATGGAGGGGGAGAGGAAGAGCAAGGGCGAGAGGGGGCAGGGGACGGGTCGATGGCATACTAGGGGGGGGAGGGTGGTGGGCGGCGACCGCCGCATACCGCCCTATGGCGGCGAGTATCTATCGCTACGCCAGGCAGGGAGGGAGGACAAGGACGTCGACGTGCGGCTGCTGCTGTTCGAGTCGTTCGGTGGGTTCGGGAAGGGGGTCCGCGAGATCCTCTGGAAGGCGGCGAACGTGCTGCAGAACAAGCTGACGCGGGCCCAGTACCTGCCTGGAATGCGTGGACCATCTTTGGAATGCGGTGTGCATCTTGAAATGCGAAAAGTCAACTCGGCGTTCTGAGTTGAAAAATGCAATCTGAGTTGATTTTTTGCAACTCAAAATGCCCTCAGCATCTCAAATTGCGGGTTCCCGCTTCCCCGCCCCTGACGTGTCGTGGCGCGTACCTTCCCTTGCGACCTTGTGAGTTGTGACCAGGGCGCGTACGAGCTCACACAGGGACGAGGGAGGGGTCCGGAGTGGATAATGCCGTGTGCGTGTGTGTGTGTGTGTGTGTGTGTGTGTGTGTGTGTGTGTGTGTGTGTGTGTGTGTGTGTGTGACACAGTGTGTGTGTGTGTGTGTGTTGTGTGTGTGTGTGTGTGTGTGTGTGTGTGTGTGTGTGTGTGTGTGTGTGTGTGTGTGTGTGTGTGTGTGTGTGTGTGTGTGTGTCTCATGTCGCCGCGGCGGGCCACGCATCTCTCGCCTCCGGCCACTTCCATCACGTGTATGTAACGC